CCGTCAAAGATTCCGAAATTATTAAATTTTCCAGAATTCTTCTTAAAAAATTCAATAATGAGTCATTATTAACAATTAAAATTATAATTAATTATTTCTTGTTAATTTTGATATTTTAGCTACAATAAAGTATATATTTATATTTATGTTAAAATTGTATATTTGCATTAATAATTAAAAAAAAAGTATTTTTTCTGAAATCCATGCCTAACCTTTTAGTTCATCGTGTTATTTTCATCATGTTATTATTATTGGATACATTGTCGTTTCACGTTTACTTATTCAAAATTTAATATTTTTGAATTAGAATTATTTCCTAAGCTATTGTATTAAATACATAACTAAAATTGCTATTGCATACGATCAAGGGCAGCCAATCTTAAAATATCGTAAAATTAAAATTTACAACATCAAAATGTATTTAAACTAAAACCTCATCTGTTTATGGAATTCAACAATACATTGATATTTGAAAATAAAAAATGGGAAATTGTTTCCAAAAGTTAGTATGACGAAAAATTACGGTAATGTAAAACCGTACAGCCGTTTGTTTTGTGAAAATTGTAAATAAAAGAAAAAAATGTTAATACGCTTCTCAAGATAATGAGTGTCTTTTCTAGGATTAATCACCTTTTATGCGTGGCTTTATCTCTATACATTCAGAAGCCATAAGAACAACCTGATAATTATTATAATTCAACTAACTAGGCGACTGTGTTATTATTACAGTTACTTCGGAAGCGGACGTCGTCGTTACTGTCGAAGTTTATAAGTCGCGTATAAAACCTAAACAACAATACGTCACGTTAATTTTAAATATGTTATTATAATAAAATGCACAGCAGCCTTCGGGAACCAAGGTGTATAAAAACTCCCTTACGCATCATTACAATAATAATAAGTTCAATACGTACGTGCGTGTTTTAATGTCAATCGAAACGACGTTAAATCAATGAAAAGTCCGTACACGCAAGCCATCGTAATATTATTATTATTATAAAAAAAGACGTATGAGAATTACGTGTTCTTTTTCAGTAACTTTTACAATAATAAATAGTAAGTACGGATTTTTGAAGCGGTAAAAAAAACCCCCCGTAAAAATAGCCAATAGGTGCATAAAGACGAATGGTATAGGGTGATCAACATAATGCAAGGCACTCGTCATCTCGAAATGTATTCATTTTTTTTTTGAAATTAATTTTTTAGATGTTGGATTATTTAAGAAAATAACGTATTTCCGTTAACCTATTGACGTTATTTTTTACTTTTGTGTATCCGCGTTGTGAGAGTAGCGGTACACCATTTATGTGACAACGAGGCACGTAGCGTTTTAATACCGCTCAATTTTTTTTTTAAATGTTCTAAAAATAAAATTCCGAAAAAAGTAATTACTTAAAATAATGAGTATCCTACGTTATGTTGATTACTCTGAATAACTGATGAAATTTTAAAATGTATTAAAAATAATAAAGTTTATTTATCGATAGTATCGGTACTTTTACACTCGAGCAGTTAAACATATTAATATACCTAATTGTAGAAAATAACTTGGCTCTTTCTTTCAATAAATAATTAATAACTTATTTTTGACAATTTATAGGTATTTTAACTGAGTTACTTTAACTATGTCTAATTCATTTTTATTTTAATGTTAACATTAACTGATACATAGTTTATAGTTGCTGAAATATATATTCTAAATAAAAAAAAGAAAAATCGGTTTACTTGCCCAACTATGCGCATAAAGAAAAGCAACAAAATCATCCCACAACTATTTTATTTTATTTTATTTTTAAACTACAGATCGGTTAAAAAAACATTACATTATTTTAAAATTAACTTACTGCTAACACTATGGAATTTTAAAACACCAGAAAAATGTAAAAAATAATTATTAATAAAAACGATAAATAACTCGTTTGAAAATAACCATAAGTGGTACTTCTTTGCGTAAGTCTATAAGATAAATACCTCGATTTCCCATGATCCCGCGCACTCGGGACGTCAAATTTTCGTGGGACTTATCAAGTACTGCGTACTTAACAAGCTAATGGTGAAGTACATTTATTAATCCTTCACTTCAATGGGATTGCTTAGATTTTTCCAGTTCAATAACATCAAACTTACATTCCTAAAAACTAGGTGGTATATCACGTCGTTTACGTAGTTCTGAACAATGCATACACGTTCGTTTATCCACAATAAATTATGGTCAAAGCGCGCCCTTGCACATGGCCCTTGCCAACACAAACACTTCATTCTCTGCATTTATGTACGTATAAATATTTATGTGTTTTACCGTTATTCTGACGTATATTAGATTCTGAGTGGAGCGAAGAAGCTTATGGTTTTGCAAAGATGTTTATTTTTATTACTATTATTTTTTTTTATCTGTCCACATCTTTTCTACAGAAGACTTGCTCAGATTTCTAAATGTAGCGTTTTTTTTGAAAGGAAATTGGTGTGAAGCGGTACTTTATAGAGGTAAATTTTCGATTTTCTAAAGAGTTTTCTTATAAAATTTGAAAAACCGAAAAAAAAACAGAAAATTTACGAAATATAACAAATATAATATTAGGATTTCCTGTGAACAATTTTTTTACCAGCCATTTTGTTTTAACATTTATTAAAAACAATGTTTTTAAAAGTAAATTTCACCAGAAAGGTACTTTAAACAGATTATTTTTCAATTTTCCCAAAAGTTTTCCTAGCAAATATGAAAAACCAGGAAAAAACATGGGAAAACGGGAAAAAACGGGAAAATCGGTACATGAAATAAATATAATTGAAGAGAATATAGAAAGCCTATTTAGCTATTTTACTATAATATGACATAAATATATTGTTGACAAAGCATCACTATCAACTAAACTTCACTCAGAATCGTTTTTTCGTAGACAATAATTTATTGTTGCTTACAGGTATATACTAAATTACCTGTAACAATAGCTGCACCCGTTCAACTATCCTAGGTCGTCTTATTTACTTTCAATTTTACCATAATAAATTGGGCCAATGCCCGTTTGAAATTAAAACAAATAAATAAATAAAGATTATCAATAATTAAACAAATACGATCTATTTAACTATTTTTGTATAGAAATAACTACAAACAACACAAAAAAGTATACAATCCAAAATTCACCCAAAAATCAGAACAAATAAATTGTGTTGGTTACTTACATAATTTATTCTACGATGAATTTTTCGAGCTAAAGGCGTATAGTTTATTTAGTACTTTTTTAAAAGAAAACTGAGAGTAATTTTCTCTGATAACTTTAAGTAACTATGTTAGATTTAATGTTTTTTCCCCAATCATTATAGAATTATTTTATAAACTTTGTCTGAACGCTATTTTCAAATTTATATCCCAACTTCTTAAACTCATTTAATGAAAATTAATTTTTGATTTGTTAACGGCAGCCTCTTCCCAGCCTCTCCTTTATGTTTTTTCATGATGGTCAATAAAACATACTCCTTATCATGCCTTATAAGTTCTAAATAGGTCTAAAGACAAGTCTATCGTTTATATTTGATCAATTTTTGTTTTAAAATTGAATATTAAATTATTTTGTTCTTTAACACATAGGTAAGTGAATATAACATTTGAATATATACATTTAAATTGCCGGCTAGTTTATTTATGACTTTTTAAGGTATTTTTAATATCGTATGAAAGGTTTTCAAAAGGAAAAAAATAAAATAATAATTTCTACTTTAACGAGCGCGCAATTGTATTATAATATAGGTACTTTTTTAAAAGTTCTTTTATATAAATATAAGTAGGTACGTTTACGTCCGCAATTCCAGTGTATACAATTGAAATAATGTACTTACATTAAAAAAACCTAAACAAATAAATGCCTATATCATATATTGCATCTAAATATGTATAGGTATACATATTTTAAAATTAAAATATATAAAATAAATAAACTGAACATAGGACTTTATAATATTTAACAAACTTTTTTTTTAGTCTCCAAGAGTAGCGAGAATTATATTGATTCAACTATATGTGTGCGTCTTATTCTTTTTCTTAGTCTATTTTAGCAAATTTTTAACCAGAAATCACACTTAAATTCAATATGATTTCTGGTAGATCAAAGATAAATTAAATTACCCACCTATTTTCTTAACTTTCACATTCCATTGCAGAAGCACACCCACCATACAGCGTATAGTATCTCTGCTTTTTAAAACAATTTGTATAATATCAATTACCTACTTAATTGTACGTCAGAAATAAATAATTTTTTTTAGATTATTAGTACATATTTTCACCGGCGGCGTACTGGAAACTGTTTTTTCGAATCCTTTACATCGACCAAAATTGGTGAGTGGGTCGTAGTGGGCGGTCGAATACGGCGTTAATATATAATGGAACTACAGAACAGTGAGTTTTAAGTAACGACTAATAAATTATTATTATTGAATTGCCCAAAAGTAAAGTGGTGGTAAGCATATAGACAATTTCTGGGGCGTGCACAAAAACATAATTGCAGCTTTATTCTATTGTCTAATAATAGGCATGTTTTGGCGTGTTAATTTTCTGTTAACAGTTTTCTATTGTTTGCTAATTGGTTGCAATATAGCAAGGAACTAGTTTTTTTTTTTTTTTACTTTAATAAAATATTTTATCAATGAGTAACCAATAACCGAAGATATAAAGCGTAGTTTTTAGGTGTTTTAGAAAATTGCATTCAATTATTGAACAATTTCGGTAGACACAAAATATCTCCATAATATTTTGCTCGCTAAATTAGTAACCACCAGGTTGCTCAAATCTGCATCACCAAAATACATAAAATATATTGTACGTCGTTGTTTTATTAGTTGTATTAGTTATTTATGGATATTTCAAGGAGTGCAGAGTGACAAAGACAGAAATTTAAACAAAACAACCAAAATGAACATTTTCAATTTTTTGACAATTTATAACATTCATTTTTTATATAATCACAACACATAAAAAAAAAAATTAATTAATTTGAATGTCTTTCACAATTTATTATATTAAACATAATATTAACATATTAAATAAGTACTTAATATTAAGATTAGAGCGTTAAAGTAAATTCGAAATACATTAATATAATATTATGTAATAAATGCAATAAATTATACAAAAAGAAAATATATTATGTATTTACAAAAACAATCGTTTTTCTTTTGGCAAACATATTCTCATTTACTCTCTCAAAATAATTTCAAAATAAAATGCACGCACATGAAAGAGGTCACGAAGATATGAGTAAGTATTCCGAAATATCGTGTACAGGGTGATTATATTGTCGTATTGTCGTGATTCATTACCATTTATTGTATGATCAATCTATTATCCTTTCCTAGCTAATGTTCCGGTCATAATTCGAAACAGTAGTAACACACGAAAAAGAAGAACAAATGTATGAAATCATTTAAAATACGAAATAAACTATATCGGGAGGAAAAAGTGAACGCAAAGTGTCAGTCGATAATTTGTGTCAAATAAATTACTCGTGACGAATACAAAAAATGTAGATAAATCAAGCAGAAATGGTATACGTACCTATATAATAGCAGGCTTTCAAAAGGCCGTTTCTGAAAGTTTATATTATATTTATATGACGGTGGCAGCAGCGGTGTTTGTAATGTGTTTTGATTTCTCGAGGAAAAAAAAGGCACTTAAAAAAAATATAATAATAATCGTCCGAATTCCCGTATAATAACAATAATATTGTTATGAAAAATGACGGAAGTTGTATGTACGATGTTGACCCGGAAACCCAAGAAAATAAGGGACAGTCTCCGCTATAAATTGTGTATGCGCACATACAGAATTTCTGTACAGTCTGCTGCCGTTGAGTAAATAAAATTGTTAGTATTTTATTTATTTTGTTTGCACCGTTATAGATTACACATTTGTAATGGCATTGTATGTTCAAGCTAAAAGGTATACCAGCCGTTTGCAGTGGAGCGTTTTCACGGGTACCTACAGAACTACCCAGAACCAAGAAAAAAAAGATCGAATTGAACATTTTACAATTAAAATTACATGTTTAACAACGTTATTATTGGTAAAAGAAAATATAAAGAAATAATGTATACCGAAGTATGCAATTACGGGTTATAAACTATGGATGCTTCACCTTCAAAATAAGTTGAAAATACGCCACTGTCAGTACCATAGATAATATTTCGGCTGAATGATCGGCTTTTGATGGCAATAGAGATTTTCGAGGAAGATGCAAGGATTTCAGAAAATGGAACACTTGTTTTTGGTACCAGGAGTACGAAAAAAAATTTTTGATTTTGTGTAATACACAATTTTATTCCATCTCAAAAACTGCCGTCCTTTTTTCTAACAAGAATTGTGATTTTTTTAAACATTTTAAACGCAAGTTGGTATTACTATCTCCACTCAAATTTGTCTACTTTGAAAATTCCTCTGTTATTAAACAACGGTAAAATCACGTCAACCTTCTTTTTATTTTTTATTTTTTTTACCAACTTGCGGTACTCGAAGTCCTAACGCTAACATTACCATATACTTTTCCATATGTCTGTATTCTAAATATTTTTTCACACCGTCTCTTCATTCCGTACTGGACACTTTACCGACGATTCTAATACCCTCTTGTTTAATTGGATTTTCATTTGCCCTCCAAACACGACCCAACCATTTTGACATTTTACTCCCGAGACTGACAGAAAATCATGCATTATAATGGGCCTCTTCCCCTCCCCGGGCTTACGTTTTTTTTTTTTTTGAAAATACTCATATTTTAGCAACATGTATATTTTTTAGCGTGAGCAGAATTTATATTATAATATAAATAGAAAATACGTATAAATAATTTAATCAATACAGGTCTGTGACTCCAGAGATTCATTTCATTATAAAAATATAGTACATACTGTTGTACCGCGCATTAGGATGATAGCAGCTCCGAAGATTTAAACGACCGATTCTTATCAAAAATTCATGACCTCGTTTTCGTTACGTAAGTACGCACATTATTATACATTAAGTTGAATTGCGCTTTTGTTGCACTCGCAATATAATGAACTTTACAGCATAATACTATATAGGTATACCATACAATCGAGTTCTCGCGCATTAAAATATGTAACTACCTAAAGTAAAGTATCTATTATATTCTATTATTGTTTAGGGTTTAATTTAAAATAATATCGTTTTAAAATATAATTTAATTAAAGTTTTCGGTAAAAACAGTCAGATGTAAACTACACGATATCTTGAACGTCAACCCCTTCCTCCCCCCTCCCAAAATAAAAGAATATTTGAATCACTTATTTACCCAAAGTTCACTTGTTTAATTGTTTGAGATAATCAATAAAAACTACCTAATAGTGGCTCTAAAATTGTTTCTTTAAACTTCCAAAAATTACTACAAATAATTGCCAACCTAAACTTAATGTCGTTTTAGCTCATTGGATGCTGGAAAAGGGGAAACAAAACATTTAGTAAATTGCGCATAAGGGGGTTTCTACAATAAATCTATCATAATTAATGAAAAAATAAATAAGTGTATACATAATTAAAAATAAGTAGTTATGGTAAAGCAGACTATATTTTTATGAACAAAATCGTACTTTAAATAAATCGCTTATTTTAGAAACTCTACTTTAGAAGAAATGAGATGACTGAAATAATAAAAAAAAAAAAACATTTACAATAAAATGCTTAGTGAGTTTCTATGGTAACAAACATCTTAAGGTCATAATAAGTGATTGTCATCTGTGTGCCTACTTCCAAACTAACAACTAAATGTAAAATATTCGATTGTGTGCTTTTGAGCATTCTGAAATAAACGATTAATTAATTTTATAAAGAAAACAAAATGGGATAAAAAAAATAAAAATATAATCGTATAGAATAATTTAAAATTTAAAAAAATCCGGCTTAAAGATATTTGTCAGACACCAACATTTCACCTAAGTTCAAAATTTCAGATCTCCATGTTCGAAAACCCGGTTATTGTCATTTGTCGTATGGTATTTTGGTTTAATTTTAGAGAAATAGTTTTTTGAAATCTAGAAAAATGATTACAATTTACGATTCATGTTCAAACCTGCGATAAAAAGTGTATAATATGGATTTTATTTTGAAACTACGCAATACCCCCCCCCTCTCCCATTAAAAACACTCCACACCGTGTAGAGTGTAAGATAGATCACCTCATCGCGATGCACCGATCTTATTCGGACTCCTCGTCATCCTCGTCTTTGATAATGCCCAGGTGCCGAGCCACGGTCTTCACGTTACTGATGACCTCTTCTTGGACGAGGTTAAAGCTCATCGCCAATAGGGCGATGCCGAACAACAGGTACAGCGAGCAGAACCATATGCGCAGCTTGATGTCGTCGCCTTCCTTGTTCGAGCGACTCTGGGCAGGCACGAAGTCACCGAACCCGATGGTGGTTAGCGTGATGAAGCAAAAATACGCAGAGTCCGGGAACTCCCAGTTCTCCCAGCTTCTAAACAGGAACGCGCCCATAATTATGTAGCTGACCACAAGAAGCACGCACAGCCAGATAGGCACCGGTTTGATGTGGTCGGGGTTGTTGTCGTCGAATTCGTACGCGTCCGAATCGTCGTAGTAGTCGTTGTACCTGGGCGACCGCCGGGGATATTGTCGGTTGACCGCGAACCCCAGGGGTGACATGATCCGTGGGCTAGGCGCCATCACTTCCAGACGTTTGGCTATGGAAACAAAAAAAACGCGGGAAAAAATGAAAAATAAGAAGAATCTGATAATGCGATAATGCACTGGCGTAATTAATCCGGTGGTCGAACGCGTTTGAAAAGACGGGACGCATGCTAAACTAGTAGGTAGGCAAATGTAAACGAGAAGTCAAAATATTATTCTCGACCTATCTCAAATAAAAAGCCGACGAAGTTCGAGTTCAGCGAAAATTATTTTCTAATCTTACCCAATTCACCTAATCGTGGGTTCTCATTTCGTTTAGGTTACCGACCACGCATGTAAGTATCTATTAAAATAAAATTATTATATAACATGTATTAAGTGTATATATACATATATATAGTCAGAGTAACTAAAAAAAAATTCCAAACTTTACTAGATTTTGTTTGAACACAAAACTTGAAATAAAAAAAAATATAAGACGGTCACGTACTTTTTTAAACTATAATCATATTACACAATTCCTATATAACTTCTTTGCGATAGTTGAACTTTTTGTAGTGTTTATAGGTACATTGAAGTTTATAATATGTTCATTTTTTAATCAAATAAATTAACTTGGCGAAATATTTATTTTATTTTTAACGTCTAAGTAGAAAATATTTTAAATGACATTTGTATACAGCAATAGTAATAGTAGTAAAATGCTGCAAATATGGTACATTATAAATAGATGAATAGGTTAGGAAAAATATGACCAGGGTTAAACTTATTGAGAACTTATTGATGAAAGAAGTATATGATGAGAATCTTTTTTGGATTCGTCCAATTCGTCGATCATCAAATTATTGCAAAACCGTGTTCAAAAAAATCAGATATACTTCGCGTTATAGGTAACTTACTGTGTAGGTGAGAAGGTATATAATGGACCTATAAATCCTGTCACATAGCGTATAATTTAGTTCATGCAATAAAACCGAAGATAAATCATTGCAATCAAATAACGATTCTGAGCGAAGCTCGGTTAACCGGTAAGATTATAATGTTAGTCGTGTTTTAGCCCTTGTAGCCAAAGTAATGCGAAAGTAAAATCTATGTATATTCTTTTGTCGAGAACCAAGAAAAAGTATCAAAAAGTTCAGACAATCAACACAAATGTCAAATAAAGTATGTACCATTAAGCAAAAATGCAGTAACTTTTAGAGTAATGCGTGAAAAATTCGGAACGTCTTTAGGTTTTACTACTCAAACCAATGTTTTCTGGGAATGAAATCTTAGTAAATTGAATAGCTTAAAACTGTATCTATTATTATACACCGTAGTATGGCACATACGATTACGGATAAAAGAAGAACGGTGTAAACAAAATCCAAATTACTGTGAGGTAAAAAGTAAAAATGCGTATAATACGATGTACCGTACCGTACGTAGACAATTATAATAATGAATTGAACCAAACGAAAACAGATTTCATGATGCGTGTTTAAAGCAGAAAACTTGAAAACAATAATCGTTATAATACTCATGCCTACCTATGTTTTCATTGCATACGCTCGTCGGATTAATCGGTTGCATGAAAACTAAATAATATGATGTTTTACGATGGCTTCGTATTATTAAAATATTAAAAAAAAAAACATTTAATTTCCGCGGCTATCTTTACCCAGTGTTAAGGTGTAAAACATTACGTTTATAGTACTCGTATAAATACACCGTGATTCTTTTACCGAGAACCAGCAATTTTCTCGGAGAATTAAAAGCGCTTTTAATTTCTGTTTTTTTTTTCGACTATCGCGAAATTGTTTAAGATTTATTTTAAAAACCTTTTCGATTTTTCACTCGTAGTCCCGTATTTCTTGAGTAAGTTTATGCTTTTGTATTTTCAAATAAGTGCCACGCCATTTTTTGAATACGGATTCGAATAGAAAATATTTTTCTAAACATTTTAATACACATAACACTAATATCAAATGTACCGTTTATGAGTAGCAACAGTTTAAATGTTAGATCGAAGGATTCGGGAAGCGTTAACTATTTATCGTTTAAAAATAGATATGTAATTGATTACCTTTTCCTACACTTCCAGTACGCAATTTAAACTGTTATAGCCCATAAAACGGTAAATCCAATAATGGTGTTACATATATAAATATTTCTAGAAAGATATTCTCAGTGCGAATATGCGATTCAAAGGGCGGGTTTCTATTTAAAAATCTAAATCGGATACTTTTTGCAGGTATGAAAATATTAAAAGTACGTAAGTTTGTATACCTACGTGGGTGTATAAACCGTATGCATGTACTTTTTGTTAATTTTTTTCATTATTATTTCTCTAGTTGCTTGTATGCAAACATTTTGTATGTATATTTTTACTTTTTAATGTACTGCATACTTGTGTATAACATTTTGTACTTTGTGTCTTCGGGCATGTATTTCCAAATAAATACGGAGTAGCAGTGCAAATTAAAAATAGTGTTAAAGTAAAGCTTAAACGATGATAAAAAAAAAAAAAACATAAATCAAATTCACTTGAAATCATCCGAGAAAATGTCCGGATCGTGATAAAAGAATCACACCCTGTATATTGACCGTCAACTATGGTAATAATTTGCATGTACCTGCATTATATAGTTTAAATTAAGTAGTAACTAAAGACGAGAAAATAAAATCGTAAACGTTTCCCAATGTCAACTACCTACTTCAAATTACAACAACACGACATAACATTACAATAATCGAAAAACGTACAAGGCCACGCAACAAACATCGCATTTTATCGTGTGACGTAAGGTGTTGGTCAGTACTTTGCGAATAAAACGAAATCGGAAATAAAAAATGTCCACGGTTCTACTCAACGATATCGTAACGATTGTACAAAATCCAACATCTGGCCTAATCCGTATTAGACCGTTGTAGGTTTGTACGGTAAAACGCCGAATCGCCCCGCGTGTGACGTTATTGTAGCGGCGGTGAAAATCGAAAACCTAATCTCCTGGATTTCCCTGCGGTGATTCCGCGTACGGCGCGCCTACCGTACAGTGTGGCGTGGCGGGTATGGGTCGCGACGAAACAGAAAAATAACCTACGAGCACAGCCGTGTATAGGGGATCCATTATTTTTCGCCCCCGCGGTTTCGTTTCTACCGGTAGGTGTACGACCACGGAAACAAATCCGATGAGACTATTATTATTATGATGACTCTGAAATATAATAAAAAAAAAAAATCCTTCCGTATTCGCGTCATTATCGACGGTTACCGTACCGCGGCGGCAGCTGTCCTAACGAAATAGCGTTCTGGTATCGGTTTCGGGTATCACCGGGATTGCGATCGGTCCGTTTCAATCGCGCGCGCGCAAACGTCGTAACGTGTTTCTCTCGCGGTCGGAACACGTTTACCGTCCGTCGATGGCGTCTCCCGTTCGGCCGACCGTCGAACGCGCGCTACTTGGAAATACGCGGGACGAAAACGGAGAACCGGTGTCGCGATCGAACGGGGCCGCGGCTCCGCGGTCGGAGACGGTCCTAAACGTAAAAGGCGTCGACATTTCTGTTTACACCGCGAGACCGGTCGTGGTTTGTCGACGCGGTTTAGATTTTGATCGCGCTTATCCGTCCGTCGGCCCGGTACGGAACACGGACGTTCGCCGCCGACACGCCGTTCCGCGACACGCGCGACAGGAGTGACCCGTCGGCGGTTGTCCGCGCGTAACACCGCGGCCGTACTTTTCACGGGAAAGCTGTTGTTCACCGGCGTCGCGGACGAGGGTGACGGAAACGCAGTCGACGCGTCCGCGGGACGAACGCGGCGCTCGTGAACCGCTGTCCGCTGTGGCCCCGGGTTCAATACCGACGATCGGAGTGCCGATTTCCGTTGCGGTTTCTACAATATCCGTTGGAATACGGCGAGTGTTCGCGCGCGCGAATTCGAATCGGCCGACCGGAACACCGACCCGGTGCCGAAACGGGTCCCAGAAACATTCGTATGCGTCCGGGCGCGCGCGTTTCGGCGTGCGTTCCGTTCCGCTACGTAACGCGCGTGCCGACGTCCGACGACACGTTATCGGAACGAATGCGCCGGGAAAAAGTACAATCGTAATATTATTGTTATTGTCGCACGAGTAACGCGAGTCGCGTCGCGGCGGCGCGTTGCCCGCGGCTCGTTACGCGATCGAACGCGGGCGGCCGCGTTTTGTACGCGTGGGTGGCGCAACATTAGTAATTCAAAACGATTATGATTGTAGCTGCAAGTGAATAAACGGCCGATTTATATGCTACGTTATTATCGTCAGACACCTGCAAAAACGATTTCTCGCGGATTATATTATTATATACCTAAGGCCGGGCATAAATATCTCGCGGGAACACTCTAGTTTCGAGTCGACGTTATTATTTATATCTATATACAGGGTGATTTTTTTTTTTTATTATTCATTACGGGTCGGTTAAGTTTTATTTGAAAATTATTTTCAATTTTTACCCCTATTCCATATACCTTAAATAAGTATATACTTTTGTTTTTCGAATAGGAACCTCCCCTTTTTGAACGCAGATTTGAATAGAGAATATTTTTCTAGAAACTCGGATACGCATAACATTTATATCAGATTTACAGTTTATAAGCAATGGCCGTTTAAAGTTTAGACAGGAGGAGCAGGGAAGGGTAATAGATGTGAGATTTATTACCCTTCCCTACACCTCCAATTTAAACCTAAAATGGTTATAACTCATAAACTATGCATCTGATATAAGTTTCGTATGCATACCTATGTTAAACCTAACAGATTCCATAATGATTATAAAAAAAAAAAAAAAAAAAAAAACAGAAACAAAATTCACTTGAAATAAATTCTCCGAGAAAATTGCAGGTTCTTGATAATGAAAGAAAAAACCCACCCTGTGTATAGGTGGATATAGGTCGCGACTCGAACGCAAACAATTTATACACGGTAAACAATTTAATATACGAGACGGAATAATAATATAACGCTCGCCCAAGTCGGATCGAAAATACTATTCGGCGTCACGGCATCTGCGACGAGACTGCAAGTGCGTTTAGAGTCGACGAGTTAAAACGGCAAATTCGCGTGAATACAAAGTAACGAAAACTTCAAAAAGCACTGGAGTGCTTTGGACCGTGCACTTTTTGTGTTGTATTCATTTTGTACGAAAATAGCCAAATAAATCGTATTTATTTAATTATTAATATCATTTGTCTATTCATTTATTTTAATTTCAAACGGACATTGGCCCAATTTAACGCGGTAGCATTAACAGTACAAAAGATGTTCTCAGATAATGGGGACGGGTGTAGACACTGCCATAGGTAATTTAATGCACGCCCGTAAGCAACGATAAACCATTGCTAACGAAAAAACGATTCTTAGTGGAGTTCAGTTGACAGTGATGCTTTGCCAACAATATATTTATGTCATACTATAGTAAAATCATTAAAGAAGCATTGTACATTTTCTAAAATAATATTTTTTTAATTATCGATATTCCCGGTTTTCCCGTGTTAATTTACGGTCGTTCATATTTGCTGAAAAAATTCTTGGGAAAAACGAAAAATGACCTCTCTAAAATACCTCACTAGTAAAATTTCCTTTTGGAAAAATTGTTATCATTAAAAGTCGGAAAAAAATCGCTGGTAAAATAATTGTTCATGGGAAAAATTGCGCACAGATAAAAAGAAGGAAAAAACATCTCTGTAAAACCATAAGCTTCTTCTGTCCACTCAGAATCTAAAATTAAATATAGCCGATGGGTACTGATGACGGGCACGCGTCACACTGTTATATGTGGTTATTTCAGTAAGTATATCTGTACACGACAATAAGCCATTAGAAACTTATAAATTTACAAACGAAAAATTGGTCTCCGAGCAAAGTTCGCGGCGAAACACGTTTCCGTCAAACCTAAATTGAAAATAATACAAAACAAATTATAAATAGTTTCTCGTGATTCGCGTCCGAAATGAGATTCGGTTTTTAACAAAAAATACCGGAATGAATTAGCAATCTAAATACTGATATTTTACGGAATGTCTGAGGGACGATTTTTACAAGGAGACGACTGACGTTAATAAAAATATCAACAAAACCCAAAATTAGGTTAATAAGGGTAATACTAATTACTATAAAAAAGAAATGTTTATTTTTTCAAGTCACGTACACAATCTAGTGATTTTTTTCCCTCGAATAAAATTAATATTGATTTTATAAAACGATGTTTTACTAGCAACAAAATAAATTTCGGCCGTTTCTTTTTTATTTGCATAATTTACCGACGTTTACTATTATATACGCACTGGCTAGCCAGATAAATTCTTAAAGAGATTTTTTTTTTAACATTATTTAGTTATCCGTTAATATTGTACAAATCACGATCAAATATTAGAGTCATTTTTCCCTTCGGTTACACACTATGTACCTATTGTATTCACGCTGTCACCTATATTCACGAGTATATTTATGTATATAGTGAACGTACCGAAAAAAGAAAAAGAAATACGCATTAATTTAACAAAAAAAAAGTGTAAGTAGAAATTAGGTGATCGACAAATTAACATTAATTACTATTACGGTATTAGATTTTTTTTTTTTTTTTTTATTTCCACGAAAACAGAAAAAAAAAAAAGGTTTTAATTTTTCGATATAATGACACGGCTTGTCCTCATATAGAAAAAGACGAATAATTTGTTAAGAAAAACCAGATGGAAAAAAAAAAAACCCGAAAACCGTATACCGTTACCGAAACCCGTCGCGGGTGCACCTCGACAGAGTACATTCGGTATTTTTTACGAGCATAATGATTTATGTCACATCATCATCATCATCATCATCATCGGTGTCCCCCGATCGCGGGCGATTAGTCTCGACGATTTCGTCCACGGTCACGGTCATGTCGGAAACCTAAATGTACGAACATCTGGTTGCCGGCCGGAACGCGTATTTACAGACCGCGTCCGGGTTCGGCCCGCGCAAACGGCGTAAGGGTTAACATTTTGAGAACAGACTGGAAATCGGAGCGTTTTCGGTATCGCGCCGGAAAACCGGTCAAAACAAAAGTAATGGGAAACCGGCCACGATAATAATCCGAACGTCGCGTTTTCGTCGCGGCCTCTGATGCGAGATTAAAGGATCCGTGCTACTGCCCGTACAATATACTAGTCCCACTATACCTGACACGCTACCCCAAAGCTACCGGGTGCGACATTACTGGTATTCCGGCACGCGAGTACAGTTATAAAATCTCTGGGTTAATGGCGAAACGGGTTGCCAGTGAATTAAAACGCTATTTATACATAATATACGTAATTATTATACTGTTCGGTGTTTACACCGTGCACGTGCGCCCCTCGAAAACCGTTTTCTCGAGCACCGCGGTATAATTCGTAGGTAACCCTCGGTCCACGCTAGCGCACGACCGACGGATCAACTGTATGTATACATAATATTATCCTTCCTTTGTTTGAAATAATATGTATTTTATACATACATATACGTGTGTGTGTGTGTATGTGTGTGTGTGTGTGTGTGTGTGTAGAACCGACAACGGTTTACCGCACGCGCAATATTCGCGATGAAAACGCTAAACCCGAAACCCGCAATTATACGACCGCAGAGACTCGCTATTTACGTGCACTTACAAATCACAGATAAAATGACATAAAAGAACCGCAACGATCCTTTAGATACTGCACCACCGTAAACGCCACTGTCCGACCGATTTCGTTCGATAATTTTACTCCGCTTGATTATAAATTTATTCGAAGGGTGAAACGTATATTATATTATATTATTCGAGCGCCGAGCAAATTACGTAGGTAGGATATAAGATTAGAGGTTCTAATCCGAACCGACTGTGATATTATGTACAACATGCAATATCGTGTTGATGAAAGACCGAGGAAATCTTATTAGCCACTTGTTGGTTCATTAACGTTGCAATAACGTTATACGAATCAATAAACATTTCGAAAATTTCTTTAGAATCGTACATCCAAACCGAAACGTTTTTTTTTTTTTTTTTTAATGATTTATCCGGAATCAGTGGATAATGACATGTAAGTGTGCGATTTCTATTTGAAATTGATTATAATAAAAAAAAAACTGCGTTTTCAATGTTTGAAAAGATTATTATAATATGCGACAATAACGTACAAATAATGCAAATTATATTTAAAAAAAAAAAAAAAAAATTGTTTCCACGAAAAGAATATGTCCTATAATCAACATCCAGGTATATTGTTTTGTCCAGATGATTTTTTTTCAGAAAACATAAATCGAAACGATAGCTATATTATTTTTTCTGCATTAAAAATATTACGAGCATACATGAGCGATGGTTAATGTACTGAATTCTGAATAACCGATAAAATATTATCTGAACATTTGTTGGGAAAAAAAATACGAGGATTTTCAGAACGAGAACATTTCAGGATAATATAATTTCGAATTCCATTGCTAACAGTCACGGGACTGGCATTCGTTTTTAGAGTTAAATTAAGAGGCGGGGAGGCTAAAAGAGCAAGAAAAGGGACCCTAGACAATATTTTAGCAGCTTACCGTGTATCATTCACAACGTGAAAAATAATCGATTACACGTTTGAACGTATACATTTTCTTTAACACATTTATTTTTATTTTAGCCCTTGAATACATAATAATATTATACATTTACCCGCGTTTTAGACTCTAAGGAAACGAAAAGAACATTATTAACTTTGTGAGTATGTGTAGTGTGTCTGTAACAACTTTTCTACCAGACATTTTGTACCAATAAAAAACTTTATAGGAACTTTAGTCGGTGCATTGAGCAGATAATTTTTTGTTTTTAGCTCGTAGTTATCTTAAAAAATGGGAAAAGCCGACAATTTTTCATTAAATGTTTGTTGTTTTCCGGGTTATCTTAGCAACAAAGAAAAGTATACGGCTATTAACACACTTTTAGTTAGTAAATGGTTTTTCGTTGAGTACGGGTATAAACTAAATTACCACATAATATATCCTCCCTTTTAACATTCATTCTGAAACAGTTGCACACCCATCAGCTATACCATTTTTTTCCCCTAGAAAATCTCTATAATTACTGTCCCCGGAACAGTTACTTGGTCACGGGCCGCCACATTCTAAATTCATTAACCCGTGTCAAATTTCCCACGGATTCGCGGGTATACAACAAACTCGGGTAGGCGTATAATATTATTATTATCGCACAATGTAATAAATGATATTATCACGACGGACGAGATTCCGCGAGAACGGCGGTCGGCCGAAAATAAAACGGACGTACTGTACAGATATATATATACACATTATACAGGGTGATTCACTAAACGTGCTCACCACATTGTTTCGGTTAAATTTTGCATGTATTCAAACACTGATTTTTGTAATTTTTAAGAGTAGGTAGTTAAAATCGATATACTCTGTGGCGATACCAATTTTGCAGGTTTATCAAATGAGAACCTACATTATGGATTCCATAAATAGATATAATATTACTTTATATACATTTTGGTGTCGACGTTTTTGATTTTCATCAACCCGTTAACGAGATATTTCACTTTTTAGATTTGGTAGGGGGGGAGTAGTTGATCACGTATAATAAAACGCAGAGCATCGTGCCATCACACAAATAATACTCCACTACTCTCCCCTACATAAATTTAAAAGTGAAATATCTTGTTAACGGGTTGACGAAAATCAAACATTTTGACACCAAAATTTATTTAAAGTGATACTCTATCTATTAACGGAGTATCATTTGTGTGGCGGCTCGACGCTCTGCATTTTATTAGACGTACTCTACCACTCTCCCCCTACCTTAACTAAAAAGTGGATTATCTCGTGAACGGGTTGACGAAAATCGAAAATGTTGACACCAAAATGTATTTAAATTAACACTCCGTATATTTATGGCATTTTTTAATATAGACTCTCATTTGAAAAACCAAAGTTAGTATCGCCACAGGAAACTCTTAAAATGTTGTAAACAAATATAAGTATTTGAAAATATCGGCATTAAGGACAATTAAAATTTCAGAAATTCAAAAATCAGAATTCGAATACGTGCAAAATTTCACCAAAAAACAGGGTGAGCTCGCATAGCGAATCATCCTGTATATGCGTAATGAACCCCGGAAAACAATTGGGCCCGTGCGGGTGACTTTCCCGCGTGTTTTCTTCGCGACGCGCGACGGCGAAATTTTCGTATGGAACCCGCGTACAACCCCTCCCCCCCCACCACCAGTCGCCAAAGCCGGAAAATTCCGTCACGAATCGCGGCGGCGACTTACTCTGATTGGAATTCCGGTGTCTCGACCGGAATTTCGGTCTCGGGTTGTAATCGTCCGGGTCGTGGTCGTCCATCATGGGCGGCATGTCCACGGCCAGGTGCTGCGGCGTTTTGCTCCGGCTACTGTTCGCTCGCGATGTGCCCGCGCCGTGCGGTAGCGTGGACGACTTTTCCGTAGCCAGGTTCGGGGCGGCCGAATGGCCACGTAGGTTCCGGCGGATCTCTTCGCCTTGTTTCGGACGAACTGCGAAAACACAAAAACCGAATTATGAAAAAAAATATATAGTGTAGCGATAATTGTATAGGTTTTTTTTTTTTTTTTTAACTCATAGAGCACATTTGTTGTCTCTGTCTTCTTAAAACCACACCACGCATGCGAATCGTATCAATCCAGTTTCAATATAACAGTGAATTGACCCGTTATTTCAAACATAAAGGTAAGAACATTATCTGTATTTGAAAGTTGGGTTCCCCCCGAATTTATCGTACACATTTAAACGAGATGTCAAAATTGTTTAACGGAAAAACCAACGTACCAACACAAATAGTGTTCTTCCGTTTAAATTTGATAATTCACTCTAATACCAAAATTAACAGTTTTAAAGTGGTTTTGCCGAACACAAGTTTGCGTTTGCCGTACGCTTGTAAGACAGAGACACCAAGTACATGCACATAGTGATATTATAAGATACGAAATCTATTAGCATAACGACCAGTTAACGCATTAATCTTATTTTGCTCGAAATAATTTTCCCCCTGGAAGCTTTTCGTGAAGATATATTTCCTTTAACTTTCCCGCTCACAAACGTTTGCACGCACGCGAAACACACACGTACATAAGAATGAGTTTTCATGAGCATTAAAAAAATGTAACCCTTATCAAACAATTTCTTAAAAAAGTACTATTTTATTTTCTACAATAACGAAATTGCAATCAACTAATAAAAGGTACGAGATAAAGACTGGTTAGGCTAGGTTTCGGATTTAGCGTTTGTGCATCGCTCCAAAAAGGAATTGAATTTAACGAATGCATTATTTCCAAACACCGGCATTGTTATTATACATAACCGTAACGGCGCATTGATTATGAAAGAGAGCTCTTATAATAATACTTAACAGGTCACGGTGAACGACTAGGCACGGGGATCGGATAATTCGGAGCGTTTCGTAAAGCTTAACATCGGTAACGCTGTTATAGACTTATCATCAAGGGAGGACGTTCGAGACATTTCTATATTATATACGAGGAGGCGATGCTGCTTTACTAAAATAGTTCCATATAATCATATTAATACCTAATCCAATTTCGCGATATGCTCCAGTAGGTTTTTGTATATATATATATGTGTGTGTGTGTATGTAGGTGTATTGTGTATTGTGTATCGGTGTCCCCCTCCCTTTCGGTTTAATTTTATACATGTATATATATTATACACATTAATCCTTTTCGTAAATACGCCATCGTCCCGTGTTCGCTGATGTTCTTGTGGTTTTAATAATCCTTTGGCAACACGACTATACAGTATCTATATGTATACACAATGGTCGCCACGTATAGTGTTCACTGGTTATGATAATATAGTAATCAGAAATGCCAAGAACGAAACAAACAGCCGTTGTCAGTTCATTTTTCGCCACTTACTGTGTTCAGGTTTTCGGTCACAGCGATCAGAAATAATCATACCAGAAATAGAAATTACACAATACACAAAAGGAGGGACACCCTGACGATTATTAGTTTACGGACCAAATCTAATCTAATGTAACCGTAATGAGCGACGATTTATGTTTGGAACGGGTACTTGCAGTTATCAAGAGTGAAGTACACAACGCGATTAATACAAGAGCACGGCATAGGCCCAAACTACTTTGCTACGTTGAACAATATAAGAACAAATCATGACGGTCTCTACACCAAAAAAAAAAAAACCGGTGCACGTCACCGTCTTTTTTGAAAGAACCTAAAACTTATGTATGTGTGTATGTATATAGTTGCATATAGTTGTGCGCAATTATTTTTCATTAATGAACGATTATTTTTTTTCGGAGTCGCCGCTTAAAGTGATCAAAATACTCTCGGACGAATTCGATCACTATAAACCGCGATCTCTGTATATCATACGTGATGTAAATATACCAAATGTTTTCCACCGGTTTTGTTTTTATTTTTTTTTTTTTTTGTGTTATAATTCAATGAAAAAAAAATTGTCTAGACCAGAAAACTTTCACCGAATGCGTCTTGTATCAGCTGGATTTTCTAGATTTGTGGTAAAACATTCCAACTTCTGACATTTAACGAGTTATTTGTATAGCAACTTAATATTTTGTTTTGCTTTATGGATGAAGAACATTTTTATAATTTATTTTAGATTAAGAGTAGAGCGAGGAATACATTGATTTTACATTGGTATTTTATTTTTTTTTGAACAACTTTGTTACCAGAAATCTTACTCCTATTTTCAAGTGTACCACATTTTCTGAAAAGAAATCTTACTGGGGTGATACTTTAAAGAGGATATTTTCATTTTGATTGTTTCCAGAGGTTTTCGTAATAACCGTGAAAAACGGGAAAATTCACAAAATATATTATTTTTGAATCGTAAATTTAACGGATTTTCAAAACATATACAGCCGAACTCTGCTCAGAATTGTTTTTCATTATCAAAGGTTAATCGTTGCGTACAGATATACATTAAATTTCCTCACTACTACCCCAACTTCTCAACTACAACAATGGCCTACCCATCGTGTGAAGTATGTCCGTTTTTTTTTCATTCAAATTTATATGAAAAAAAAAAACGTTTAAAACACGAACAGTTGTAATTTATTGTTCAACCACAAATTAATACAATATTTAATATTAAATTTCATCAAAACAGAAATATTCTAGCGGAACTACTCAAAATCGTTTTTCATCTGCAATAATTTAACGTAGCATATTTGTTTAGTTTTTGTTTTACTTTTAGCTATTAACTACATAGTATAATATATATTATTAAAACCGGACGTAAAACACAGTTTCTCGGAAATTAATTTTATATGAAAACAAAAATCATGTACACAAAAAAAGGTACAAATATCAAAAATATTTATCGCAAGTCATCTGTATCCGCATAATACATTAATATCTACCTGTATACATATCAATTGAAAATGAAATACAGTTATGAAATAAAAATTAAAAAAAAACAAACTAATATCATGTTTTTTTTGCCAATAATATTGTATAGGCAGTATCTATTAGGTACAAAATAATAATAATATGTCCCCAAGGAAAGTGGACCGATCACAAGTATATATACAGTACAAAATACTACTCGAAAACTTATTTTTTTGTTCGTTGATTATTCGTCTATATTTTACGCCTATAAATTACCCGTGCCATTAAAGTGTTATAATATTTAATTCGTATATGATCGCGAAACGTATTCGACCGTAAAAATAATACATAAACACTTTCGATCGATTTAAAAAAAATAAATAAACAAATAGAAAACCTTTGCGTATGACATTTAGAAATATTGCTCGTGTTCGGCATTGTCATTATCATAAAGTAGTCAGCGATACTCACTACTCTTTTCACGGTGTCGAAAAATATTGCGGTAAACGACTTATTTAACCTACAAGGTGGTTCTTTCAGCAAAAAAAAATTAAAAGTTCTCTTGAAATGTATGAATTTTTGAAAACGGTAAATTCGAAATATTAGTGCTATGTACATCGAAATCTTTAGAAAAACGTTTCAAACCGATGTTGAAAATGGAGGATAATTTTTCAGGCTGATTTTATTGTTTTTTATATTTATTTCATAAATATAAACGGACTAGTGTGCTATTTATGATAGAACACTAGGATGATTGAGTGTTATCGTAGTGCATAATATAAGTTACATTGTTAGTATTATGTTGTAATATCAACTGAATTAGAAATATGCATAACAAATCAATTAAATTAAAGACAAATCATTGACAATAAATATTACATAAAATCAAACGCATAAGTATTACCAGCGTTTATCCAAATGTTAAGAGTAGAATTAAAAGTATAATTTTTATTTAAGGAAACGGGGTAAAATGGCAAGGGGTTTCTGCACCTATAATATAAATATTATGAGTAAATAAGCATTAAATTATTAATTATTTTTAAGCGAATTCGTACAGATACCGGTGACGGGCGGGCCACTATCGAGGGTGGAGAGTTGAGAAGGTATGGTATACATAAAGTTATTTAATTTATATTTGTAAGCAACAATAAATCGTGAACGATTCGTATCTAGATTATAACGTAATATCTATTTTAATCGAATTATCTCGGGAAGTTTGGTATTCTTTAAAACATATTATTGTTGTGTTTCTAATACTTGACTATTTTAAAACTCAAATCCCCAAAACCCGCCTTTGAATCTCGATAAAACGTATACGCTGTTCAAGTTGTTATAATACTGAAATTTATTGCGTTCGGTTCGGAACGCTTAAATATTTTGCTTTACGAGGGAGCCAAATGAGCGCGAAACAATCACATTATGCATACACGCACGAAACGAGAATGTCGCCGTGATGGTGCTATTTATGTTTTAAGCCAACGTGGTCGGCACACATGAAAGTGTAATATAGAACATATTTTTTTTTTTCCATTTATACATATATAAGCCATTATAATTTTGCGCGACGGCTTTACCGTTCATATACATGGCATTTCTTGAAAAAAGTTTCTGAAAAACTTCGTTCTACTTAGTGAAAAAAAAGAAAAATGAAACGGGACAACATATATGACGTAAGTATTTTGAATTATAAAGACCCTAAGAAATTAATTTTTTTAGATTCTGAGCGTAGCGAGTAATATATTGGTTTTGCAGTAATGTTTTTTTTTTTTTTTTTGTGGTGTATTTTATCTGTGGACAACTTTTCTACCGGCAATTTTACTCTGATTTTCAAATGTGGCACTTTTTCTGAAAAGAAATCTGATTAGAGTGGTATTTTACCGAAGTAATTTTTTGATTCTCCAAGCCGTTTTCATGAACGCTTTTTTGTAAAATGAAACCATATGGTTTGCGATAAATTTTCAAGGGAAAATTTGCGTCGTGGTTCTAAAAATATTTAATACCACCGTAATAGGCAGTAAATTTATAACCCGTAGTAGAAATAAACGTTGCAAAATACAACTGCAACATCAGGGTCCTAATGATTATAACCATATAAACCTTATCACGATATGATATCGTCATAGTACACTTACGCATAAACTCGGCGATATTTTTGAATTGAATATAATAATAATTCAAAAAATAACTCGAAACGCATAATAATTTCGAATATTATTGCGGAAAAATAAGGAAGTCGCTCGTAGGTACTAATATTATAATTTATTTACAAGGTCGCCCCTCTATACGAAAACATATTTGTGACATTGTATTAATATTATGAAAGCCTACACGTAACTAAAATATGTTCATGAAAATAATATACAATCAAATATTATATTTAACAATATATACACTATACAGGGATTTTTTTTTTTTCATGATAAATAGACAATTTACATTTATATAAATGTAAATTTAATTTTTTTCTAGTATTTTTAATAACTTGTTATAAATCATATCGGAATTTTTTTTTTTTAACAATAATATAATTCTATAATTCTATGAACATTTTACTTTAGAGATAAGGGCGGAAATAGACAAAACCGTTAAATTGAATTTCTTTTATGTATTATGATTTTTTAAATTATTGAAATAGGTTCAGCTAGTTTTAATTAAAATCCAAATTCTTTACATTATTATCCTTGTTAGCGTGATTATTCGATTATATAATTAATTTAATTTTTTTCCTTTCAATGTAAAACTCGAAAAGACTTATTTTTTAACTCTTTGGACGCAAATTCTATTCAATTAAAAAAAAAAAGTTTATACAAAGTTGTACAATTAAAAATATTACTACATAGACAAGCATGATTCAGCAAACTTTTAAATATTGTTTAGTTTGCTAATTTTTGTTTACTTTCTACGATTGTTTATTTGAAGGATTTTTTTTAAACGGTGTGTACCAACAAATTAAACGATCAGCTTTAAATCTATACTTATTTTTTTTAAATAACTTTTTGTCAAATCGCAATTTTAACATTATTTCATTTATAGCATTCACCTCATATATTTGTGAACTATCATTATTTATTATAAATTATAAATCACCATATCGTTGAAAATTAAAATCACTGCGACGAAAAAAATCTTGTTTAAAAAAAAACTCACTTCTCCTAGATTCGTCTCTGTCCAGCGCGTATTTGTTGAACAAAATTGACGGTACTTGCTGCATCATTTCGGGCCCGTCCAATTGATCGCCGTCCGAATAATTTGGATCTGAAAAAAAAACCAAAAACTACTTTGAAACACTAACGTTTTATAAAAAATTAAATCAATCCCATCCGTATATTGTTATCAATATAAAATGGTCTGCGTGTTGGTTCTCTGTCGCTGTAGGCACTTAAATTAATGTGCCATCATCGGAGTACATATTTAATCCAAAATCACACAATTAACAGTTATTTCCCTCAGCGTCAGGTACTTCATAAATTCATGAACTGTCCCCTAGTTAAAAGTTTAACATTCTAATTTTCATTTTAAAAATAATAATAAAAATAAAAAGGACGGATGTACTTCGCACGTAGATGCAGTCACTGTTGTAAGTGGGAAATTCGATGGTATACTATAGACGGAAATTTAATGTATATCTGTAAGCAACAATAAACTTATTGCTAAATAAAAAACGATTCTGAGCGGAGTTCAGTTGACAACAATATATACTTATGTCATAATAAAATGATTATATCAATGTGCGTTTCTATGACAACTATGATTGTTTAAAAAGATTTAAAATAATAAAATAAATAAAAACGGTTGCCAATGACAACTATATTTTTAATCTTTCAATTATTTTTAACCTCAAGACCGAGGTTTTCATCATTATCTCGAATATTAATGAGAATTTCAAAAACTCTCTAGAGTACCACCCAGAGAACATTTACTTTCAGAACTGGTGCTGGTACTTGAGAATCAGAGTATGTTTTCTGATAGAAAAAGTGTTCACAAAAATTTAAAAAAACCATCATTGTAAAACCAATACATTCCTCGTTCTACTCAAAATCTAAAATACAAATTTTCACCCTATATAAACAAAACTATAGAGCTTTCTAATAATTAACGTTTTAACAGGGTTAGCTGTTTTAAACAGATTGTTTCCAACAACTTTTTCATAAAAAACAATATGTGTTTAAAGAAGAATAAAAAATATTGTTTTAATTATATACCTTATGCGCATTAAAAAAAAAAAAACAAATTGGTCATTTTATGATTTTAGTTTTATAGCCCAAAGATTAAATAATTGTATGCTTGAATATTTATGGATATTTATGAATCTACCAAGTAAAAATAAACATAGTTAAATTTAGTCTAGCTAGAGCTCACTAATTAGCTCTAGTACTACAAAATAAGACTTAAGTTATCAGAGACAAATTTTAAAATGTGTTGAATTTCATTTTTACATAGTTTCTTCAATGTACCACGAAGGGAGAAAAAATTGATTTAAAACAAAACTCTACAGTTAACATACAGTTACAGTACATAAAAAGTATTAAGAAAAGGACAGACCTAATTCGCACATTAATGCAGTCTCTGTTATAGGTGGCAAGTTGGGAAGGTAGGATACAAACAAAAATTTAATGTCCCTATATATCTATAAGAAACAACAAACCATTGCTAACAGAAAAACGATTCTGAGTGGACTTCGGTTGACAGTCTTGCTTTGTCAACATCATGTATGTCATATTATGGTAAAATGATTACGACAATTTACATTTTCATGACAATAATGATTGTTTAAAAAATATTAAAATAATAAAAACTTAATAATAACAAAAAAAAATTAAAAACGGTTGCCATTTATAACCTTATTTTTAAACTCCCGATCTGTTTTAACATAAAGAACCAGGTTATTCTCATCTCTCAAATATTAATGATAATTTCAAAAAATTACATCTTTTAAGTACCACCCAGAGATAATTTCCTTTCAGAAGAAGTGCTATACTTGATAATCTGTGTAAACTTTCTGACAGAAAAAGTGTTCTTTGTAAAAAAAAAAATAAACGTCATTATAAAACCAATATATTTCTCCATCCATTCAAAATCTAAAATAAATAAATAAAAACACTTATTTTTAAAAATATAGACAATTATTTTTTTTTCGACACTGATTTGTTTTAGGGCTTTCTTTAAAAAAATATTAGTATAATTTTTACTGAATAAAACTAAGGATATGAATTTTAGAAAAAAGAGAAAATGAACGCCAAAAAAAAATCGCTTAATCCCAGTCGACTTTTTTGTTTGTTTTTGAAGAATTCATATTTAAATTGCCGAGGAATAATCTACTCTACTTCCATCGAAATATTTCCACCGATTGTCTAAAATAACCCCGGTGCCTTGTCATAAACGCTGGCAACGAAAAATGACGTAACTAACTTTTTATCATCGTGCACTTTTTCAGGCTTCATTCTTTTTCACTTTTTTCTACGAAAACGATAATATCTGTAACTATCCAAATAGCTTTTCAATAAAATAATTTATAAAACTACAATATTGTCTTATCTACCGAAAATTAACTTTTTATTTATTTTTATTTCATTTGTAGAAATTAACTATCCATAAGTTATCGAAATATAATATAAAAACACAATAACACCTTTCCGTTTAATATTAAAAAATATTTAAAAAAATAAAAATTGAAATTCATAATTCAAATTTGAAATTATAAACTTTAAACTGCTGACTTGAAAAATGATAAAAGTGAGTTGCGTCATTATTCGTTGGCATCGTCGATGGATATTATTGAAGTAAAACAATTGATTAGTTACAAAAAACTACATATATATATATTAATATATTCTACGAGTCATTGATATAATATTATTCACCCCAGTTGCTACATTTAAATTTCATTCTTCAGTATAAATATAAATAAATTTTAAAAAAAATGCACATAAAAATAATCGTAAAAAAAAAAAAATCGAAAAACATACTAAAATACTTTTCATTTCGACTTTTAACAACACTTATGAAACACGAGAAAATGTCCAAGAAGTAGGAGAATATTTCCGAAATATATTTTGATCCTAGGGAAATTCCACTGGGAATATTTCTAGTGGCACATCGCTAACTATGACTTATTAATACTCGTAATAATAAAGGTGCGTAAGGACGATACGGAATATTAAAAAAAAAAAACGCGAACGGTCGAATTTCAAACGATTGAACAAAATTGAAAAGTCCAACAATATTATATTATGATGATGACAATAGAACGTTACATTTGCGATCGTATCAACGGGCGCAAGTATTATTATATTGAAATTCGAAATTTATAACGTCAATTTAAAATTCGTTTCACGTAAAAAGCGCGTTTATTGCGTTTAATGCAATTTACGTGTTAGATACCAGCTATACCAGCTACCTCGTTTTTACTGTACATGGAATACTATATTACAATATAGCTGTGCTGTATTGCTCAGTAGTTCATATTTTGGTCGGCGGGTATAACAATAATAATAATAATATTTATGTACCTAGGTGTACGAATAAAACGTATCTCGTGTTTAAATATAATAATATAATGTCGTACTCTCCGTATGCGCCGGGGAAAACGGAGAAAAACTGTACACGTTTTCCAGAAAAAAAGAAATTTACGACGATGTTAACGCGCAGACAAAAATAAAATAGGTAGGTACACGAACGCATAAATTATTACGCGTTATAGTTTTGAACACGATGACGAGCGTACGCGCAAAAATTAATATTTCGTCGAGAGTAGGTTAGGTCGTGGAGGCTAAGTTCGATTATTTATAAATGTATTATTCGATATAAACCATAGAATACTGTTGTAAGTGGTCAATGGTCAATCGTATACCGTATACGACGATAAATTATTGCAAACGAAAAATCACTCAGGTTGATAATAACAGTTTAAAATAATGAAATGGAATATATTGTTTTCATTCTATTAATAAAAACTCATGAATACATAACAAGCTATTATAATCCGGTTAATTTTAAACTTGGTCTGGTGCGTTTTGGATACGAATCGTTTGGTACAGACTAGGATTCATTTTCAAAAGTCCTGTAAAACATTGTCGCTAACTCATTTTCCCATTTATCTGAAACATGCGAGAGCTTTGATTCTAGCCTGCTCAAATAAAACCATGTTGAAAAGTTGGAAATCTAGATATTTGTTTAATACTCTTGGGCGAAAATCCCGCATATTTTAAAATACAATGTGAATAATATAGGGCCTTTTTACAAAACAAAAATATTTTCCGAAAAGAACAAAAAAAGAGCTGATACTGAAGACGGGTGGGTATTCGGGAAGGTGGGATAAATAAAGTTATTTAATTTATACCTATAACCAATGATAAACCATTTCCTACGAAAAACGATTCGGAACGAAGTTAGGTTATACATTTTTTAAAAGGTCGTAATATTTACAATTTTAGTCTGACTTAAAAACTTTTAGTCTAACTAATTTCTTTCACAAAACATTCACCACATAAAAAAGACATGTAAAATTTGCAGACAATAAATGCATATAAATGACTCAAATATTTTGAAAATTTGACCACATCTAAAAAAAGCATATATAAATATTTTAAGTCTCTATACATATTTCAAATTAAATTCCATTTAAAAAAAAAAACAAAATTTAAAAAAGGACGAACATTCTTTGCGCGTGATCGCAGCCACTGTTGCAGACAAAACGTTGGGAAGGTAGGATACAGACGGGAATTTAATATACCTACAATATATGTGTCACAAAAAGCAACTATAGTAATACCAAGTACTGTCGGTCATGGATCGCGCATATTTCGAGATATTGCGTAAACAAATTCGAAAATGTATCTAATTAATAAAGTGTTTAAAAAAAAAAAACATAACATTAAAATCTATTTTTTGGAAAAATATTGAGAATTTCCAAAAAAATTTCAAAGAAAGTACTAACAGGCGAAAATAATTCATCTTTCCAGATATATTATAAGAAACTTGGTGCATTTTTACTAGTTAAAAAAGTGTTTTCCGAGAAAAAAAAACACAACATATTAAAACCAAAAAACATATATATAAATTGGTAATTGTATTTCCGGGAGGAAAGGAATGTTAAACATAATCTAATTGCCCTACAGTTAAAATTTTTAAAAGCGTACATAATATTTTCTCGTAAAATGTCAATCTATACTACTGTTGTACTATTACAATTGTGGCATGTATAAACGTATAGGTTAATAATAATAATAAATATTTTATAACTTACAGTGAGTAAACACAATATGCATTCTGTCTTCACTATTGAAGTGCCCTTAGAGTTTTAAGTATCACTAATTAACACATTTTAATAATATCGCGATTCAGGAAATTTTTTCAAAAGAGGTTATCTGTGTTCAAGCGGATAAACAGTAAAAAGTTCGTTATGCATCAAGTGCAGTGAAATTTTGCTTACCCGCTTCCTACTATAACAAATACATAGTAAACGAATGAACTGTTCGATTTTGTACCAAACAATTTAATTATATATAGGGTATCCCAAGAAGGTCATACCCATTGTAATGTCTCCGGAGATAATAAAGCTGATCAAATTCTGTTTTTTTTATTTCTCACAGAGATAATGACTACAAATATTTATATTGCAATTCATTTTTTAAGCTTTGATCAAAACTTGAAAAGATAACTTTTTATTTTATTATTTTTGAAAACTTGAAGATAGTCATTTTATAGAATTTATTTTTCTGAAAATTTTAATGTATCAACTTTTAATGTTCACTAAATTTGTGATTTTTAATAATTTTTTAAAGTTTAGAGAAAAGTATCTACGACTATGCAGCAGGCTGTAATCGCATTCTCTAATAGATTATTATTATTATTATTACGATTAATTTACTGTACACTCCTTTTCGTTGAATTTTAAAGAATTATTAAAAATCACAAATTTTAATAAAAAATAAAAACTTGGTACGTTAAACTATCGGAAAAATAAACTCTATAAAATAACTATCTTCAATGACGCGCCACGGCAGGGCGAGTGATAACCGGAGAACGTCCACAATTTAACCTGAAGGTTTAGTTTGTCCGCTCTTGGTGAATTTTTTTAAAAGGACATTCACTAATAAATATACCATGTTGCGATTTAACAGGAAAACCAACTCAATCATGAACTGCGGTTAACTAATGGGAAGGCAGGGGGCACGTCAAAAGAGATTATTTCATATGGTATTTAAATTCATAGAATAGTATTAATTATTATAATACGGGTGTAGATTTATATTTTATATATATATATATTGATAATAATTTATTCATACATGAAAGTGACTTATGGAAATAAACTTTAACGCAATATAAACGTACCTACCTAATATGCGTACACGTGTATATTATTTTGTACTATTACTCCGCCATTTTAATTATATTAAATATTTGTACGTTACCTGTGTATTATGTATAAATTCGTGTTGTACCTAACGTGTATTCGTAAATAAGTATTATAATAGATGTACACGATGTATTTGTAGGTATACGAGTATTTTACAAATTGTGCGCCGAGGGGGAAGTAAACTTCTTCTTTAAATACACGGCGTTCTCGTACCGTACCTATATTACAGCAAAGTCGTTCCTCATTTATACGCTTTACGTTGTAATAAATGATGAAAAATAAGACGTTATTTTTGTTGGAAATGAGATTGTAAAAAATATTCCGTCGCCGCCCGGCAAAGTCTCGAAATTGTATTTTTGTATATTAGATTTATTATTCCTTTTTATTTTCAAATAAAAAAAAAAAAAAAAAACCTTTAATTTATTATAATTATATTGTAATATTTTAATATTCCTATTAACACGCCCGAGTTACTACGAGTTTACCGATGTGTAAATCATTTTTATTTTTCATTGTTGATGTTTTTAGACAAATGAACGTGTAATATATACCATCTATATGACACGGTATGATTTTCATCAATTTTTTCATCCACTTTGTGAAATAAAACAGGATATATTATAATTTGTCACGGCTATATTGTTGAACATTGAATAATGTCAAATTTTGATTCAATACATCTAATTTTAGGTTGTTAATTTTTTATATTTGAATACATTTGATTGTTATAAAACTTAAAGGTAAGAATATCATCCGTGTTTGTGCGTTGATGTTTTTTCGATATTTTAATTTTCAAGCGAGACGCGGGTATGTGAAATATTACAATTAAAAAAAATCTGTGGATCGCTTAAAAATCAAATTCCGAAAAAAAATAAACAAACTTAAATACAAACACAGGCAATGTTTTTTCTTTCATTTAAGTTTGATACCGTAGGCCATATTCCATTTAATATTAAAACCAGTGGAACAAAATTTAACACCATCCGATTTTTATGACAATATATTATAATATGTTCATTATGTGTATCATGTACAGATTTGTATATTTATTTCACGTCATTACCGGACTTATTTGACTTGTATCGCATTTGTATAACAATATTAAAACAAAACGATAGAGTAGTATACTAACATACTAATAGTGTGTATGCCTTTACTGTATGTGCGTTGTATAGTATTTACAAAGCGAACAAGCCTGCCAATGCCGAACAATAATAATTACGAGTTGACAAATATTAATACACCTATTTACGTATTTTCCGCGAATTATATATGCGACATAGTAATAATCATAAAAAAAAACCGCGTGTAAAACGATCATAACAATATTATATACCATACCTGGTACTCGGTACCGGCCGTGGTAATAGTTGGCGTTATTTCGGGGACCGCTGTTTTGGCTGGTCGATCTGGGCTTAATGGCCGGAGAATGTCTGCGTAACGGCACCGTGTCCGAGTACCTGGATTGCTGTGAGTATCGATTTGGGGCCGCCTTTCCGGGCATAACGCCCCCGAACATCGCGTATTCTCTTTCCATTCGGTCGTAGTACCTGCGGAATGGTCAAAATAACGCAATTTAAAAAAAATAAAATAAAATAACAAAACAAAAGTATCGATCGCGTTTTACTCAAAAACTCTATTGCGGTAGTAGGTATATTGGATTATATACGCATATATAGTGTACTTACCTGCACTCGGTGTCCGAATACGACGACCTGGTGTAACAATCGGACATTCCGAGAGCGCTGTCCGCTGATCTTTGCGATATTCGTCCCGTTCTCTTGAGCGACGTGGCCCTCGATCTGGTGAAAAAATTTTAACAAACGTATGAAATAATTATAATAAATAATGTAATTCGTTAGTTAAGTTTTAAGCATAAGTTTTATTCCATTGAATTTTTTTTTTTTTTTTGTTAAACTTATTATCTAATGTCTCAATTAAAATATGTTTAGAAAAAAATACAAGGTATACACTTGTCACTGTTGTGGGAAGTTCAGAAAGTATAGAGTAAATTAGTTTATAAACTAAAAGCAATAATGAATTATTACAATAAAAAACAATTCTGAGTAGGTCAATTGGTCGTGTTTTTCCTTGTAGCCAAGATAACTGATAAATCAACAAAAATAATACCCGCATAGTACTTGCAATATATCTTCATTTATTATCGATTTATAAAAACTATTGGGAATTCAACTATTGGGCAAAAATCCACTTTTTTTTAAGGTATGGTGTATAAACTTTTTACAAACCGCAATAGTGTTTTCTGAGGGGAAAAAACACGTATTTATAGTAAAACTATAAATGGCTTATTCACTACACGCAGTTTACACGTATCTATATAATATTTTGAAAAGGTTATTTATTTGTATAAGAGTTTATCCCTAGGTAATTATCATGTCCTCCTAAAGCCTCTTGTTTTCATGTGCTACCAAATGTTCGAATATACTGCAGCACAACCGATAAATACATCGAATTATAACTCGTATATTATTATAATAGTAACTGGTAACCGACCGCATATAACATTTCGCTACCGGTCATTAGGGAATTAAGCAAAACGTGACTCGACTGCAGCTAGTACGGTGTAGCTGTACGTTAAAATATAATCATATGCAAATATGAAACGGAGGCCGAGTTAGTATAAAATCTTACCCATGAGAGCGCGTAGTTGATCTTTGACTACGAGACCTCCGCAGGGACTGCACTCGTCTCTGTCGTCTAGTGCACGTGTAGCAACATACTTTCCAGTAAAGGAACCTGAAAGAATGGGCCATTATGTCGCCGATGTTGGACAGGCACAACAGCATCAGAGGTATGCCGACAATAGCGTAGAATATCGTTACGATTTTTCCGTTCAAAGTTTTCGGAGCGATATGGCCGTAACCTGAAACATGTGCAAAAAATTAAAATTAAAAAAATCCGAATACACTTCGCATCGTCAGTAGGTAAGCTTTGGAAATACGTATGTTCAATACAAGAGTATCTTAAATACATATTTTAAAATACAATCATATCTTACTGCGATATTACAGTTTTAGAAATAATCGAGCATCTTGTATTGCGGTACTGAAATAAATATTTCTAGAATCTAGATAGGTACTTGGTCCTTTCTGGATCCGAATTGCATCATTTCCTCACTGATATTTCTAAAAATTCATTAAAAGTTGAAAGTGAATGAAAATAAAGGGAATTGTTGAGAATTTCGAAAAAGTTTTCAAATAAATAACAATCGTATCATTTAAGATATTTAATATTTTTATTTTGATGTATCTAATAACGAGTATCGAGTAACTATAAGTATTTAAATATATCAAATGTATGTATCTAGCAACAATTATATACATAAGTATCTAATATCGTGTATCTAAATACTGAAAATCAATATATTTTTATATTGATGTTTATACAGGTACGAATATTGAAGTATCTTGTCGGCAAACTACAGACCATCATGTTATAGGAGAAACGTTTATAATATTTAAGATAAAGTATACATACTAAAAGAAACGATAAATATTTGCAATCAAATGAAGATGTTTACGGAGTTCGGTTAACTGATATGGTATTTTAGCGAACAGGGAGTCCAGAAATCAACAAATTAAAACCAATTTATCGACATTTGCTGTCGAGTTATATGATTTAATTAAAAAAATAATTGAGAACTTGAGAAGAATATTTAAATAAAGCATATTATCAAGCGGAAAATCCGCATCCTTTGAAGATATGGTATGGAAATATTGGAGCATTTATATACTAACCGAAAAAAGTATTTCCCGAAAAAAATTAAACACGCCTTTATAAAACCCTAATAATTTCTTCGTTATACTTAGAATATTTAATTGTAATAATCTGATATTCAATTTTTTTTTTTATGTATATATATACGTTTTATAAAATTTAGTTGAAAATTACCATAAATACGAAATAATAATTTGCAATTTTAGTGACTTTCACGAAGAATGAACAAGTGGTTTTGAAAAACCGTTCTAATTAGAATTGAACTCAAAGGGTCCATCAATATATCGTTAGCGATAGCTTTCGTATAACTTTTAACAGCCTGTATTTGTACACGTGCGTTGTGTAATTAAAGAATCAACTTTATTTTATATCGCTTGAAATCATAATAGCCAGAACAAATTGACAAAAAAAAAAAAAAAAAAACGAGCCACTGCAATGCCTTCTGAAATAAACTACCCACTACATTACGCTTAACTTTTTTTTATCAACCCCTAAGTACAACTTATAGTGAACCTCCTGTTAAATTTTCAAACATTTCTGAATATTCGCATAATTTTGTTTGCATAGTACGCAGTTACTAAATTAAAGCTAAAAAAGAAAAAAACTCATTAATATAAAATATATATAAATAATAATAAAATGTGAAAAAAAGGCTAATAAATTATAGGAAAATTTCAGATTTCTACTAATATTTTTAATTGAATAACAATCAAAACAAATAATAAATAATAATAAAACCACTGTTTTTGTAAATTGTATTGTTTTTCTTAAATGTTTTCTCCATTTTTCCTATTTTTAAGAAAACTACACGGAATATCAAAAAACTGTTTCAATGTACGCCTGACAGGAAAATGAAAATTGAGAATAAAACCTCATATTTTCCAATATTACTTTTCCCGGGGCCATCGCTTCCTCACGTTGGAATTTAATCGAAAATAACCCTAGATTTGTAACCATATAGGTCAGAGGGAAAAAATGTTTTCACTTCTTTCGTGGAATTTTTGCTTTTTTGTTATAACGGAAAAAGAACTACACGAGGTCCTGAATTCATTTTACAATATTTGGGTACATTATGTAACCAAACAGAACACAAAACGTATACACAACACGTTATTATATTATAACTGGTATACTAAATAATTATTCGTCTTCGAGTTTTTTTTTTGACAGTAAACAGCTAGGTGTGTTTTAAACCTTAATTTGCTGAGATAGGTATTCCATGAAAAATTAAAATTGTATTTCACCGCCTAATCAAAAAATTATAAACACTTTATATAGCTGCATACAATTATAATATTCCGCTCGGATGCGTTCGTTATTTTAAAACACACACGCTTAAGTAGAGTTTTATTTATTGAATCAATTTAAACAAATTAAATAAAATAAATAAAACGATTCTTAATTGATTTAACTCGTAAACAAATGGTACGATAAATTAATATAATATTATTAAGATGTTAAATTAACGTTAAATGATAATTAATGTTGACGTTCGTATGTTAATTCGAAAGTTTTCCATAACTTATTTAGTTAAATTTTTAGTGCCAACTGCAACGTGGTTGTACCTACTGCGAAAGTATTTCGGTTATTCAATTAAAATTAAAACACAAAAAATTAAATTCACTTATTAACTATAGGTATATTATAATTGTATAATAGTCGGTTTCTTTTTACTCGATTTATATCCTAGTAAAGTATTTGATTAATGCATAGTATTCGAGTGCTGGGATTTAAATACTTTTACAATAATTTGTGTTTTGTATTTGCAAGCAACTTTTCTGCCAGATATCTCGCTCTGATTTAACAAGTATAATTTTTATAATTTGTATCGTTAAAACTACGGCATTTCAAAATATGTCTATACGAATCGTTTTTCTTTAGCAATGATTTATGACGTATGTATATAAATTAAATAACTTTATGTATCCTACTTTTCCTACACCCCCCTACATCAGTGGCTGCGCTCGTCTCCAGTATCAGCTCTTTTTGTTTTTTGATTTTTATTGATTTTTGGGTTATCCAGGTAACAAGGAAATAAACGCAACTGATTCTTCTTCGTTTAGAACCGTTTATATTTCACTAATTATTGCATACAGTATAGAAGTACAACGATTATCTTGTATACCATAGCTATGTATTCGTAGCTACCGACTCACAGGAGTGGCTTAACCTTTGGCAGTATTCACTTGTCCTAAAATTAAGTACATAATTTTATACCCTTTTTCGCTGGTTCATAACTGATTGATATTTAAATAATGTTACAAAAGTACTATTTACAAGACTGTAAACGTGTTATTCTCGAAAAATTATACGAAAAAGAAATCGATAAACGATGACTGAGTATCTGAGAACTAATTGTGTAATCGTAAACTGCAATATTTAAAATCTCGAATACCTACCATAAAACTAATTTAGTTTCATTATTGACAAAATATTATACAGAATCTAATATATGAGCGTGATAATTTGTTGTTGTTATTTTTGTCACAGCTAATCTAATACAAATGTGATTTGAAAAATAAATATACAGCGAACAAATCGATTTTCATTCACTTTTTCTGAAGTGAAAACACTGCGACGACACAGTCTGTTCGTGATGCAATTATTCTTACTATTATTATTTTACATTAATAATTAGCCGTGGCTTGGAAAAAAAAAACTGAAGAAAAAAAATACACATGTCACACGTGCGAGCAGTACACGAGACCCAGAGATTTGTAACGCTCCACGTGCACGTTTACGGCCGTCAGAAGATTCCAGAGTAGACATCACACGAGCGTTTTATGGACACGGAGAACAAATTTCGCGGATGGACAGTGGAGGAAAAAAAGAAAAAAACCAGTGAAAAAAACCCTATAATATTAATAATAAAATATATGTATATATATATATACACTACACTGCAGGTCTCCTGCTGTCGACCCGAATAACCGCGAAAACAAACTTCACGCTTTTCTGGACGATGATTCGTAAGTTTTCGCGCAGGGTAAACATGAATAAAAATATAATTATAAATTTTATAGTATACTATTATTACGACCTACTTTTCTATAGTATACGTATTTGCAAATATAAATTTCGTTGTATTAATATTTCATTAGCAAAAAAATATCTTATTAAAACAACTAGCTGCTCCGTACAGTTTTGCCCGAACGCAGTATTAACGAAAAACAAAAATACAGTTGTCAATGTGACTTTCAAATAATTGTAGCCGTATTTAAAGGGGACTAATTTAGTGTCCTCTTAATGAAGAGTTAAACATTATACGTATAGATAACATAAATTACGAATTACATAATTAGATTTTATCTTATCAGTTAGGTGTCATCTAACATGGCTAAATTAAATAATAAGTACTCCTATAAGTAGATAATGTACGTACATCAATACTACATTAATAAATAGCCATTTGCAGTATACTATCGTGGACAATATAGTTTTTGAATTAAAGAATAACGATTTCAATGAAAGGTTATTTGTGTCGAATGATCTTGGTAATTTTTTGAAATTAAACATTCATAAATCAGACTTTTTCATTGATAACAACAAAAGCTATTTGAAAATTGATTAGAACATACAACAAGCAGAAATTAATGTTTTGAGAAAAATATAATAGCGAAAGACGAATGACAGCTTGATAATCTCATACAAGTTGCAAAAAGATTAGTATTACCAAATGTAAAGCAAATGATAAACGTAGCTTTAATTCTTCCTATGACCCGCTGCTACTCGTAAACTAACTAATTCGGCTATGAGAAAAATAAAAACATTGTTCAGTTTTTCGACGGAACAAAATAGTTTTGATAATTTGGCTTTAGTCAATATTGAGAACGATTTAACAAAAGACATAAATAAACAACACTTACATAATGCAAAAATTCAACTAATAATTTATAAATAACTACAAAATTGTGTATATTTTTAGACCACGAGTCGTATAGTATATTATGTGACATACAATAATTGTCATGTAATATTAATATAATTTTACAAATTATCACAACAATGTTTTTAATATGTAAATAATATAAAAAAATTTTAAAAAAAACACTATTATTTAGGAATAATTATTGACTTTGAAAAAAAATACATGATTTGGGACTTAAATCCCTCCCCCTCCAGCAGAACAACAACCCTGAATAGGTAGACCACCACTAATTGACTTGGAGAAAAAAATCCTTGAAAATTAAGCCCTTATCAAGTATAAATGGTAAATATTATATATGTATAAATAATCAGTAACACGGTAGCTATGTGTTAAACTAGTTTCAAACAAAATTGGTCAATTGCCCGGCATTTGCATTTTACGATTCGCGTTTTCGCTGGTATATAGGAACTTTTACGTATCCTTTAAGTCGGTCTCGCGTAGGTCTGTGCGGCCTCGACTCGATTTAGTTAGGATCTTTTTTTTTTCCCTTTCTTTTTTATAACGGTCGTGGGCGGTGATATCCGTTTTCGACGGTTAAGTGTATTCGCGATAAAAACATTGCGACCTCGGTGAAATAATATATTATACGTGGTGGCGTATATAATACCTAGTCTTCGTTTTTGTCGAACCGTGTGTTTTTTATTTTTTTTATCGCTATAGTTTATTTACTTTATATATACAATGTGCATATATATATTGCGCATCGTTTTCTCGCACAATTACCTACCTATACGCCTCGACTACGGGGACATTTTTCGACTATCGGATAACTACCTAAGGTACTTTGCGAACACCTAAAAAGCACCGTATCGACGAATTTTTATATTTTTTTTTTTTCCAAAAAAATAACTCCACACACTTTAATTGACTTGAAATTATTTTAAGCGCTTAACGTTTTAAAATGTTTGTACCTATGTTTTATATTATAGTAATAATATAAATTATTACATTTATAAAATACAAAACAAAAATGTTCAATTGAATTTTTAAATTCTGAGTGAAGCGATGATCATATTAGTTTTACTAGGATGATTTTTTTTTTTTATTATTTTTTGTGTCTGTAAATAACTTTTTCACTAAAAATTATGCTCCGGACAAAACTTCGTAGAAACTTTCTTTTAGCATTTTTCATCTAATTGATAAGATTTTTTGATTTTCTGGACAATTTTTATCATTTTTGTTGATTTCTGAGTAACTTTGACTGAAGAAAAAATACGATTACTAATACTTTGTTCAGAATCGTCTTTCATTCGCGATGGCTTATGGTTGGGTACATATATAAATTAAATTACTCTGTATATCCTTCCTCAAAACTTCCCGCCTAAAACAGTAGCACACCCATCAGCAGCATCAGTCATTTTGTTTTTGTTTTTAACGCACATTTTCTTTTTATTATTAGGTGCACCACCGCCGTCCTGTATCCCAAAATAATATAAATTGAATCGTTACGAGAGAAGTTTCTTAAATAAATCTTTTGGTCCAAGTTTTTGTTTAAAATACTACAAGCGGTGATAGGTTTTTTTTGTCGTTGTTTTTGTTATTCACGTCTTAATTTAAAAACACTCTCGCCCCCGAAAAGTTATACACAAGAATCTAGATGGCACTTTTTCACTCGAACGTCCGACTTTCCGCTTGCGTTACTCGCGGTGGTAGTCTACACTTAATTTTCTCTCGCACGCGCGTTAATATAAAATATAATATTATTATTCAACAGCAAAGTTACTGAATTAGGTACGACGAGTGACGACTGCGCAAATAATAATATGGAGTTCACAAAATTTAATGAACCACGAGTTATAGATAATAATAATGATATCGATGTGCATCACGCGGTTACTACAATTATTACTATTTCGTATGATTAAAATGGATTCTCAACTTAAATAAATTTGAACGGTAAACTTTCAACATAAGGCTGTTCAAAGAACGTGACGGTATTCAACGGGAGATAAGACTTAAACCGTTCGGAAGTTCTCATTTAGAATTCGTATAGGGTATATCGTACTTATTGTATACTTAAATATATTTTTCTTATTTAGCGAATTATCGAACTACGGTTTTATTTTCGTCGAGATTATCGCGTCCGGGAAAATTCGACGTCAAGCTTATCAAACGTATCCTAAACCTCTATGTATCCTTTGTCATTTCGTGCCACTTTCGAGTATGTATAAAAAGTTAATACAGCTGGTGTGTATGACACTATTTTAGGAGAAAGGTAAAGAGGTAAAGAGTAAAAAGAGTAATTATTTATAGAATAATTTAATTTATATGTGTAAGCAAAGAAAAATTAATGAAACATGTTTCTTGACCGAAGTTATTATTAGTTATATTTTTTTCCGTTGTAATACAGAATGCAACAAAAATTATAAAACAAATGACCAGTTTTTCCCATTTATTAAAAAAAACTTCAAGGAAGTCAAAAAATTACCTTTCCAACACACTAACTAGATCAAAAATTTTACAATTTAAATCTCTTTAAAGTTTTTGATAAAAGAAAGATTTCTGACCATAAATTTGTTTACAGATATAAAAAAAACACGTCATAATAAAATAATAAGATCCTAGCTTCCGTCAAAACTTTGAAGTTATGTACGCCAAATTAATATGCAGAAATATGATGAATTCTAAGAAACGGATTCTATCTTAATTACATAATACTTTTAGTTTTTTAATAAGTTTTTATAAATGTTTTTAATATTAAATTTAATTGGAAATCGTAAAAATTACTGTATTTAAAAACAAGTTATATAGGGTATAAACGAACTTTGCTCAAAATTGTATTTCGTTAGCAATGATTTATCGATAGATTATATAACTTTATGTGTACTACCTTCACACTTCCCAACCACAACAGTGGCATACCTATCAGCCGTATCCGTTTTTTTTTTTCTTTTCTTTTTTACTTATTTCAGTAAAAACTAGAAGATACTACTGCGAATTCTGTAACAAATTTTATTTTTTTTTTAATAATAAATCCGTTCCCTAATTATTATTGTTACATTGTATGTATAATTTGACGTGCAGTGAACGAAAATACGGAAATGCGTGGGGTAGGGCCAAAAATGACTGAAACATCGTCTCGTGTGACTGTAATGAGCTGTATAATAATAATTATAATAATAGTAAATGTATATTTTGAATCGAAGAAGGTCGTGGGCGAATGATGACCTCCGACTCCAGCCGAGGACGTCAGACACAACCGAGTGACATATTATTTGTAATATTACGACGACGTTTGCACGGACCAACGCCTTCCGATAACATAATTGCGTGCAGTTTATTATTATTTTGTTTGAAAAACCGTCTCGTGAACGATAGACATGAGAAAATATCAGTACAAAACAGAAGGTATAAAACCAGTGTTGTGCTTTCTTTAGATATGTATATTTTATATCTAGAGAAAAATACTACCTTAGTTATCTAAGACGAATAAATTGAATAATCTAAATAAATCTCTTAAAATCATCATTTATATTATTAGTATACTTAATATTAATTTAATATAGTGTTTAATAAATAACAGTTAAATAAAGTAATCAATCACACAATCTTTATGGGAAATTTAGATGTGTACCAGATCTGATACACTTTTACTATCTTCGCACTTAGCACTTTGATTTATAATAGATAAAGAACTAAAATATCTTTTTTACAAAAGCAGCGGTATCGTGTGTACCAAATACGTCATATTTAATATTTCCTGTTTTACCGAATTTTCAACATAGAAATCTCCCATACGGAACTCCTGCAGAACTGATACGAATTTTTAGCAGGTCGTGTTTATAGATAGAAAGAATGTAACATAATAAAAATGCACACCATAGTTAATAACCAATATGCGAAAAACCATAAAGAAAAAAAAATATAAGGTTCCAAAATGAACACCTAACTGCGAAAATGCCTCTAAAAACAAAAAAATATAGCGAATTTGTACGGCAAATAAAAATAAATACGACCAAACAGGGTTGTATTTATTTACCGAATCCGAGAATTGGCCACGATTATATGGTAACGATTTCCATTTTCGGCAAACGTATACGAGAGAAAACGTTTTATTTAATGATGGGCCAATAGACGTAGGTATAGAAAAGGATCAGCCAAAGTATTTCGCCAATAAAACTATTATCTATTTCACGCAGTGCGGTTTTAACTCTCGAATGAACGGTGCGTGTGTAATTTCATTTTAAATATTTCAAACGATGGGAAATTGTTGCACGTCGAATTGAAAACACGATACTGAACGCGACCAAAAATAATTCGATTTCAGACGACCAGTATTGTACACAATACTACACTGTCTCTATAAAGATATAAGAAATGATTTCTAGAGTAATTGTCTTGATAAAGACAAATAAACAGGAACGTTTTATCTAGGAAAAAAGATAATTTTATTCAATATCAGTTCATTATCTGCCATTGTGCTAATGCACAAAAGTGCCCCAGTTTTGGTACACATCTAGATTTCGCAAAAGGTTTTATGAATGATGTAACTTAATAATTTATTTATTAAACCATACGTTAATATAAATTGACTATTTTAGCTATTACTTTTAATATTATATAAATGACTGTTTAAAAATATTTGCTTAAACGGTTCAACGATTTATCTCAGATAACTTATTTTGTGTTTATCTAGACAGAGAACAGATAAAAGTATACCTATATTTTGACAATTTACCTAAATAGAATACAACACTGTAGACAACGAACGATTTTCATTATAACTCAAAATTCACATACTGTCCATATAATATACATGTACATATTGATATTTCCCTTATATATTATATGATATTGGATATTTAATACAAACATTTTCCGAGTATAAAATATGAATTCGAAATAATGAAGTAAATACTATAGCTGCGGATCAAACCGTTTTTTTAGAAAATTAGAAGATCAAAAGAAAAAATAGAATCAATTTTTCTCATTTATTGTCGCGATAATTATTATTTATATTTTGTAGTTCAAAAAAAAAAATCCTTTGTGCGTTTGTATTGCTGCGGAAACTACAAAATAACAAGAATTTCACAACATTTCAATCGTTTTTACACTACAAATCAAATCTGCGACTCCGAATGTTCCAAAGAGAAAACTTGATTAGTAACTACTTAGGGTAAAAAAAAAAAAAAAATGTTCAGAGAATGCCATTTATCAATAAATTCAAACTGTATGGATTATATTATTATACGTATCTAAACATACCTGTCTCCAATAACAATAATATAAGTAAACCTGACAAATTGAATAACGACGAGAAAATATAAAAGTCGGCATGAAAATACAAATCTGTCTTTTTATAATGATATATAAGTTTGCGCCGAATAATTAATTATATTAAACAAGTGCCCTCTAAGTTTGAAAACTCGTCAACACAGATTTTGTAGTTAATAGAGTTGGGTTTTAAAATTTTTAATTAAAACGAGAAACTTTAACGAATAATACAAAATTAATGCAAGTACTTATGTAGATATCCATATATATACACAAGGTATCTAAATAGGTATAGTTCTATAATGTTGTTATAGTACCTAAATGAAGAGCCGTAACCTTCGGACCTTCGGACTTGAAATAAATATGTATAGGTATTTCATTGCTGTAATTTGAAAGTGTAATATATACAGGACGTACAATACTGTATAATATACATTATATTAAGGATTTGACAATTTCCCATAAGTAAACGGGGAATTGTTTAACTGTAAAACCCTGTGACTACAACGACTTTTTGTTCGGCTTTTCATAATTTTCTGAAAAGGGCAATTTATTAATTATGTCATACTACTATACACAATTTTCAAAATGTAATTTTGCATTTATTCAAAACTCTACGAAATTGACTAAGCTCTTTATCCCTGGGACCGAAAATACATTGGTGTACGTCACATTACTTTAAGAGAATAAGAGCGAATGATATAGTGAACGACGTAAAGCCAATTTTCACAACTAGTCGTTAAAAATTTAATGAGCACATTAATATTATTTGAAAACACAGTAGTACTGTTGTAGATTACAATATTTTAATTTGTTTTGGCTTATTTCAACATTTTTCAACGCATATTGTATTTGAATACGTAATATTATGTTTTTAAAAGCATACAATTAATTTTTTTGAGTTACTAAAACAGTCACGAGTCTTATTGTTTTAATGTTAATGATAATATTTTGTTACATACGAGTTACGTGTATAATAATAATATTGTTGCACTATAAACACGATATGAGCACTCCAAAAAAGGTATACATGGTTTTATTTTTTTACTCAACAGGCTGAAAAATAGTTTTTTTTTTAAGAATATGTCATATTATAATCATGAACGAAAAATACCCGAAATTAATAATGCTCTAAAACTATCGAAAAATGGTACAAAAAAATAGCAAAAGATTCCCTGTGAAAAAAAAAATTAATTTTAGAAAAACAATACTCTTCAAATATTTATCCAAAAATGCTAAAAAATATGTACACAAAAATGAAAAAACAGCGAATAATTAAAAAAAAAAAGTCGAATTATGTACGTGGAAAGCATATTGTCTTAAGACCCATGCACATTTCATTAAAATCCAAGAGTCTAATTGTAAAGTTTTATTTTCAAAATTCGATATTTTCATAAAAAACTTATAGTTGGTTAGGTACTAAAAAAATGTTTGTGTAAAAAATATTGTATATTTGTAAATCATTAGATAGAGGGCAGCCATCTGTTTACAAAGGAACAATCTAACCGATTTAATAACAAATATAGGTAGTGAAAAAAATATACATAACAGACTTATCTGCTTGGAAAAATTACTCGAGGAATGTGAGATAAAATTATGATAACGAAATCGAATTTTCGGTTTACAATCGCTGCATAGACGAAATTTTAATTTTTAATTGGGGGAGTGCTAGATAAATGTATGCCAAACACACAAACCTGTGGGAGTCCAGCACACTGATATATTACGATTATTTCTCAACCATTGAGAAGTTGCACACTAAATTGTGATCACACAGTGATAGCGAAACAACTCACAAGACACAAGGGTGCAAAAATGGTAAGAGAACAGTGATAGCGAAAATGATAATAACAGCCAACGGGTGATACCAAAGTATAATATGATTAACTTTTGCCGAATAATTCTTCGTTAATTTTAAATTATTATTAATATTAATGTGCAATAATATACAAATATTTTATAAATATAATTTTTTTTTTTTTTTCCATAAGCACGTTGCCGTCTCTACGGAGCACTTGGCCTCGCTAGCCCCTCACCCGAATCACGATGGTCGCGCCTACGTTACGCGTATACTGTCTAACCTATATAACCTGCAACAGTATAGCCTGTAAACGTGGGTATGACATAACGCGACGTTTTCGCGCTGTATACGAAACGGTTCATAACGACAGTGGCAGATATCGAGGAGGGGGGGGGGGGGGATGATCCCCCAATCGCCCCCCCCCCCCCTTTGGGATTATTTTCACCGCTATATTTCATTATCTAAAATTCAATATTTGGGAATTTATACGAACACACAGGACATTTTGGACATTTACGATACTCCCTCCCACCCCCGGGGACGGAGGTCTGAAAAAATCACCGGAGAGACTAAACCCCGTAACCTGTGTGATTTTCAAAAATCGCTCCCACCCCCCTCTCCCTGAAAACTGGGATATATCCGCCACTGCATAACGACGCCGCTGTATTGTAACGGTTGTTATAATATATATTTTGATAATATTATGTTAATAATTAAACCGCGCCGTCGGTCGAACTATTGCGATTTTATTATTCTCAGCCGCGAGACGACAACAATAATTATCGAACCGTGCGCGGGTCGCGTCGGGCCGCGCGGCCGCGGCGCTCCGTGTCGGACCCAAAATCCGGGATCTCCGGTTCACGGTCGTTTTCCGCCGGCCTCTATTACCCGTGTAACAGTGATAACGTTATTATCGAATATCGTTTCGAGCGCGGGCCCGTCGAAATGGTGCGTGGCGGCGAGATGGTATAACAATAATAAAAAATAATAATAGTGCGTATAATGTAACCGACTGCCGCGGGCTTATGTTGTTGAAACAACGACACGACGATAAACAATACTCGTACTCGTATAATACGCCGTCGTAATAATAATAACGACAGACGTGCATTAAATTTTCCCTCGATTACCTTTCCAACTTTTCGCCTATAACCGTGGCTACGCCCGTCCCCGTTATCCCGGGACAGCGGTTTTTTTTTTGTTGAACTTTTCATTTTAATACAACTATCATCTATTCGGGTACTTTTTTAAAATTCTATCGATCGGCAGACAGTCGGATGGACACATTGCGTTTTATTTTTTCTAAACATCTAAACTATTACATCAATTAATATTAATATCACGGTTAATAGACGACTAGTAAACTGGCCGCATAAACCCGGTATCCAACCAGTACACTACGCGTGTAAGCCCGGGACCCGACAAGCGTAGATTTTTAAACGCATCCAACTCGGATAATTTGAAAGACGCGTGTTCGCTGATTATACCGCGACCCCGACAACCCGGGGCGCTACCCGGGATCCGACCGGTAGCGGCGACCGGGAAACTGGCTGAAAATTCGGGCTCGAAATTATACGTGCTTGTAGTATTACAGGTACGAAACGATAAAAATACACTGTATATTATGTACACATGTGTGTTCGGCCAAAACGATAATAATACATTAAAATGTAAAAGACTCGGATACAATAATAATATACGACGACGAGTGTATGAATAAATGCGTACCCGACTATGGTGAAGGAGGGGGGGGGGGTTACGGGTTGGGGTTTTTTTGTATTTTTTTTTTTCCATTTCGGAACCGTTGAAATCTACCATACAGTAGGATAATATACAGTTGTGCGTTTCCTTTTAAATATATAGGTATCGGCACGCGGTATTATTATAATAATGGTATTCAGTTAAAATGACCGATAGCTGAAATGTTCAAAAAATACGGTCTCCGGTACATGTATGTGTCCAGGACCTAATGTACAATAATAATTTTAAATGTCCATAAAATAAGGTCCGGGAAATAAACAATCTGAACACTAAACGAGAACCTCCAGAAAATATTTATAAAATATTTTTACTAATCAGTTTATTAATTTAGTCGCTAAATGTGTGTACATTATGTTTCTATGTATTAGTTATCACTTATCACCTATATCTATATTAAAATGCATACTATTTTTAATATATTTTAACAAAAATAACTGTTAATCAGATAAGCATTTTTTTTTTTTAAATTGTAATGTTTTTGTACGTTCTTAAAATAACTTTGACATTTATTTATTTATTTTTTTTTTTTTTAAGTGAACACATTTTCTATGAGAAAGCATACTCCGCTTATCAAGTAAAGCACTTTTTCCGAAAGGAAATTTTCTTTGGATGGTACTTTAAAGAAGTCATTTTTTGAAATTCTCATTCATATTCGAGATAATGAGGAAAACCTCGGTCTTTAGGTAAAAAAAGATTGAAAGATTAAAAATAAGGTTGTCATTGGCAACCGTTTTTATTTATTTTTTGTTTTTATTAAGTTTTATTATTTTAATCTTTTTTATACAATCATTTTCGTCATGAAAACGTACATTGTAATCATTTTATGATAATTTTATATATATTTGACCATATGTAAACAAAACAACACTACCTACTGAACTTCGCTCAGAGTTGTTTTTTCGTTAGGAATAGTTTATTGTTGCTTACAAATATACACTAAATTTCCATCTGTATCTTACCTTCCCAAATTTTCACCTACAACAGTAGCTGCACCAACGTGCGAAAAATGTCCGTTCTTTTTTTAATTTTTTTCTTCTTTATAGTGGCAACGAATTGAGTAGACTACTTTTTTTTTTTAGCTCATGTGACGTATTATATCGACTGAACGACAATTAAGTTATGAGTTTAGTTTTCAATTTAAACCGATTTATCAAATTTTTCAACATAATAGGTCGATAATTTTTTTGTTCATAATTTCATGTATGCCAACTTTTTGTACAGATAAATTATATTATAGTGTTAATTTAATAACTTATTGAAAACCCTTTTTCAAAATGATACATAAAGGATAAAAATATAATTGGTTGTATAAATTATATTAAATGTATTATGATTACAAACTTACGAGTAAACAACAATTTTAAGAAAATACATGGGAGTTATTAAATATCGTAATTAGAGAAATACAGAAGTCAATGCAGCTGCTTTGGGGTCATAATATGTCGAAAAAATCCTTTAAATCGGTTAAAACAAAAACAAACAAAAAAAACCTTACAGAACACTGAATATTTTTTTTTTTTTATTAAAAAAAATATTGAAATGTACTGATTACTACTATAATTGAAACAAAATAATCAAAAATAAAACGCTGAAAAAACAGAACTGATCGTTGCTTAAATTGATATAACTGTGTTATTTAAAAGCTCGAAAATTTGAACTGTTTTATTTTAGAATATATATGATATACGTGTACTTATATATTAAATACAATACAATTTTGCAAATACACTATAAGAGGTTTTGTATTTTATTTTTCTTCTACTCATTTAAATAAAATACCCTTTTAGTTTTTTACGTCGGGGCCAGATTTTTATATTTACACCACTGGCAACAAAATATTAATATTGTTTTTAATTTCCAATTATATCTATTTTATTTTTTTTATAGCATATTTTAGTATATTTATTGCATATCTGCATGTACATTTAGAGTTGTATAGGATTTTTTATTAATAAAAATCAAAAACTAACTTGATCGGACAGAAATATTATTTCGTAATGGTACTTTTAAAATGAAACGCACTGTATATTATGATGGAAACTACGACTATTACATTACGTTTAATATTATAAAATCGAAACTAATAATTTCTTCTTGTATTACGGCGTGTATTAATCAAATTTTGACTTCTGAGAGTGTTATACGCACCCCGTTAATATTATTTCAGTTTACCATCAAAACTCGAGAGCGATTTTTATATTAAAATGTTATTACTTAGATAGTTAGAAATATGATACTTCGAATATGGGTACTTCAGGAGATTTCAGCCGTTGAAAAAAAGTAGTATTTAGACTGAAAACCATAAGGTTTGGATTTGACGGTTTTTAATTTTAAAAACGGATTCGGATTGATTAATAAGTTTGCTATAGGTTTTGAATGACGCGATTATAAATATTCCTAAAATCGTATGTGTTATAACTATAGGAAGACAATCCCGGGATCCCGGATCCCGACCCTTTTTTGATCCTGGAAATCCCGGGATTGACAAATAACTAACCCCGGGATTTTTATGATTAAGTATTTAATGTAGTAACATAGAAAAAAACAATAAATAATTAATATAAACAATAAACATAATATTATTAAATAGAATATTTTGTAAATGTGTAGTTTTACCCGGTTATCACAAATGCCATTAAATATTAGTATAACATTTGTTTAGCATTTGTCCCAAAAACATATTCTCTAATAAAAACCATAATCTAAGAGATGATTCTGTATGAGAATGGAGAGACGCACGGTCACCAGATAAAATTATAATTTAATTATGTTATGTCCATTCCCCTCTCATTAGCATAGAACCCGAACGTGCGTCTTCGGCAGCTACATACATAGAAAATAAATTAAGAAGCAGACTCGGAGGCGAAACATTAGACGATCCGATATTTCTCCCATATTACTTTCAAAATATTCCTTTTCAATAAATCATTTTATCTATTTTTTTATTTATATATTAATTATTCATATTTTTTTTCTGTAATATTAAATTGTTAAAATTTTGTTTTATCTTTTTTATGTTTTTACCAATTTGAAATAAAATCTCGGGATTGGTTTGAAAATATCCCGGAATTCCGGAATTGTAAAAGTATTTCGCGAGATTATATTCTCTAGTTTACGAAGAATGTATAAATATAAAAACAACATAATTTTGTTAATCGTTATCGCTGCAACTGAAAAAAATAAATATAAATTTAAAACCATCACTGTCATAACATTACAGTAAACTATTAATTAATCGAAATTCATTGCTCAAAATTAAAATCCCTCAAACCAATCCTTACACGTTTTTCTTCGGCTTTTCGATCTAAAATAGCATCGTACTCGGCCGAACCCCTGATATACATTTGATCAAACATGATCGTACATTAGATTGATGGAGAAAAAACGTATCATTTATGTTATTAAAATATAAAAAGAAAAAAGAATGTATAAATTTTACAAACTCGGAGAAGATTTCAAAAACCATGACTCCTGATACCCCCTTCGCACACACACATTTACACACCAGAGGTCATCGCCGACGTACTTCAACACCAATAATAATTATTATTATTATTCACGAGCACGTTAACAGTGTGGTTGTTGTGGTTGTCGTATACCTAGTGCATAATATTACAGCCGAGGGGATACCAAAAGGCTGGTTGGTTTTATCGCATTGAGTTTAATTACGGTACCGTGTTCTACATTGAAACTGCAGCATTCCCCGCGGTCGTCGGCATTTATTAAACGTATCCCTAAATATAAATTATATCGGTGGGATATTAAAAAAATGCATTTAGAATCTAAAAAAATGCAAATTATAAAAAAAGCTCGTACCAGGTATGAGTATACCACTATTATAGATGGAGAACTGAGAATGTATGATAGTTAGTTTATATCTGAAAGCAACGACAAACCGCTGCTAACAAAAAACGATTTGGAGCGAAGTTCCGTTACACGTGTTTTGAAAGGCCGTAATATTTTTGGAACAATTTAATATTAAAACCCTTGTAACAAAAAAATACTACATTATACTCAATTTTTTTTTTTTTTTACCACTAAGTACAGGCCTAGAATGAATCTCTTGTTAACTTTGCAAGCATTGGAGTTAGATCAAACTATGACATTCACATAGTATCTGCTAAATAAAAATTACGTAAAAACTCACAAAATTAAAATATCTATACATATCTCAAAAATGCCACAAATTTTTTAAACATTTAACGACGTCTAGAAAAGTCAAGATAAGTTTTTGTCGAAATTTAAAATAATAAGAGCAATAGTTCTAAAAAAAAACTATTTTTTTTTTTTTAATAGGAATTCAAATTAACTATTTAAGTACCAGTATCATATTATACATTACAAGGAACCTAGTCTATGCAAAATGTCAAGTTTCTAAAACCAACAATTAGGACTGTGTGTTTATATTATGTCAGTCAGTCGATTATCAATTATCGATAAAAAAAAAAAAAACCCTACAAAATCGTTCGATTTAACTCATCGGAATAAAACGATTGTATGTCTCGGAGCTGTTTCTTATAAATTACAGGATTTGGATGAACAAATTACTCGAATTTGGAAACTATAAAAAGTAATAAATAGAAAAAAATAAATATCATTTCTGAATAATTTATGTGTGCTTTTAACAATTATAAATTTTAAAACTTGAATCACTTAAGTGAACACACTGATTGAACCTTCTTCGGTAATTTTCCATTATCCTACGGGTGATTTCTAATGGAATGGCAATATCTTCCAGGGTTGTTGCCTCTTTTAAAGCTTCGATTATTTCTTTCTTTCCGATTATATTTAACTGCGCTGTTATCAAGCGCAGTTAACATATTATTTCGACGTTGTGAAATCGAGAAAAATCTCGAAAGTACAAACGTAAGCGAAATACATCTATTAATAACGAACACCGACTTTAAAATCATTATAAATTAATTGTATTATTATTATTATTATTATTATTATTATTATATAACGCAATCGTACGTCGCGCGTTAGCGTAATATTCCATTTCCAAGCTGACAAAACGGGATTCTCTCTGTGTTTTAGGTGACTGCGATTACCTATTAAGTACCTGTGTGCAGCTCTCGTACATAAATATACTCTAATTCAATTGGTCTTTACAGAGCGCATTAATTTTCTATATTAAACGGAGGCAAATTCATACGACGCCGTAGCCTACACGTATAAGTACAGTGTACAGTACACCTATATGGGAAAACGTGTTAAATTCATTACGAACATTAACCATTCAAAATTCAAAGAATATGAGGCGTATTATAAGGGTTAGTGCAGCGCAAAGGCGTTGCGCAGTGGTATAAATTAATTTTGATATCAAACGGCCAAACAAAAACGAACACCGCGCTGTTGTTGGTTATTGTAAAAACCCAATGGATAGGTAAGCATTATAATAATATACTAATCCGGATGTCACACGCATGCCCGCGGTAAAAACAAAAACAATAATAAAATAAAAAAAAAAATCATATTGGAAAAAATAAAATACGTAATATGTATATTTTCTCGGCACCCCACGAGGTACGTATACATAGGTATAGTCCGGTTCGATTACGGTTTTTTTTCTTTTTTATAAATCAACATAATTGCATATTTTCACGAAAAAATACATATAAACAACAAACAGTTTGATGCAGTAGATTTAGTACGTAGATACAATATTGTATAAAAAAGTACAATTAATAACGAATTAAAATTTCTTTTCGCCTTATAGACTATAGAGATAATCTTATTATGTCCCCTCGTATAATAATTTATTCTGAAATTATAATACACTCAGGCGTTGTTCAATTTTGATACACATTAGCAGAAGTATTGTTTGGAAAGATGGTACCTAAACTAAGACAAAAAAAAAAAATTACTATAAAAACTGCGATAATTAAAAGTGTAGCAACTGCGACAATTTTCGAAAGACACAGTATTATAGGGTTAGTACTTAGTTATATTATTTACCAATTTTTCCGTCATTCTGGAGTCGTTTGAGCTATATTTTAAAACCATTTTTACTTTTTCAACCCTCCATAAACCTTAAATAAGTATATACTTTTATTTATCAAAAAGAAACACCCATCCCCCTTTTAAACATAGATTCAAATAAATAATATTTTTTTAGACATTTTAAATGCATAATACCAATATTAGATTTACCAGCATTTCTAAAAAATATTCTGTATTCAATTTTGTGTTCAAAAAGTGGGGTTCCCATTTGTAAAAGAAATATATGCTTATTTAAGGTACATGGAGTAGGGGTAAATAATTAAAAATATTTTTGAAATAAAGCTTAAATGATTCCAAAATGATTATAAAATTAAAAAACAAATTCACTTAAAATCCTACGAAAAAATATATAGTTTATGATAAAAAAAAAAAAGCCGCTTATATACTATAAAAAATACACTCCCCTAACAGTTGCGTCTTCCTGGGAGAATTTTCAGCAAAAGCATTAATTATATATCATATTTAAAATAAAATCCTATTTTTATTGATCATGATTAACTTATTAAGTCCATCTTCTGACAGTTGGACTACTTGAATTCTTTTTCAAACGATTCAGTGTGAAAAACGTTCGTTCAGTAGTAGAAGAAATAATTGGAAATTTATTTAACACTTAAATCGTAAAATACTATGGCTATAGGTGAGGGAGTAACAGTTTCACTAGCACCTCTGATTTCTGAATATACTCATGAATGTGTATATGCTCTTATATAATATAGATATAATAAGTAATATTTATAATTTCCGATTTCATATAATTTTTAATTTATAAAATAACTAACCGTGCGTAATATAAGAGTATGGAGTACGGAGTATTTTATAATTTCATGTTTTCATGATAATTTGTATTGTACTTTATGAATATCAAATTATTTGTTATGCTAAATTATTGATGCATTCCGGTTTTATAATAAACTAGCTGTTTCGCAGCGGATTTGCGTCAATATTGAACAGGAAAAAAAAATATTAAAGTTTTTCCCCGAGACTCCCCGTTACCATCCCCATCTCTTTAACTGCAGTTATAATAGTTGTCGACCGTAAATTTAAAAAATATGCTTATTCTTGTCAGTGACGACCAAATGAACCAATTAAAACTGTTTATTTTTGGATCTGTGTCACTGAGGTAACTTAAATAAATCAACAAAAAAAAAAAATTTTAAATTCTCGTTCTAATAATACCAAAAATCCGGTGCAGACAACAATAAATTAGTGGTTGAATTTTTGGCTACAAAAAGTAAACAACGATCTTCCTATTGTTTAAATGAAGTTGCAATATAATTACTAACAATATTCAACAAAGAACTAAGTAATCAGTTTCTATGGTAACTAGAGTGGCCCTTCCACGCATTACATTATTATTTATTTATATACTTTTTTTAGATTCTGAGTTTAGAGAAGAATATTTTAAAAAGATGTTTATTTTTTTTTTATTTGAACAATTTTTCTACTATAAATTTAACTCTGATTTTCAAGTTTAGTTTCTCTTCTAAAAGAAAATGTTCTCTGGACAGTACTTTAAAGAGGTAATTTTTTAAGGTTCTCATTAATATTCGAGATAATGAGGAAAATCTTGTTCTTTAAGTAAAAAATATTGAATAATTAAAAATTAGCTTGTCATTGGCAACCGTTTTTTTTATTTTTTGATATTATTAAATTTTTATTATTTTAAACCTTTTTTAAACAATCATTGTTGTTATAGAAACGCACATTGTTATAATAATTTGACTATGATATGACATATATATTGTTGACAACGCAACACTATCGACTAAAGTCCGTTCAGAATCGTTTTTTCGTTATCAATGGTTATCGTTGCTTACAGATATACATTAAATTCCCATCTGTATCCAACCTTCCCAACTTCTCACCTATAACAGTATCTGCACTCACGTGCGAAGCATGCCCTTCCTTTTTTTTAATTCCATTCATATCGATAAGGTAACCAAAACATAAATCAAAAAAAATAATTCAATTTTCATACTGAAAATACCAATAATCCTGTGTCACCCTTGCCCTTCTATTAAAGGCTAAATCTTGTTCTTCTTATTCTTCTTCGACTTTATCCTGACTATTAGAAGTCAGCCATCTTCGTTCTAAACTTCCACATGGCTGGATCTCACCTCGAAAAACAGCAGTTTTGCTCATTTTAAAGCGTATCAACTTTTAGAATTTAGGGTTTGAATACAAGGAGAAAAAGTAGCCCAAATGTCCTGAGGTCTAGAACTATGCAAAATCTCAGCTCAATCCGTTCGAAAATTTAGATGAAAAGTAGTAACAAGCATACATATTCATATATCCAAACAAACTTTCACATTTATAAATATTAGTAAAATTGTCACAGTTAGTATACATATAAATATTTTCGGTTTTATCGCGGTTTGCATAATTGTTTTTTTTCTATCATAATTTACATATCGACTTTTAGGAAAATGTCAATTTTGTCACAATTCACTCATATTTTGAAAATTTCCGGTCGCGAACACACCATATACATTCGGCCGACGATAATAATATTATGTTTTAACACAATTATTCCCATTAGATCGGCATTCCTAATATCAATAATAATATATTGGAAGTGTTTTGGTGTTTTAGAACAATATTGTAACCGTGTTTTCGATACACGAACAATGTACTTTGTATCCCTGTAGTTATGAATTACACCAGTGTATAGTTTATTGATTCCACGAGTAAGGATTAAAACCATCGCGACAGTTCGAGAATTATAATATCGTTTTGAGTATTGCGCAATGGAAAAAAAATCGGCTCGACAACAATTCACATAAATAAGAAGAGCAGAATTATTACGGTTAAATATACATCAACAAACACGACAACAACGAAACCAAAAAAAATAATACTTTAAAATATCGAATCCGTATAATAATAGCTCGAAAATCCTTTAAATGTTATAAACATTTGACCACGTCTAGAAAGTACTAGGTAATTTAAGGCTATTCTGTGAAAATTACAGGTTTCTACGGTTATTTGTAACCAAATTACAAAAAAAAACAAAAACAAAAATAAAAAAAAATAATGAAACCGTTATTGCGGTTAATTTGCCTGTGGTTTTTTCTTCCCCAATTTTTCTCAATTATTAAGACAGCTACATAAAAATCAAAAAGACTTCGTCAATGCACCAGCTAGATGAAATTTACTTACAGAAAAAATGCTACACTTGAAAATCGGAGCAAGATTTCTAGTAGAAAAGTTGTAAGTTGTTAACAGAAAAAAAAAAGAGCACACACATCATAGTAAAATCAATGCGCTCCTCGTTACTATAATTTGTTTGACTATTTATCGCTCCCCTCCACCCGGGCGGAACATTTAAAAGTATAGGTAAATAATCAAAAAACGAAATCTTATTTAAAAATATTTCAGACGGATATGTTTATACTTCAACGACGATTTCAAAATAAAATAAACGTAGTAGGTACGCTGGTTCTGGTCACTGGACCAAGACGCAACGATAGTAATAATATTAATACACGACCCGTGCGATTCTGCTGAACAGAATAATCGTGAAGATGCCATCTTACAGAGCCGACCGTCGACGACGCGAACAATGTGGCCGCCGCAGCGTTTTGAAAGAAAGCGTTTGATTTTTGTCTAAAACAACGAACATAATACCAACGTGACTACCGTCTAATATTACGGTCTCCCGACTCGTTCGGTTCCCTAAATATTTAGCCCGCCGTGGTCTGATAAGCAGTCTGCGCGTATACTGTAGATACAATAACCGTTGCTGAACTAGTGAGAACAACTATAATGTGTATCGAAGACACCCAAAAACGGAATACGTTAATTATTGTCACACACACACGCGCGCGCGCGCGCGCGAAAAAAAAAATAATAATAAGTTTTAAACACAATCAATCTTTAGTTTAACAATATACCATTATATTCTGTATATGTATAAATTTTAACCGATCGTAATAGACGATTTTAAAAGGTAAATAATGCCGTTACCGTACCGTCTGCGAATGATGTATAATTCATTTTCGTTCACGATTACCACACGGTGTGTTATAAAGATAGTAATATATTAAATAACTATTGAAATACTTTTAATAGTAAGTATTATACAGGTACCTATAATTGATATGTGGTTTAAAAATCTAAACATATTGTTGCATAATAGATTATGCAGCTTATCAAACGATCGGCCTCGTAAAAATGAATTAATTTCATACGCATACGTTAAAATATATATTTTATTAAACTAAAATTTGCCCACTGGAAAACTGACGAAACGAGTTCGAGATTTTAAAAGCGCAATTGATTTATAATGAATAAAAATATATTGTACCTACCGTTTTTATGCATAGGTATTAACTATTGGAAATTGAATAACTAAAGAGTACGAGAAGTTGATGGATTAAAATAACAAGACAATAAATTCCCATGTGGGAGGTGGGAGTTATCAACCACACTACATGAGTTTTTGAATAATCCTCGAACAATTATTGTAAGGTACTGCACATTGCACAAGCCAAACAAAAATACAAAATTATGAGAAAGACCGAGGGAGTTATGCACTTCATACACATTTTTGGACAGGTTTTTCGGATAATAAATTACTAAATAGGTGTAGTGCACGAATTACATGTGCTTGCAAAATTACAAGAAAATGTCTGAAATTGCAATACAAATTATGCAAATATACGTATATTTCATAAATTGCGTAAACAAATTATAACCCATCGGTTGAATCACTGGTAGAATACCTACGCTAGGTAAATGTTTTCAAAGAAGATAACAATGTGGTTTTTTTAGGTTTCAATAAAACTAAAATATAAATGAGCCAACTAAAACTAAATTTAGCTAACCTCTAATGTATTATCTGTAAACCGATTTTAACTACCATCACTTAGAATCAGGTTAGATTAAATCAATACATGGTAAGGCAGTGAGACAAGCGATTCAAAATAGCTATAAAAACCTAACAATAATCTGTTTAATGACTTTATTCATACCATCTGAAAGTATACAAACAAATCGTTTAAAAAGTGTGTATTTTAGATTCTGAGTGAAACGAGGAATGTATTGTTTTTAAAATGATGTTTATTGTTTTTCGTGCTGAGAACAAAATCTCTCTTAAATACTATGCTCCAATCGAAACATGACAAGAGACCTTTTTTGTTGCATTTTGGCTCTAGTTTATATTTTAAAGAAGGTCAATTTTTGAAATTCTCAATAATATTCGAGATAATGAGGGAAAGCTGGTTCTTTTTGGTTAAAAAAAGATTAAGATATTAAAAAAAAGGTTGTTATAATTGACAACCGTTTTTTATTTTTTGTTATTATTAAGTTTTCATTATTTTAATCTTTTAATTTTTTTTAAACAATCATTGTCGTGAAAAAGCTGAGCTCCGCTCAGAATCGTTTTTTGTTAGCAGTGATTAATCATTGCGTACAGATATAAATTAAATTCCCCTCTATATCCTACCTTTCCAACTTCTTAACCTACAACAGTGGCCCACCCTTGGTGTGAAGTATATATATTCGTCCGTTTTTATAAATGATATCCGTAAGTTAACGTATATTTCGAAGTAATGGATTTGCGATTTCCAGTCATTCGTCAAGACGTTTTTTAAAACTGGACATGATATTTCGTAACTTTTCCCGAGAGATTTGTGTCACCTATTCTCGTACTCTTTGTTTACTATACAGCTCTTGTGTATGAATGTTGTAATACACAAGTCTTTGATGAAGTTTACCAGGACTTGTCACTCAAGTATCTAAATTTTTATTTATTGACGTATACAGGAGAGGTGAAAATAAACCTCGTCACTCATCCATAAGTTACGGACGATATATTTATTTATATAAATAACAGCCAAAAAATATTCACAACACTGTTTTGTTCAACCGCAATTTTATTACGCGATCTGACGGTACTGGGCGATTACGATTAATGCCGAAATGGGTGGGGAAAATACGCCGTGCTATCGTTTAACTAAAACCATTTAGATAAAATGTCCAACAATCCATGATTGTTAAATGCTAATTTTGTAGAACGTAATGCGAACGTAACCTAACCTAACGCAATAGTTGTTGGGCTTGCAGTTATATTAAAATCTACACCACCCTGTATTTTTTAGGGCGAATAAATTGTTTAAAAAACTGTCGATTTAGACTTAGACTTAGAAATATAAAAAAATGTATTTAATAACTACTTAGCGCAAAGCCGCCGAATACCTAGTCACTAAATATATTTTTGTACTCTTCTTAATTGTATTCAAAATTATTTTTAAACAATTTATTTTCCTATTAGAAATTTAGAAATATTTATAAACGTGTGTAAAAAGTCTAATTTCAACCTGAATGTTATTTACGTTTTATGCAACGTAATATTTTATTACGTTGTCCGTTAACTAAACTGAAACAGTAACATCTATTGTCTCATCGAGTATGGCATCCACTTAATGTATGCAAAACGCATATTATGTTTGTACGATCGAAGGGGAAGGCGATGCAGGTGCTACAATGAAACCCCTTTTCATATGCTGATTGCCTGTACTTAAAATACCTACTATTAGAAAACTAATTTTATAAGATACTTCGCGAGACAACTACTTTAGACAAAAAAAATAAAAATTTATAGCAATACAGATTATAATATGTGTAGAGATTTGACTGAAAAATTACGTGCTTTTATAACATAAATAATTTTTAATACCCGTAACGGCGTTACAGAATGGAAAGACCGTTTACTCCAAACAATAATAATAACACGGGCTCGGCGAATTTTTATTTTATTTTATTATGATGGTAATAATATTATTATGTCCAACGAGGATATTATTTAATAAATCCCATTTGATCCCGTTAGAATTATTATTATCGAAACACACAATCATACTTCAAGCAATTTTCTCCATCTATTTTTCATTCAGGTAGACCATCCGAATTCATTATATTGATAACAATTGACTTCATCAATTCCATATCGCTATCGAGTCCGTCAAGTTTAAACGTGTTGTTTAAACGGTGTTTAAAACGTTTGTAGAACATCAAAACACATCGGATTTTTAATCTGATCGATCGTCGAGTCCAACGAGGATCACACTACGGATAGTGTCACCGTTTTTCCCGTGCTCCATTCTGAAGGCGTCGTGTTCCGAGTAGCTATTTTACGGGTTCAATGTCATATGGTACACATATTATGATGACATTGTCACAATCAGCGACCGTCCTTTGGACTAGCGGTTTCGAGGTCAGTATACGATATAGGTGTACGTTTCGGACAATCGTTGTGTATTATTACAGTAGGTACATATCATTTAGTGCACATTTTCAAATGCGTCCTGCAAATTTCCACCGCTCTAAAATATCTATACATACGTGCAATATATTATAATAATCACAGTGAAATATAAATCCATTCCCACGAGATTTTTTTTTTTTTTTTACCGCCGAATCGCGTAAACATGGATTTAAGTTAGGTATATAGTGTAGTCCCCTTCTATCCGATTCCTGCAATACCTCTACGCGTTTTAACGCTCTCTTTTCCATGCCGACGGCAACGACGGCTACGTCCGAAACATCCGAGCCCGACAGAGCTCACTTGTCTTATGTAAGTCGAACCGCGTGTACCGAGACACAGCAGTGCACTGATCATCGACCGATATACAGACCGAAGACGAAAAAGTAGTTTAAAAGAACAACAACAATAATGAGTGAGTACCTAACTGAATATTACTGCATAGAAATTATATTTACGCTATTTACTTAATAATAATATTACATACTCTTGATTGAAAACGTTTGCGAATTGCGCGCGTGTATTATTATTTTTCACGTTCTCTAACATAGTTCATAACCACAACGATGTATAAAAGAGATGAAAGTTTTCTCGGGATTTATTTATTTATAGTGGATTGAACGTTTGACAACTTAAAGCGCGCGTTGCACAAGGCTTATCGAGTTTATCCTGCAGCGGAATTATAAAATAATTTTTGTTAGCTCTAAATAGTATTACTGTAGATATAGAATAATAATGCTTTTGAGGACATGTTAGAGGTTTCTTTCGAAAACAGACCGCGTTAAGTGCATGATGTTTTATGACGGTGCATTTTTTTTTTTTTTTTTTTTGTCATAAATGTCATGTTTTTAAACAATCACACGTCCGTTAGACAGATAAAACACGATGCCATAATGCGCATGCTCTTGTTTGGTATTGTTGAACAATACAACATTTTACTAAAATACAATCCGTCGATACATTCCGTATTACTCGTAATAAATCGGATGATATCTATTTGTTCACCTAATATATTATTTGGTTCGAAAACTCAGTTTAACCCAACATAACGTCGTTTCGCAATCGGTATTAATTCGCAATATCAAGACACTAGTTGTTGAGTGTATATTAAAGAATTCGAAAACCACTTTTTGACAAAAACGAGTTTCAATATACAACAAATATCTATCATCATCAAATTTTGGATTTGCCTAGTTCATAAATAACACACCTTATGATAATATTATGATACACATTGTATAATTATAAAAATATCTCATAACCAAATTTAACGTTTTTTTTTTTTTTTTTTTTTTTTTTTTAAGATGATATACTATATTTTAATGGGCTAAAAGAGCACTATTTAAATTAATTTTTATATCACAGTATTGAGAAGCTACACTATTGCGTTTAGAGCATCCTAATTTATATCATTTTTTTTAATTCCTTACTAAATTTTTTCATTTAATTTATTTAATTTTATGGATAAAAGAAATACAATAGTGCATCGTAAAAAACTGCATTATTACCGTACGAAAAATTGTATAACCGTTTATAATATTTATATTTTAACTATCAAATTTGTTCAGGAACTATATTACAATACCGTTCTGATAGTGCGTTATGTGAATTATGTTTTTCGTTTTAGGTATGACGCTTTATACTATATATTTGATTTATTAGATATTCAAAGAACGCGTGTACATAAAACAATTGAATTAATCAAAAACAAATAAAAAAATTACAACACAAACGGTCTACCTATGTATATTAAATTATATTTCCCAGGAAATTGTGACAGTTTTAATTTTTCGACCACGTCCGCAGTGTATCGTATTTATTTATTTTTTACATACATATATAAGTGTATATAATCATGTGTATGTAATCATATTCTATTAGAATACTATTATATTGTCATCTATTATAGTTATTTATGATTATTAATTTTGATGGTAATTTTTTTTTCAAAAAATGTAATATATTATAAATTTACACTAATAAATCAAACAAAAAAAAAATAATTAATAAATTTTACAAAAACTAAATAATGTGCATAAATAATAATTTTTTTACCGACGCATTAAAAATCAGTCAATTAAAATGTATATGGGGTTGTTTTTTTTTTTTTCGATATGAAATGTTGTTCAAATAGTCTTTCTAAATGATTAATTTCATGTATTCACTTACAAAAACCCATTCACACACACACACACACACAATCCAAAAAAAAAAAATTATAAAAATAATACATAACCGGGGCATTATTGAACGTTTATTTATTAATGTGTTTATGTATAAAGAGAGAGAGAGAGAGAAAAAAGATACGAAAAGAGTGATTTTTCTGTAATTATTTATCGCACTAATTACAATTTTATACAGCCGCAATCCTAAATAATGTATATTCTAAAATATAATGGCGGCGAAAAAGTATATATAATATTGATAAAATTGAACTTTATAAACGAATATATACCGAATAAGGTCGGTTTGAGATTTATGAGTATACCTAACCCGTATAATATTTCCGATGGTTAATTATTTTTTACGAAGTGCTTTAATTTTTTTTTAATAGCTTTGGGCAAAAAAACGAAAATAAAAAAATAAAAAACTACAGAACGCGTGATTCGTGTGCTTAATAATATTATTATTATTAATATTGCTCCTCTATTAAAATGAGAACAGTTTTTAATTATGTTTTTATAATCATATACTACACTCTCGAAATAAAATAGTCGTTCACATGTTTTTCGCAAATATGGTATAAAATTATTTATTTTATTTGATGTTTTGTAGCATAAATAATACAGAAACTTATGACTTATGTCAAACATTAGGACAGATTGATCCGTTTTAACTATTTACACGAAATAATTCAAAATAAAACAAAAAACAGGTTTAGGCGTGTGTTTTCAGCACTCGTTGACTTAACTGGATGTGGGTGTAAAAATTAACCCGTAAAAAGCTTAATTCGTACAATATACAAATTACTAGGATAATTACTATTGACTTAAAACGTAAATATAATTAACTATTCAACAAGGTTTAAAAGTTAAAAAAATATTAACGTACATTAGCCGCATCCCAAAAACTTTTCGAACTTTTCGAAACCACAGTTTTGTTCTTACAAACAATGCTGGACCAAACAAAATTCCTACATCAAAATTTGTTCGGAATCTAAACATACATACATATAACTAATAATTTTTTCTGTTGATAAAATTAATACACCAGCATAATGCTGTGTCGATATAAATTTACCATTCATTTTAATCGACAAAAACAACAATTTTCGCTCCTTGAACATAGATAAGGTAATCTTTCCTCCCCTAAAACAGGAAACTGAGTCATACGGAATAGAAAAACTACAGAATAACTCCAGGGTTAACAAAAAAACAAAAAAAACGTGATTGGTCACACGTGAACTTGTTGTACTTAAATGTGTATTATATAGAAGTGAATATAGTACTTGGTTAATTGGCAAAGATTAATGGTGTTGAGTAAACAGATCCCGAAAAAATAAATTTTAGAGGTACACCGAAAGGTGAATTTATACAGAAAATGAATGTAAATTATTTTTGTAAACAAATGGTTTGAATAATATTGAAGAAATTTACTTCGAGCACAACCGTAAAAAAATATATATTTTAAAACAAACTGGACAGACAGGCAAGCATGGCAGTTTATTGAAACCAATTCGTATATACGAATGTGTATGACATATTTTACCCGTTTAGACAACCCGGGAACCAATTCGGTAGTTGGGAACTAACTCGTATAGGCGTCTGTTCGGACACTTCGGGTGTCGTATCGGAAACGGTTAAAAGTACCAGACGTAAACATCATTTGCATAATACATTGTTAATACGATAAAATTGCAATCGTCGAGGACAAACGGATCGGGTCGGACAAGGTCCGCGCAACCTCGCGTGCATCCGCGAATTTACATTACCTACGTCTCGTGTAGGAGTTCGCGGCGTCAAGACGTTACCGTGATACGATTAGATAGCGAGTAGTTATGGGACGTTAATAATAACGAGTCAGAAGTTACATGGGCAATGAAATTCGGTGTCAAGGGCGTAAGCGGGAAAACCCATAGGATGACCATCGCGATAACGCAATGCCACGGCAAATGTCCGAATTATATACACGATGATTAACGGCCGACAAAAACACACAATAACGTTTCTAAATCTGCACTGCTACGCCCGCGCGTAGGATCCGATATCGTTAATGTTATTATAATATTATAGAATCCAATAACATTTATTGCATTTTTGTGTTGATACTGTCATTACGGAAAAAATAACTGCAGTACACAATATCTATACTACAGTCAATTAGCCTAGAATCAGAATTTACATATTCCGAAAAAAAAAAAAAAAAGAACAAAGTTCTATGGGATTTTCAGAGGTAAATCCGATTCTGTAATCAATTCGTTACAAAACGCACAGGTCTAAATTTCAACTGGAAATTGTAACGGGAAAGAGTAATGGTGTATTAATGAAACGCCGCACGCCATGTCGCCACACAAATGATGCTCCACTACACTTCCCGGACCAAAATTTAAAAAATGAATATATCGTTTAAAACGGATTGACGAAAATCCAAAATTTATTTTATCTAATACTCCATCTATATTTGGAATTTTTAATGCATGTTGCTATTTTAAAATCAAAATTAGATAGTAGTTTCACCCTCAATATACCTCAAATAAGGGTGAAAAAAAATGTGGATGGAAAATATTAAATCTATTTGTTCCTTAAATGTTTTCTAAAACAAATTCCGAAAAACGTTAATACTTTTCGAAATAATGAGTGTTATATGATAGATTGATATATAACTATTATTAGTGATGTTCCGATCAATTTTTAACGCATATTTTTTTTTCAAAATTTGCAAAACATCACTATTCACAAAGGGTGACAAACATTATTTTCAAAAATTGTACGTTTACCTTAAAATCTCACAACGATCGTCATAATAATTTCAATTAAAATCATCATTCATCTTACAATAGTTTTGGCATCACTTTGGTACCTACTGTATAACGATTAAAAAATGTGTTCGATTGAATAAAAACTGTAAAAGCACGAAATATATGAAAACTAAGGTTGTAGCAAAACGTGTTAATAATAAGAAAAAATAAACAAATGCAGCCCACACTACAAAAATTTAACGAGAACAAAATCTACTTCAGCGGTGGTTTTATGATCGTTCGTCTCTCCATAGATATACACTACGAAACGGCCCCGTTAATGGTTTTCCTTTAAACCTTTACTAACCTATACACTAACTGACAATATTCACACTCAAACAATAAAACAGAAATACATTTTATACATTTGTACTGCGAAGCCCATACAGAATAATATTATATAGAAATCTAGAATGGCCATATTTCTGGTCTCTTGTGTGTGCAAACAATAATGGACGAATCATGTTTATGATGGGCCTTGCATGTCCTTTTTTAACTTAAAATCAACGCTAGACGAAATTGTGTAAGTAAAATTTAAAACGAAATTCAATAACATAATTTAATAATTGCATTTTATAAAGAAAACAAATGTCGATATTGTTGATAAGTGTGCTGATAAATGTTTTAGGAGGAATATTGAGAGAGAAAATAATATATAAAATAATTTAATTTATATCTGTATGCTACGATAAACCATTACAAACGAAAAACGATTCATAAAGTACTATTAAACCTATATTTTCCTTTATTATTGAGCTAACCCAAATATCAACAAGAATTATGCACAAAATTGTCGAATTTCCCCACTTATTAGGAAAAATACAAAACAAATATAAAAAGAAGACCTCCGCAATGCACCAATTAAATCAAAAATTCCACGAGAGAGTTTCTATACATTTTTTAATTGGAGATATATTTTCGGTAAAAAATTATTCACAGAATACAAACAAAAAAATTTAAAAAAAAAAAAAACTCCCTGTTATTACTCGCCTTATTGGCTTCGCTCAGAATATTTTAATTGTACAGGAAAAAAAATTATTGATTTATATACCAATATAGTATATTGCCTAAGTCTACTTAAACTATACTCTACGGAAATAATATTATATTTGATGATTAATAATATTTGAATAAACTGCGCGGGAAATAATAACATTTTGTTTTCACATTTCAGTCTTACGGCGACGTGACAATTATCTTCATTATACTGCTGTTCAAAATCAAAACGACAAACCAATTAAACTAATAACAGCACATAACCATAAACTCGCTTTGTTTTTGTATTTATGTCTCCGTTTGTTCACGATTCGAAATTATTACTCAATTGCCAATATATATAATTTACCTATACCTACATATAACTAATAGTTACTTTCTTTTCTATTTTTTCTTTCGGATTTCATTATTTAGATGAAATTTAAAAACTGTCACGAAGAAAAGTGTCAAAATAAAATAAAAAAAATGTTTTTTCGAGTACATTTCGAAGTATGGATAATAACACGTATATATAAATATATAACTATAGTTATACTCTATAAGTATCATATTAGGTGTACATATTAGATATTTATATTGTTTTTGATTAAACGATGTAAATTATTCACAAACCGAGTTGCCAGACAAACGTCAAACAATATCAAATATTAAAAACTAAAAAATACAAATTACCTTACCCGCCCGACAAGTTTTATAATATTCTTATATTCTTATAGTACTGAAAAGAAAAACTGAAAAACATAAAGTTAATATTTGTTTGAAAGCATAAATATATGTAACACCCGAGAATGTATAATGATTTTGACATACCAATATTGATATGTCTGTAAATAATAATTGTTCATAAAAAGAAAATTGTACAAACTATTATAAAATGTTGAGAAAACAAGACGATAAATTAAACAAATAAATTTTAATTTTATAATTATTGACATTATTCGATAAACACCTGAAACAAAATGAAAACAATTTAAATTTATGTTACATTTATTTTATATGAAATTCATTTCAATTATTTCTCAACTATTCACAAAATTCAAATTATAAACAATGATTTGTAATTGAGGATTTAAAAACTCTTGATCAGTTGATATTTTTTTTTTAATATTCTTAAAAGATTAAGTTTCAATAAAAACAATTTTTTATTCAACTTAACAAATTATTAAATATTTTTAATAAAAAAAAAACGAAAATTGGATTCAAGTTTAATCAATAATACGTTCTTAGAACAAATTATAATAACCGAAAAAATTCTCACAAACGACAGAAACACAACACGACATGGGCGGTCAAACGGATCGACCGATAGATCGCGAACGATATTATATAATTGGTAGATAAATCATAATTACCGATAATTTATATCTTATTCGATCATTTTGTTGTCAGTTTATCAATTAACAGTAAGTTCAACAGTTTTTATGATGACAATTTATTGTATTTCTGGTTTAATTCATAATATTACATTAGTGTCTTATAGTAAGAGTGTGATGACTGTTTATTATTAATATCTATTCAGTTAATAATTAATATGTATGTAATTTTTTTTTATGGGAATCGATCCTAAAAGAAAAATATATTCTCTACCAAATCTCTACCAAAAAAAGTTTGACCACCCCTGCAGTATAGTATATTTTGCAATGGTTATGAAATAATATTATATTTGAGTTGTGATGAAACGTATTAACTCCACATACATTACGAAAGCCAGTACTACAGCCAGGATTTTTTTCGGAGGGGACTTCAGTTTTTTATAATGAAATAATGAAGATAAAAAATTAAGTTATTACTGAACTGCTGACAATGCCATAAAGTTTATACATAAATATATATATATTATTTTAATAATTTGTATTTAAAAAAAATTGATTAGATACAACTTAAAATCTAAACGTCTTCCTTTTTTTGAAGCGAACATATTAATTATTGTTTCGGGATCAATAATTATTTGCCTGTGAATATTCATAAGTGCTAGGCCATTTAGCCTCGTCTCACTTGTCGAGTTCCTTAAATAGCTTTTTATTCGTTTTAACATTTAGAAATTCCTTTCAACTAATGCTGTTGAAATTGGTATTATGGATATAATATTCAGCAAAATATGTATGATTGAAAATAATTCTTCATGACAGACCATTTGTCTCTCCGAAATTCAAATTCATTGTCTAGTAATTCCTTATATATATTAAAATTAGTGTTATGGATTTTTAAATTTCCTTTATGAAAATCAATTACTGGTTTCAAATCATTAAACGACATATTATCAATGGTGTAGTCGAGGGTACACGGCGTATAACGATTTTTTCATTTTTTCATTTATACATACTCATTTTAAAATGTGTTATGCATAGGAACGTATATCGATTGTGCGTCACTATAACTCTTTTCGACCTTTTTCATAAGATATTTGCGCATCGTTAAATGGTTAGATCATAGATCATTTGCGCATCAAAATGTTGAACTATGTAATGGTTGAAAGTGATTAGGAATACACAATCGTTTCCTAACTTTCAGCCTAAAATCCAGTATAGATATTTTTATTATTATTATTTACTTAATGTTTGATTTATTGATGAGTAAATGATAATCGTTTACGTATAGATATAAGTATACTCATAAATATATATATTACACTGTCTCATGGGAGAACAATAATGTTTCTGCCTGCATCGACTCTATATGATGGCCTATGGTAATAATCCGTAATGCGAGTTCAAGTTTCAATGCAAGCGATAGGTATTTTATTACACCTATAGAAAATGTTACCTACCTATTTAATATTAGGTCTCTAATTGAACGGTTTTTGTGCAAAAGAGCTCAAGTCGAATTTGTTCATATTTCATATTAACGCTTTGTACGATGCAATTTTGTGCCGCGTCTACTGGTACCACTAGTTTCAACAGACGTAGGTATTTTAAGACTGTAATAATTAAAATATTTAAATTTATGAATCTAAAAAAAAAGTTTTGCGGGGGAGAGTAAAAATTGACCCCAACTATCCTTTTAACTTATAATTTCCGTAATTTTTTTGACTAACTGCATCACTGCATATTTCCTATACTATTCGGCAATACACAAGATAATGAAATTATAATATTTGAATTAATTTTAAATTTTTCATATCATATAAATATGGAAAAAAAACAATAGATAAGAAAATAAAATATGAAATGCAGTCATTACTATGTATCGCATAGTTTGAACTGTGTTTTTGAGTAGGTATCCGATTTTACTAGCTTGATGGAAAATCACAACGAATATTTACTCCAGTCTTGTAGTGTTTCCATAGTTAATTTAACTGATTCTAAAGCTGTTATTAAATAACTAAATCATCAGCTGTTCCGTATCTGGGGCAGCAAGCGTCAGGCTATTACGATATTACACAAATAAAATTATATTTATAAATCACTTAAACAAATATTATTGTCGTCTGACATTTCGAGGGGAGGGGAGCTTGAACTTGTAAATCCACCACCTGACTATGGCACTGACGAAAGCATTATTATTAATAAAATCTTACGTTGTCCGTTATTAAAAAATGTATATTGTGTAGATTTTTTTTTAATAAAGTGTGTTTATTTAGTTTCCCAGCTTGAAAATAAAATTTAAAAAACCTTTTTTTTTCTAATAATTTAAATAACTAAAAAAAAAAATTCAAATTTATAACGAAATATTTATTTTGCACGTCATTTTAGTTTTAATAATAATACGTTGGAATAGATTAATTTCATAATATATAATAATATAATGATATAAGATTTCCATTGGTTAAATTTGTAGTTATAATAGAATATAAATTAAAATACCTACTATATACCTATATTAATAATTCTTTAAACTTGTATTTTTTATTGTTTTAAGTTCTGAATGAAGCTAAGAAGTAATGTACTTTCTTGTAACATTTTTTATCTATTTTATATATTGAAGTGCTTATTTTTATTATTTTCTTGGTAGTTTTCTTAATAAATAAAAATACTAACAATTTTTTTTATAATTTTTGTCGATTTCTGGGTTAGTTGGTAACAGAAAAAATGTACGTCTAATAAAACTATGCTCAGAATCGTTTTTCGTTTATCATTGCGCAAAGATATAGATTAAATTGCTCTATATATCCTCCCATCCAATATCCCTCCTAAAACAGTAGCACTGCACTCATCTTTAGTATCAGCCTTTTTGTATAACTATATACCAATCGGGCTATAGTTTTCAAATGCAACTTTAGTCTAATCGAAAGTATATAATATAGTTTTATTAACCAATATTTTACATCCTACATAATTACATAACATATCAAAAAAAAACTCGGCTGTATAGACTATATAAAATATTCAACGCGAATAATAAATACACAAAATTGATAAATGTTGTCCAGGCAACCAGAATATTTGGGACATTTGTTCCGGCAGCATAAATATTTAGGTACCTATATAACATCAAAATTGTTATGGAACGTTTGTGGATTACAGTCTGTTTCAACACTAATATTATGTCATGGTATCTTAACACGGGATCGTTTGTACACAAAATATGCTACCGTGAGATCCCACGATAGATAATAGCGTTTTTAAATTATGAAAACATACTATTTATTTGTTATTGTTGACAGTAAAAACATTATTATAATATTCTGTTTTGCCGCTGAAAATATTATCCAAATTTAACATAACACGGGTTTTTTTATTTTCAAATAATAAATAACAATTCAATGACAAAAACAATTTTTTGTAGGTATGTAAAATAAAATGATTAAAAATGGACTAGGTATCTGTAGATGAAAGCAAATGTACCCAATAACTCATCGAATTATAATTTATATTTTATCAAAACACTCGAAACAATAATATAACCGAAGCCAAATTTATTAAAACTCTATAAATGTGGCAAACTTGTGGAAGACTACACGCTATACTCTCTCTATATATATTTTTTTAACTAAACGCTCAACAATTAACCTAAATTATTCCTGCGAAAATCCACATAATAATAGAATATAATCGTGTATCAACTTCATATAAAGCAAGAGAACTATATATAAATAAATTGTTTCTTACTTGTGGTGAAATAGAAAAATATATTAAACTATAAAAAAAAATTCTCTTAAAGTAGCCAAAAAATGTAATTTTCCATTAATTATATGTACTTTAAATGTGATCAATAATAAAAAAACGGCAAAAAATACAAAATGAAAGTTTCACTTTTAAAGTGTCTGCAGCTATATTAATCGAATTATATATTTTACTTATATTATAGTGCATTTTATTATTTATTACTTCTATCGTAAATTTTGAACTTAAATTTTAAACTTAGATTTTGGAGGTGTAGTGACAACGGTTTAGTTAGGGACATAATATATGTGAAATGTTTTTACGTGAAATGCTATTACAAAAATATATTATTATGGTCGCGTTTTTTTTCTATTTCAGGTATTCACGGGTCACTGTCCACGGCGTTTTTAGCGTTCGTAGTGTTAACCGGTGGTATTGCTTTGGCCGACGACGATAAATGGGTATGGGGCAGATCCAACGAGCAACCGAGAGCCGACTCGAGAATCGGCTCTGCTTCCGACGAGGTGATCCGAGTAGTCAAACCACTATTGCGCGAACAGCCCAACCAAAAACCTAATCCATTATTCCAGCCTGCCGGAAATCCTCGACCGGACTCCAAACATTACAGGTGGAAAAAAAACAGAAGTTATTAATAACATAATATTGTTTTCTTTTTTGTTGGTCAACACTGATGAGTGACTCATTAGTTTAACCAGACAAATCGTCCATCTCGAACATGTCTCCTTCGTCTCAATCATTATATTTAGCCCACTCGCAAGTTCTACAGATAATCTTACCCTTCTCAACATCTCCCAATATCTTATACTGTTTCTTCGTCTACCCCACAACACGACGATGTCATCATATCACCCCTATATTAACATCTAGCCACTTCCTCTTTGACCGCCTCAAAGCATGTACATGTATGGCCTAAACAACCCAAAGCGTTCGTTTTCAATACATAATGACACCACATCATGCAGAATGTTGACATCGATCATCTTAACGAATTTTCTAGAAAATTAATCGCCACCCGGGTACTCGAATAGTAACCGTACCTCGAACAAATTTATACTATAAATCAGACTATTTTCAAACAGTTCACCGCGAAACCATTTTAAAGGATCACATGCAAAAAAATAAATGATTTCCAATTTATTATAATTTATTTTTGTTAATTTAAATTTGCAACATAATTCACATCAGAGAAATTTTTCTCTTTTTTAGCAGTTATTCTGCTATTTTTTCGTTTGTATTTTTTCAATTGTTTATTCAATTATTAATGGGAACTACGAAGTTTCATTTTTGATCCATGTTACTCAAGGTGTTCATATAGTAGGACACCACAAATTAATTTGATTTGAAAAAGGGTACTTTCAAAAAGTTTGGAAACCGCTGTTATACATATCATATAATAATGTACTTATGTGCAAATTCAGGATTTTAAGCACTATGCTATATTTACTTAACCTCAAAAATGTCTGTACAAAGCCACTAAAAGTATAAATAACACATATGGCAAATTTTTCTTTTTAGTTGTACCTAAGGTTTTTTTTTTTAATATTTCTGTATATGCGATTTACTATTGTGAATTTGCATGGAAGTATTGTTGAGATAATTTAGTTTACCGACTCACATGTATGTCGTGTATTATTCTTTACGTGGGATAAATAATAAAAATACGAAATATTTGTACAGTGTGTGGTTTCGATTACACAGCGATTGTATAACCATAGAGTTATTCTAAAAAAAATGAGTGCTAAAGCATTCGGCCGGTTGCATACAATTTACGAAAACCCTATACGAAAATTTACTATATCTGTATCCGACCGCAGGGACGAATCCATTAGAAACGGGCGGTATGAAGTCAACGAAGAATACACTCCAGACCGGGACTCCTTACTCACACAACAGGTCCAATTGTCGGAAACTTTCATCAAAAGGCCGCCTTACGTCAGACCGCAGTCACAGCCCACCTCGTTACCACAAAGGCCGACTTCTTTGGCCAGTTATCCGACTTCACTGCGTCCGCAGCCCTCACACCACGTCGATTCCGTGCACGCTCCCTCCAGGAAACCAGTGTCCGTGGCCACCGAACCCCAGGGCTCAGCCGTAGGCATACTTACCGGCCCGGTACCGTCGTGGCAAAGGCCGACCGTTCACAAAAACGGCGACCCAACGAATTTCGAAAAGTGCAAATGCTCGTTCTCGTTCAATTGTAAATCGCCCGGGATCAAGTTTGTAAGTACGATATACTGTGTAAATCGATATACGAGTATTGTTATTTTATTTACGCGAACACAAAAAATAATAATATCCTTAGATATACGGGTAGTAGGTCTTTTATAGAGTTAATTGTACAGTTGAAATTTATAATTTATAGACACAGCGGAGTTACCTATATTTATAATACAGAACATAGGTATATAACAGATATATATATATATATACGAATGCGATCAATATATAATAAATAGACTCTATAAATAAGGTATCAAATCAGATTAACGTTTATATATATATTGAACTGAACAAGAAGATACGAAATAAAATGAATTGTCTGGCGAAGACCGTATCATAAAACGTAATCATTTTAATTAAACAGCGATACTGTTTTTAAAATGTAATTTGACGACTGCGGAATAACTTAGGCAGGGGGGGGGCTTAATATCGGACGGAAAATCCGTAGAACTCTTATTAATTTTTATAATTTTATGTATGAGACATTTATTTCGAACAAGAATCGATTGGATACGTTATATTTAATTCATGAGCTTCATTATATTCTATTACGTTACCACGACGAACAAAATACATCCGAAATTTAATAAAATACAAATTGAATAGTATTTTAATGATTTCTAGAATGCAACCAAAAACTCTAAATTGATATTTTATAATAATTAATAAAAATTCACCAAAATAACGGAATACATCAATAAGTGAAAAAAAAAAAATGTTAAATACATTTGTTCGTTTATGTATTTATATACAGAATGATCCATTTATGGACCTGAAGAAAATTTTAAATGAATTTTATGTCTGTTTTTTTTTTCTTGCCAACCATTGTAGCATCGTTTAAATATTATTTTAACACTTTATTTCAATATTGTATACCTCTACACCGCATATAACTTAAATAAGTAAGTATACACGTTTGGTTTTTATAGAGAACCCCCTCCTCTTTTAACACAGATTCATATAGGGAATATTTTTCTAAAAATACTGATTCACATAACACGCATATCGGATTTACCGTTTATTATCTACAACAGTTTAAAATTCGAACCGGAAGAGTAGAAAATGATAATTAAATTCTTATACATTTGTAGATCATAACTCCTCCCAATTCCACCGATCTAAACTTTAAACTGTAATAACTTACTAAAGGTAAATTCGATATTTGTGTTAAGGTCAGAGCTGTAGTGGTAAACAATTGATAACAGTGTTGAAATAAAGTTTTAACGATTCCATAATGATTTAAAAGCCAGAAATAAGATTCACTTGAAATACTTCAAGAAAATCGGTGGTTCGTGATGAATGGATCACTCTGTATAATGTATATAGTATCACTACGTAAGTGCGTAACAATATTGCAATGTTACAACTGATGAAATTAAAAGTATAAAATAATAGATAATTATTCTCGATTGCATAACGTGTGTTTTATGAATAGACCGAAAATAAACCGACTGCGATGACCCACTAACTGTTTTTTTTTTCACACGTATCTCTATATTATTAATACGCATTCATTTACGTACTTTTTCGAAATTAATATTCAAATATAAAAGGAGATTGTGCGTTTTCAAAACGAGAAATTGCAAAATACGTACAGTTCAAATAATAGGTACAATATAATATATACAGTATACAATTATACATTCACTAGGAACCATTCGTCCCTTTAGACAAATTAACCATTTTAGATTCTGAGCGGATCGAGGAACGTATCGTATGGTTTTTACTTTGATCCATGCGTTATTTTTTTTTTGTCTGCGAAAAAGTTTTCGAAATAATGCGTTTTCACTGAAGACTTATATGACAACATTCTCTAGCATCAGACGTGGTATAATTTATAAAACGCTTTATACTCTATTTAAGTTATTTATAGTTGTTTAAAATTTTCGAGTTTTTCTTTCGATCTAAATTTTTGGCCACGTACTCGAAAATTTAATACAAGTTTCAGAAAGTTTAGCGTAATCATGTCACGATTTAAAAGTGCCTATTTGACGAAACGTGTATAAAAATCACAAACAAATTACCAAAAATGAATAGGTATACTTCCAACTTTCAATTTAATTTTATCGGGATTTAATCTAAATTCTGACCGAGACGAGTACACGATAACAGTGACCTGCCGATCATCTTCAGCAGTATAGAACTTTTTTTCTTTTTAATTTTTAGGGTGGATTTACATACTTATAGTATTAAAATGACTAATACTTATGTTAGTATTCTGGAGAAATTTCACTTATATCGGTCGTATAAAATAAGACCTCATCCTTTATTATCCCGGCTGCTAGCGTATATTATTTCGTTGGGAATTATTTCTTCGCACTGTTATGTCGGGTTCGTACAACTTATAATGTAGGTATATAATAATAACGTATGTGATGGCTTCCGCACGACCAACCACCGACCATATTGTACTCATAGTAGTTACGATTATCGTTTGATACTCAATTACATTATGAGACAATGTGCGTTTTTGCGGGAACGTGAAATTAACGGCAACTACACACGCGAACGGCATTTATAAATCGGATTACGGTGTGTAATATCCAGCCGTCTTCTAAATTAACCGCCGGAAAAGCTTTCGTAATATTTTTGTCTACAAAACGATTTATGACGTTAACACCACGTATTATGTTTGTCGTTTTTAGACTTTAAGGTAACTATGCGCACACTAATGGGAAGTTTAAGGCAAAATGACAATGTCCAGGGTGGAAATTTTGAGGTGGTGTTATTTCTATTAAAAAACATCAATGTTAATAACTGAATTTTCCCGTTTAAGTATAAAGATCAATTTATTTTTTTAGAACCGGCTTAATTTGTACAATGTATACAAATATCATAAGGCAATATTATTATACCTACTATCAAAGAAAATACCACTGACTATTTTTATGCATAATTGTAGTAAACGTGGTATTTTTTATGTGATGATCGATACAATATGCTTTCGAAACTAAATGAGAGGAAAAATATGCGTACGTTGACATAAATATATTAATGTTAGTTTTCTATAATTGACTTGAAAAATATCGATACTTTGTAGGTAGTACCCTATTGTTATTCAAAATTAAAAATATAAACACACGAGCATTGGTATTACATACGTAATCACTAAGTAAGAACAAAATTATTGATATGCATTGTGATGTAACAGGGTAGCTGCGACGAAGGAAAACAATATTGTTGTTACAACGATTTCGACGGGGCTAACGCGGCGAGCAAAGAAGTCGACAAGTACGGAGGAGACCGGAGCGAACCGATTCCGTCCATTTTAGTTGGCCCGGGGCCCAACAATAACAGACCGGCCGGTTTGAGGCCGGGTATCTACGGTCAAGTTTCCAACAACAAAAATGTAAGACCCACAAATTGTAAGTGCATGATCTGATAACTTACACATATTAATTTAAATTTAATATGGCTTTCATGTAACAATTTAATATAACATATTAATATTCTATAAAAACGAAAAAAAACAAGAGATAATGCGATACTTTGCTTGATACAAATAAATGCTCAATGTAGTATATAATTATTTTTTTTATACATATCGTCTTAACATTTGACTGAACATTTTATACAAATTATAACCTAATATTTTAGTACTATACTACCTATACATTGTATTAACATTATATTATATTATTACATTATATTATTTTAAGTAATTATTTGTATTTTGGCCGGAAACTACCTACTCTGCTGTTTATTTTTTTTTTTTTCATTTATTTTTTTAACTTTTAACCAACTTTTAATTATAAATTATAAACTAAAATCTCAGCTATAAATTATTAAAATATCAAATTAACGAATTTTTTATATTATTACTAACTATATTGGGTTTATAATAATTTCTCAGAGATATTCTCCTTTCTAGATAATATTTTTCAAGCATGAGTATTTCAGAGCATTGAAACCTAAAGTATTTGAATAGAATAATTACATTTTCATACATCAAAAAAGTTTAATTTCTTCGACTAATTTCTTTGAAAGATATACTCAAACTATTATTCCCATGTTGCTTGAAAATTACCTACCACACTCTTCGAAATATATTCTCTAAACGCGTAGAATATTATATTACGAATTTTCTTTACTCGAGCTACATGATATTACCTAAAAATGTTAAGTTCAGGCTATTTCTTGAAATAACTTAATTTTACAAAAACTGGGCACATTAATAAAATGTATACATATTTGATATGATGGCCCATTGGAATGATATTTTTAAATTAGAAAGGAGTATTATATGATTGATTGGTTGCCGTTTTAAAAATTGTATATAAATTCAAAATGAATATAATTATTATTCAAATATTTTAGATACAAATGATCTTTCTTAGGTGCGACGTATATATATATATATATATTTATCGTTTATTCATAAGTTTTAATATTTAAGGCAATTCAAATTTAAAATTCTTGTAAAAAAAAAAACTGTGTTTAATATGTTTAAAATGTTTAAAATAATCCATCTTAGAGCTCAAAATTATATTCAATAAGTAGCCAATTTTGAACATTTCATACAATACATTATTTTTAGGTTATTCATTAATTTATCAAACTAAACAAATTTTTTCTCGCTTTGCTTGATAACTAACATTTATTTAATATCAACGGTGTCATCATAATAGAAATATTTATCATATTTTCTTTGAAAATACATGGCACAAATGATATATAACATATATATTAGTTTCCTCAATGACTAAACATTATTTTAAAAAATTTTAAAAATTTTAAAAAAATATCAATAGGCACATAAAATTATATGGCACATCAAATTATATTTTAGGACTTCATTGCGCGTGAAAGTTTCCTAAATGATTACGTACGTCATATGGGTAATGTGACAAAATGAAAATTAGTGGCGTCATTTGCAAGATACAAGAATATGGAAACGTTTCTTGTGAATTTGTCCAAATACACTTAAAATTACGTGTAGATGTAGATAGTTGCATATAATTTATAATATAAAACAATCATTTTATAATTTTACAAAAATATTTCTTTTTTTGTGTTTTTATCACGATATATTTTTATCGGTTATCACATAGATATTAAACTGAAGTTTAATATCTATGGATTATAGGCAATTTAATTAGTGCCCGTTCTGTTATCTCTTATAATTTTATCTATAATCTAATCGATAATATAATATAGAACAGAGATATGGTAGAGATTATTTTGTTAAATAAAATCTTAAAAGATTTCCATTAATGTAATACAAAATATTTACCGGCATACACATTCATACATTTTTTTCATATTTTTGAAGTTTTTTCGCGTATACATCTGTCGACTTATATCAATACCCAATTAAATTGTTTATTTATAATACATAATATAAGTATTCTTTTTGAATGATAACAAACATGTTAAATAAGTAGAAAACTCTTCTGTGTTTTAGTTTAATATAATATAAATAATCAATTTTTAAATTAATTAAATATCACTTTATATTTTAATAATATGTTATAATTGAAAATTAGAATTCTATATGGAAATTAATTAATTTCGTGCTTAATATGGTAACGGAGAGGCCGGCTTTGATATTAATTTAAATTGTCAATATTTATTTTACATCCCACGATAAAAAGGGAAATAACATCTCTGATTAAAATATAAAATAAAAATAATCATAATATACATTTAGGTAAATAGGTCATAGGTATCTTAATTCGTGTTAGAGGTTTATCTGTGTCTAAATAATAATTAAATAAATTCTTAAGTGGATAAATAAAGTGACGAGAGAAGATAGAATAAGGAATGAGTATAATAGAGGTATCATAGTCTTCGACAGAGAACAAAATAAAATAAAATAGACAGAATGATAGTGAAATTAAACGTAAGTGAGACGAAGGGAAGAGGAAGTCCAAAAAGTAAAGTGGTTGGGTACGATTGTGAATGATACGTGAACAGCCGGTGTAATCTAGGATAATATATACTGAAGGTGAAGAAGTAAAAAAAATATGTGATTTTTTGATTAATGCCATTTACTCAATATACATTTTTTGAAATTATCAATACTCTTCTGAATTTTTTAACGCAATTCCTTGAAAGAAGTGAAATATCCACCCGATAGTAGTTTTAAGCGTTTTATTTCTAAAACTAGTTTTAGTAGTTTGGTAGTTTTTCTCAACCTGGGAGTCACGACCCTTTTAGGAGTCACCATTTCATAATTTAGTCGCTAAAAAATTAAATATTCATTTAGGCGGTTGCGACGGTAAAAAGATTGAGAAACACTGCTCTAAACCTTTATTTGGTTCGACACTCTGAAAAATGTATTGGTTTATGTAGATATTTTTATTTTTTATTTTTTTGTGTGCGAGGTAAGTTATGCACTGTGTCGTACCGAATTATATAAATATCAGGTACTGGGATCTCAAAAAGGATATTATGTATTTAACAATTTTTCTTTTCTGTTTTTCTAACAAACCCCAAAATTAATGCTAATTCTAAAAAGAAACAAAAAAAAAGATCTATAAGAAAAAACCAACGATTTTATACTATAATTCCCACTACAATTAAAAAGAGAAATATTGTACTATAGGGGATATAATATATTTTGGAAAACGTTCAGATTATCGAATAATAAAACTATAAAGCACAATTCCTATAATTTATTAACATTGGAACTAATTTATTACTATATTACTGACTCGATGCTCGAGTATACCCACTTATTTAATTTGTTTATAATATAATTGATTGAATTTTCAGGAATTTAACGATCGACGAGAATTTGTAGGTAACACTTTTGCAAACGAACCTTACTTCAACAGAAATCCAAACGAGTATGGGAATAATCCGTTTATCATTCCGAGACAATTGTAGGTATAGTTTAAATAGAAATTTTTTTTTAAATGTATTATTATTATTATTATTATTGTAGTTTTTGTAATATTGTATTTTAATTTTAGCGAATGCTTATTTATAATAATTTTTTATATACACTTTTTTATGAAAAAAAACAAAAACAAAAACAAAACAAAATAAAATATATCGTAAAATACTATACAAGTTATTTAGTATCTATAAGTACTAAAATTATTTAAAACGTTTGGTTTATTTATATATTACGCAAATAATATAAATATTATTTTCGGTACACTGGGACGAAGACTATTCGTATATATTTTTATATTTTTAAACATTCAATCGTACATTTGTTTTGATTTTTAAATGTTTAACTCAATATGTTTGAAAAATAAATGTTTCTATATTATTATTCATAAAGCCAAATATTATAAAATAATGTTGACTTATAGGTAAATTAATTTATTATACGATTTTTTTTTAAAACAAACATTAAAATATAGCGAATTTATTCGAGAAAAACCTTCAGAATTGTTTATATTATATGTTATATATTGCTATGGTATTATAAATTATTTATTTATATATATATATATATACATATATTTTTTAATAAATGGCGCTACGTTTTATAAATAATGTAATTATTATTGTTTTCTATTACATATGAATTGATTATATAATTATAGTATTGTATAAACCATTGTGAATTACTAATGATGAATCTTTATATTCAATTTCCGAACATTTTGACTGGATTTCAAAAATGTTCTCTATAAAAAACAAATCTAAAAAATAATTACTTAAACATTTTAAGTGCACATAAATAGGTTAAAGAACATTTAGAATGGGCTAATATAAGTGTTCGGCAAAAATTGCAGATCTCTAAAATTACTTTTCCAACTAAATCAACCGAAAAAATGACGAATTCCCAATTATTAAGAAAACTCCAAAGAAAATCAAAAATATGAATTGCACAATGCACCAACTTGACAAAATTTTCTTTTGAAAAAAATGCTTAAGTGAATTATCGAAATACGATTTCTAGTTGACGAATAGTACACAGAGTTTTATGGTAAAACCAATAAGCTCACTTCATGCTCAGAATCGAAATTAATTTAATATATTCTAACGGTTATTTACAGTGTAAAAAAAAAATATATCTGAAATATAGTTAGAAAAATATTGTACATGACTATTCAAATAAACGACCATACATTATTACAAGTCATGCATCTTATTTTTTGAATTTCGAACAACTTAGACATTTTTTTTTTTTTTTTCTTATAGTACTTTACATAATATTACATAATATTACATCTATAAAATGCTGTTTTTGTTTTTAATTATATCTACCAAGACTAAACCTATTTTCATCCTCATAAAATTAACTAAAAATTAACTACACAACATGTATCATCAATAATATTTAATAGATATACTCTATTATTGATTACCAGCATTTTAGTTTAATTTGAGAACATTTTATGATCGAGGGCATTAAAAACCAGACGATACATCTGGTTTTCAAAATTACTATAGCTCTGAAAAATAAAACAAAAATGTCTTGAATAAATTTTTAGAATTCCCAAATTACATGCGTACCTTTACAAGCAAACGAATTAATAATTATAAAAACGCACAAACAATTTGATTTAATGAATTACTTATAAAAAAAAGACCTCATTCCACCTAAAGTGGTAAAATTAACGCACGAAAGAATAAAACCCAAACAAATACATGATTGTAAAAACCTTTTCAGTTTCCCCCCCCCCCCGGAAATGGGTGTATAATGTATATGCACTTGAATAAGCATGTGGTTCCCGTAGTTTCACCTCTGTTTCTGTTGAATTAACTGGTCTATTCAAAACGAAATTTAACTTTTTTTCATACAATATAATGAACAAAAATTCACAGCCGTAGTAATTATTTTTGGTGAGCTTTATTTTATAAACTGGAAAATTTCGACGCAAAGCAAAGCAACGCAAAGAACATAAGACGAACAGTACCAATAATCCTCGCCGTGTGATTTACCGATCTGAGTTCAATCACAAATAAATTACCAGGAATATTTACTGGAGTCAAAAATATCAACAAAAAAAAAAAACACTATTGTGTAGCAAAATATCATCACTATAATATTAAATTCAAATTATTTCCCATCTATTATTTTGAGTTATAAAATTATTCTTTGTAAAACAGTAAAAACCCGAATACTTCAGTAATATACCCAATACAATACTATAATATTGTACCTATACATGTGAAACACGTTACTGTAAGTCCAAACATTGCTATTTTGGACTTAACACGTTTTATGTGAACGGGGACGATAGTATAACTATATCATTATTATCCATAGAAATTGTAAAATATGAGTACACAAATTATAGGGGTGGGGTTTGAAATTTGAAACCCTCAAAAAGCACTTCCTTAATCCTAATGCTATTCATACATAAAATGTCACCCCCTAGCTCCATTTCAGGGGTCTATAGAGGTGCTAAAATCTAAAAAATCACACTTCTCTTACAACATGTAATTCATAAAATGAAATTTAACACAAATTTTGTAAATCCGTCTATAAGACAACTATAAATCCCAAGTTTGAAGTGAAGAGATCCAGAAAGGGCCGCGAAAAATGTCTAAAGGTAATGATAAAAAACAGACACAAATCACTTATACAATACAATATGAAGTAGTTCTCTATTTACTTGTAAATTGAACACAAATGATAATAATTCTCAGGTTATGAATCGAATGACGGAAAACATATCAACGACTTCATTTATTGCGTTAATCTATCTTATGTTACATTTACTAAATTTTATATAAAAATATCAAACAAAACAGATGTTGCCTGTTCCAGTCAAATTAAATCGCCCTATATTTTAATTAAAAACTGTTTTTCTTATGTACCGATTTATTTTGTTTTATATTTATCTAAATCTTCTATTCTATTATATTCCAAATCTATCTTAATATTTTATCTAAGGCATGTATACTATATTCTAGTAATTTTAACATACCTGTGTTAATCAGACGACATTAAACTATTGAGCCGTACAATTCGTTTTTAATAAAAAATTTACATTTTTTTCATTACTAAATAATTTATTAAAATATTAAAATTGATTGCGTTATGTAAAACTTGGTCTGAAAATTCCGAAAATAAATTTATTATGCCATAAAATTAAAGTGGTACGAAACAACTATGCACATCCCATATTAACATTTAATAAATTACTGGCTAATATGTACATTACTTTAATATTATGGTATATTGCACGTCAGTTAATAGGTCGAGAAAGTCAGTATGTTCAAATTAATTACGGCTGAATTTAACTTAACTTTAAAACTATATAGTTAATTAATCTATAAAATATGCTCAAATTTTCGTTAGTCCTATTAAATTAAAAACGGTGGTGAGAGTAATAGAGTATCTACGTAGGTAAAAATGTTCATAGTGTAGGGAGAATAATTAACAAACAAATACAAATATGCTTATCCGAAAACTATATTAAGTAATTGTAATACCAACATGACAAGAATATAATATATAAATACTCGAAATGAAAATAACTAGTAAAATAAAATTATTTATGAGTACATAAAAATATATAATGAAAAATGTAGTTTTTAAGGACTAAATGAATGTTTGGATCTAATCGATTTTAAACTTTAAACATCAATAGGTACAATAATAGACAACACCTGACACGTCCTGTTATATCAGTTGTGTTTTTTTTCCTTAGAAAAATATTGAAGATAAGCAATATTGAAGAAGGTTTTTTGTAAGTTTATATTAAACATGTGTTCATTTATCACGTTCTAAATTATGAAAATTGACATGTAGTTTCTTACCTACATTATTTTTTGTCGAACGATACAAAAATATACATAAATATTTAAAATAAACCATTACCCCAATGGATTACACAGTGGGGGGGAATGTATTTTCAGAAATAGTTACAATATATTGAACAGAATATTAGCTGATTTTCGAGTAATTTTTTCATTAGATGTTTACTTGCAGAATTTCTCTACATAATATACTAAACAAAAATAGTTTGAAGGAATACAAATTGGTCTACGCGTTGTAATCGATACTCCATACATAAATGTTAAGAGGTATATTTTTTTATAATATACTTCCAGTATTTCTTTTTTACTCCTAACCCAGAAAATTATTCGTGATAATACCTATCAAAACCCATCATCGTTAGATATACCTATTATTTATTAAATAATATAGAAAACGGAAAGTGTAACGATTCGTTACTAACGAAACGTGATTTTTACAATAAATAAAATAACACATCTTTAACTTTCGTAATAATTATTTTATTCTAAATTTCTCTTATTTATTTACTTTTAAAACCAATATCAAAGAATATTATTTAGGTAGGTACTTATATAATAGATACCTAATTTATAAAATAATAATTTATTATTTTAAGCAATGAATATTATATGAGCATGGTATAATTATAATATTTGTTGGACATGATGACCCGGTATAATATTTAATGTAAATTATCTTAATTGAAACACAACTATCATACATTTTTTGTCATGTACCTAAACACATATTTTATTATAGTTACACTAAACACAGTAATTTACTCAGTAGGGGGACTAAGTGGGTTTCTCCCCCTCCCCATTGATCGTGTTAAAATACAAAAAATAATCTAAACTTTCGTCAGTGAAATTTATTTCCAAAAAAATAATAATCATTACACATATTACTCAACTAAATACAAATTATTATTTGTACAATTGAAATACGTATACCATTATTTACTATACACTATGCATTTTTCAAAATAACCTCAGAAAAAACCCTTTTGCAATAGATGTATACATATTTTACAATTATATATAAATTTAATTTCATATATTTAGCCTCTCTCTTTGAATAATCTCTAAGTACGCCACGGCACATTTTCTATACATATATTATAAAAACAGTAACTGATAAAATCTAAGCCTTAACCTAAATCATCATTGAAGAAAATGATAAGAATTTTTTATTTAGGAATTTAGGCATCTACCGACATCATTATAATATTGTAAATTTAAACAAAATTAACCAACAACGCCAGTGAGAGTATGCAGTAGAAACGCTCGAGAAAATACTTGTCTATACGTGCCTAAGGTACTTTAGACATATAAGTTTACTAAATGTATAGTTTATAAGGACTAGTACATGACTTGTATAATGAGTGTTATCAAGAAAATGTAAATACCTACAACATTCCATTTATCTATTCAGTAGATGAATGGAATGTACTGAGTAAATTTCTGAATAAATTCTACCCGGTTAAGGAAACTGAACATAATATGCTATATAGAACTATACCTATTTATTACATAATCGATTTAGAATGTTTATTGTTTTGTTCAAAATTAATTCAATCCATTTTTTTTAAATAATGAACAAAATGAACCGAAAATATGTATGACAAAAAATGATTAAAACATTTCAAAATGCCATAATACCCACGGGTACACTGTCATTGAAGCAGGTTAATAATCAGAAAGGTAAGATAGACAGGGTAGTTTATTTTATATTATTAACTTTAGTACATTATGTAATGCTAAATTATTGCAAACAAAAAATTGTTTCTGAGGGAAATTCGATTGAACATGTTTTAAAATGCCATGAATTTATGATTTTCGTCAAAAATTGAAGTTAAACGCATTAAAAAAAAAAAACTATATTACGCTCAACTTTTTTTTTTACCACTAAGTTCAACTTTTAATAAACCTCGTATTTATCAACCATTTCTATCCATCCAATTTCATCCACATAAAACCAATAAAAACTAAAAAAAAAACCTCAACAATTTCAATTAGCTCAAAAATTGTAAAATTAGTTTAACATTTTACCATGTCTAGAAATGTTTTTTTTAAACAATTTTTTTAGGCATCAACACCAAGATTATTAGCCAGGAACCATATTTACATACAAAATGTTATGGTTCGGGCCATAGTAATACTAAGACCTTGATTTCTCCGAACTTGTTTTTTTTTTTCACTAGCCCAGAGGCTTTGCCTTTCTTTCAAATCATTAAGTTTGATTTACTGCGCAGGTCTTGGTCTAATATAAAGGGTATACTTCAAAAAAGGGTTACCTATCATTTCTTTAGCTTTTGAGTCAGCCTCCTCCTTACCCATTATAACGACATGTCGTAGAACCCGTACTAAAGATACATTATTTTTGTGAACATTAAGTTCGTTGATTATATAACTGATAATTGGTTGGGATGTGTTTATATTGAGTATGCTAATTAACGTGCTCAGGAAATCGGACATAATTAGATATTTCTTATTATTAATAAAGTGGATATTTTGGATGGCCGTGAGTATTGCTATGGAAAAATTACTACAAATGTCATTTGTTTTTAAATTCGATGATCTTATCTGTGAATATCACGGCAAAACCTGACTTTTGATCGATTTTCGATGCGTCAGTATATATATGTTCATGGTTATTGTACGAGTTTAACAGTTCGTTATGGAGGGTTTTATACGTATTTCTATACGTTGTATTTTCATGGAAGTATATTAGGTTCAAGTTAATTAGATTTCTTCTGAATTGTCAAGGAAGTATATTTAATTCGGTGATATGGATTATATTTTTAATTAACATTTTATTTTTTGAAATGAATGATTGTTGTCTTTCATACAGTGGTGCAAGATGAGATAAACTTGTCGGATTAACTAGAGTGGTTTTTTTAATAATTTTAACGTAGACCGGATTTTCTTGATGTTTGGTTATTTGTATAATGTACTTTATTTCGATAAGTCTTCTTCTTAACGCAAGAGGTGGTTCACCAGTTATACAAAGTATGCTTGCGACCGATCTACTTTTAAAAGCACCTATAGATAAACGCATAGCACAATTTTATTATATTTAGTAGATATATTGATCTTTCTTTAGCAAATCTATAAACTTAGACTGTTAATTAGTTCAAATAAGGTAAATATATAATTAAGCGCAATACTATTACTTTCAATACTGGGTTCATATATTAATGGATTATTTTGTTCGTATTTATTTTTAACTGCTATAAATTTATTGAGTTGTTCATTACTGCTATTTAATTGGAATTTTTCTGCGAATGTATTTGATATGCTTAACGATTTCGATATTTCATTACCGTCATTTATTGATATTTCAATTTGTTAAATGGGTGAGCCTTTGAATATTTTAATCTTGGTCCACGATTCTTTTGATATTGATTATGATGTAAGAGAGGAGGTGACATTGTGCCATGCAGTTATTTTGCTAGTTTTGAGTATATTGCGTACCATAGCTCTAACTTTTTTGAATGCAATTAGGTCAGAAAGATTATTATTTGTTTTAAAATTTGTTAAATGCCCTCTTCTTTTTTTAAAAATACTATCGCATTCCGAGTTCCACCAAGGAACAGGCGATCTTTTTCCTTCGTACAGAGTTTTACCTATTGCCAAGTTAGCTAAGTGAATTATTGCATTTGTAAATGTTGAAATGTCGTCATTTATATCAGAATTGTAAGTTATTGCATTAATTATATTTTCTATTTCATTATTGAACCTTTCCAAGTAGACCTGCCAATTTTAGTTTTTAAGTCACTATTTGTTGTTTGCTTCAGCTGGAATTTTATTATTGTCGAATTTAATGTCTTTAATTATGGGCCAGTGTTCATTGGAGTGTATTTCATCAAGTACGTGGCTTCCTAAATATGTTGAGATGATTGAGCTTGCGATTGATAAGCCGAGGTTTTGTCATTATAATAGTTGAATGTGTAGGTTTGTTGTTATTCAGTAAAATTAGATTGTCATTATCTAATATGTTTTCGAATAATTTACCTCTGGGGTCAATTTTTTTAAAGCCCCATATTATATTATGTGCATTTACGTCACCAAGCAAAATGAACGGAGCGAATAAATGATTTATTATTTGCATAATATCATGTTTATTAATATCCTGACTATAAGGTAGATAAAGATTGCAGAGTGTAATTTGTTTTTTTAATGTGATTTTTGTTGCAGGTAACGATGGGTATGATTTATGTACAAAAATTATCATGCCACCGTTGGCCTTATCTCTGTGTTTACGATTTTTGTGATAGCTGTTGTAATTTGGTACGTTGGTTATGTAATCGTTTTTAAAATTAGTCTCTTATACACATAAGACTGTAAGTGAAATTGTTTTGATTGGAATTTGAAGTTCATTAAATTTACTAAAAAAAACCATTAGTGCTCCATTGAAGGACTTTGTAGTAACGTAAAGACATCGGCATATACAAGGGTGGTTGGAAAACTATATGTATTTGGAGCGATTAAATTAATTAAATCGATTTTTATTGTCATAATTACTGTAAATGGACAGTTCATTATCGGTCGGTGTATTGAAAAAGGTTTTATGTATTCTTTGTCGATCTGTTTTTGTCTAGAAAGTATTATGTATTATAAGTTGTATATTAAAACTTAACATACGTACATTTTATGAGAAATAGTCAGGCCTTTACAATTATTTTTAACCAAATTACAACAGAAAAACAAAATCAAAAATAATGAAAACCGTTTTTATGTAAATTTGTTGGTTTTAACAACGTATTTTACTGGTTTTTCCAATTATTAAAAAAATACAAAGAAAATCTAAAAAATGTACAAACTAGACAAAATTTATTTTTAGAAAAGATGCTAGTTACATACTTAATGATTAAATTCAGATTTCTGGCAGAAAAATTATTCAGACAGAATAAAAATGTTTAAAAAAAAACAATATCACGTAATGTTATATTTATCATTAAAGAAATAAAATATTACCTACCTATGTAAAAGACGATTTTTCATAAAATAACGACCAAAAACTAAAAATTGAATAGGCTTAAAACACTGTTTAAAATTACTATTTTTAAAATATAAACTTTTAAATCGATACTATAAAGTATAAATAATTACAGATTTGCGTCAAACTTTTCAGAATACAGTTTTAGATGAACATTAGTAGGTGTGAATACAATATTTTATACATTTTAATTTTTAAGCATTTAGCCATCACATTCGGGAAACTATATTTCATAAATAAATAACAGAACTGACACTTTACCACTTGCTTGTGGGTTTCTCTTTGTTGTTATTCAGTATTTAATCATTTTTAAGAAGTCGTAGAAGAAAATTCAAAAACTTTTTAAAGTATTACCTACCATTTGTGTTCAATTACCTATCTATAATGTTATCGTGTAAAACTTTCTAGTATTTGTACTACTCGTAAAAAGTTTCTCGGGAAAAATGTAAAATGTCACGTTGCAAAACTAGTAAATCGTTCACCTCTCTCCCCATTTTCTCCATTAGAATTTAATATGATTTATATAACAAATATTATATCTGTGACTTGCTGCAAAAAAGGCTAATGTTAAAAAAAAATGTATTCCAATTGTTATGGACTTCCTGTAAAATTTTTAAAAATTTTTTTTTTTTCAACGTATAATATATACATATGTTACATATATCTATATGATATTAAGAGATATTTATATGTATTTTTACAATATTAGTATTTAATCAAGGTTTATGTCATATATTTTATTAAAAATTAATTACATTATAGATAGACTTAAAAGTTTTGTAGCGCATATTGTAGTTATTGTGACCGTCTAATGGCCGTATTTTGTCGATATACTTACTATTAATATTTATTATAGAGTATGGTTTATAGTTGACTGCTGTTAATTATAGTCCTTGACGCATTTCATGAAGTCTCAGGCTTATAACGAAGGTATTTAATTGATACGTAAATTGCAGTATAAACGTTTAAGCTCCTATAATGGTACTTACGTACTAACCCATCTTTACCCAAATAGATAAATATTCTCAAATGATTGTGCGATATTATACTAGTTTTATTCTAACGATTAACAAGATACCTGGCTGTAACGTCAGTCGGTTTACTTTAATGAAATATAATATTTTTATTAGACTGGTCAAATAATTAATGTTAATATTATGATATTTTTAACATATTAAATTAATTTGTTAACAATTACTATAATTGCATGAGATATACCGATATACTTTTATATGTTCATTGATTTGTACCCCTGTAACTAAACTATATTATGTATAATAACTATTATAATAATAGAATATATATACGAATAGCATATATTCATTGTGAAGCGAAATATTAAAAACAAGGTTCCTGGCATGTTTGAATTTCAAACAATTATCGATCAATAATTTAAATTGTAATGAAGATATATAAAGAAATTATAAAGCTCTCGATTGGGATTAAAACTTCTTCTGTGAATAAGTGAATTAAAATCGGGCAGGGGCAGGGTTTTGACGGATATTTCATGGGATTTGCTCAGGACCTCTAATTTTTAAGGTCCTCTCATTTTTTTTTTTTTTGCTGGTTGGAATTGTTGGCATTATGTGAACTATCATGACAGACAGTCACCTTACCGACTTCATTTATTAGAATATAATAATAAAAAAAAAAAACAATCGACTCAGATCAGTCTAGTACCCGTGATGGGCGCAAAATAATAAACTTTTCAATACAAAAAAAAGAGCTGATATTAGTGACGGGCGCGACCACTGTTTTATATTGGTAGTTGAGAAGGTAGGGTACATAATGTTCTTTAATGTTCACTAATTACGACTTATAAATTATAATGAACTTCCATCAAATTTTCAAGCATTTCTGTAAAGTTTCGCAATTTTATCAACAGCTGGGATGCCTACCAAATAAAATTTGCGGAAGAAATTCGCAATATTAAAATGTCAATAAATATATCAAAAATGGCTCAAATTTCTTAAAAATATTCCCACACCTAAAAAAATAACGATAAGTTTTCTGTCAAAATTTCAAATCTCTACGAATATTTTTAACTAAATCACATTAAAAAAACAAATTTTTAAATACCTAATAAAAGAATTATTTTCGTAAATTTTGCCGCTCTTTGTAGGTATCTTCCGGATTTTGCTTAATTATTATAAAAACTACTTGGAAAATCAAAATATTGTGATCATTCAAATCTTTAAGTCCAGTTTAATCAGTCATGCACTTATTATATTATTTTACGTTTTAAAACTATCACTTAAAATAGTAGGTATCGTGTTACTATTAATAATTTTTTTTTTTTTACCGTTTTGAACCGTAACCATGGCAAGAGAACCAAATAATTCGGATTATTGAAAATCGAAATTATTTCTCAATAATACTTCAATAAATCTAAACGATACACTTATGAGTATTATATAGGTACTCACCAATAGTCGTGATGACAATAATCGAGTAAAATAATGCACCGGTGAATGTCCATTGCATTACAGCAGTGCTCTCTTCGCCATCCCAGCCACTGCGTCTGATCGCGTAAATCAAATCCTGTTCGAATTTCTCCAACCGGGCGGTGACATTTGTTGTGAAATTATCTTGATAAAGCACCAGCGATTCTCTGGTGTATCTCCATAGATCCGAAGTCACATTATTTCGCATCACATAAATACTGTTTTTCACCTAGATATAAACACATTTTGGTAAAACAAAATGTCACTACGTCCACGGAAACCTGACAAACACAATAACTTTTGTTTTGTTCAATATATTTAAGTTTTTCATTTTTGTGATAACTAGCTACATGATTTTTATATTTTAGAATTTTTTTAAGAATATTAACATCAAATAAAAATTAATACTGCTCATCACAAAGAAGCCGTGATTGGGGGGCCCTACAACAGTGGTGGATAGTTGGGTAAATGGAATATGCAGATTAAATTAGTTTATGAACAGTATGCAACAATTAAACCATTGTAAACGGAAAATGATTCTAAACGTTAGTTGTGTTTTTCCCCTTTGTGGTACCCTCTTTATAAGCGGTAACCCAGATATCAACAAAAATCAAAAAACAAAAAAACACCGAGTGGGCAGTAATTTTTTTTTGAAGTATTTTAAGTTCAAATTTTGATGAAAACCGTAAACATGTTTAATTAAACTTCTCTCAAAATCTTTTTTCGTTAGTAAGTAATGAACTAATAATTTATTATTGGTTACAGATATAAATCGATTTACTCTATCCTATCTTCCCTGCAATTTCTCTCCTACAACAACGGCACGCCCATCAGCACTATCGACTCTTTTTTTTGATATTATTAACTATATTACATAATCTAATAGGTACATTTTTGAAGTTGTAACGAATAAAAAGTATACGTATGTAGTGGTTAGAAACCCACGTGAGAAAAAAATGTCAGTAAACTAAGTACATTTAATGTACAGAATCATTTATTTGGTCTAATTTGTATTAAATGCAATTAATAAAGTCGTCGCGTATTATACAGAAAATGTGCGTTACAAACCATTTTATCATTTAAATATTCAAACTATAAAAAAATGTGTGAGACAAAAGTTTTTCGATTTATAAACACCTAAAATAAATTGTACATTGTTTTGTTTTTTGAAGGGGGGGCGACTTTCAAAATTCAAACGACAAACTATATTCAAAATTGCATAAATAAATGAAGTATTAGTAAAAAATAAATTTTTGTGTTGACATTTGTTATTTGATTTTGATGAATATCTCGTCAATCCGTCATTAAATTTTTTATTTTAAGTAAGGGGAGAGTAATGGACTATTATCACTATACAAACACCACACACCGTGCTGTGCAATCACACCAGGGCATAGCGTTCCACTACCTAAACTAAAAAACGGAATATCTCTTTAACGGATTGAAGGAAATCGAAAATTTCTCTCCCAAAATGATGTATTTTAAGTAACACTCCGTCTATTTATAGAATTTTTAATATACATTCTCATTTGAATTTCAAAAATTAACCACTAAACTCCCCTCCAAAAAAAAAAAGACAGTAAAAATATAAATAAAATAAAATAGACAAATTATTTTAGATGTCTATTAATCGAAAATCTCTTTAATTGAAAATGTTTCTATATTTTGGATATTTACATGATAAAATTATCGAACATAAATTTCAATGCGCCATGTATACCCTGTATTAATAATACAATTTCAGTGTTCCTTCACATATAAAATATAAAATAATAACATTAACATCCATAATATCCGAAATTACGCAGTATTTAATAATTTTACGCAACATACTATTAGGTTGGGAAAATTGTATACATCGCATTCCACAAATATTACCAACTCACGAGCAGTTTTAATGTAATATATATTGTTAGATGTATAGGTAATACCGGCATACATGTTTACATTCAACAACCCAAAATTTTTCAATTTAACTTTGTATTCACCGGGTAATACAAAAAAAAATCGTATAATACACGCATGCCTATACTAAACTCAAACACGCAATTGCCTAATAATAAAACAGTTACACAGAACACTTTAGTAAGACGCCTCATAATACCTGATAATTAAAACAAAATACACGATTGCGTATCCCAGCATCATTTGTGTGACAGCACAGCGCGTGGCGTTTGAACAGCGCTCTCACTACTCTCCCCCTGCCAAAACTTTAAAGTAGAATATCTTGTAAATGGGTCAACGGAAATAAAAATTTAAATACCGAAATGTATTTTAACTAAAATACTCCGTCTGATGATGGAATTTTTAATGTAAATTTCCATTTGAAAATCAAAAGTAGGTAGTTGCTTTACTTTATAAAATAATGGTGGCAAAAAAATAAATATAATATTTTAATGCTGCTTGTTTTTTAAATTGTGAAGAAAAAAAATTTCAAAATAATTTAATACTTCCCAAGAAATCACATTGGGTGTCCATAGGACACCTGTAAACCCACTATAATAATAATAAGATGATTATAAGAAGATTAAAATTTTTTCGTAGAAATACTTTTTCAGTCGATAATAATTAATCTAATTATTTACATCAGCGAACCTTAAAAATGCAGATATTTCACCCGGTTATTCTTTATATAAAATTTTGAACAGTTTTTCTTAAAAATTAAAAACCAGGCAATTTATCGTTTGTATTTTGTCAATTTCTTGGTTTTCTTTGCTACAAGGAAAAAATACTTACAGCCTTAACAAATTATCTAGTTACACTCAGAATCACTTTTTGATTACTACATTAATTCATAATTACGTTCAGAATATGAACTAAATTAACCTATTTCCTATCCCTACACTACTTCTGACTTACAACAATAGCCTACTATGCATAGTGCAAACTGCGAAGTAAGTATGTCAGGCTTTTTTAAAATTTTAAATCAATTTAACTGGTGATTTTTTATCTTTTATTATTTTTTTTTTTTTTTGCAAGATAAAAGTCACTCGAATTTTCTTTGTTGCGACGCGTTATAACACATCACGTATCTAGTTGGATACATTGTTAGGTGTATACCACCAATGGATGTAATGCGAAAAGTTTATCCAACAAAGAGCAGTTATAAAATCCCGTACTCCTCTCAATGGGAAGAATACCACATCAAAACTTTTTGCGCCGTTCAATTTTTTTCCACATTCACTTCAAACTCATAAAAAGATAAATTGTGAATTCCGACCGCTAAACTATGTTTTTAGAATTATATTTCCTTAATTTAATTTAATGTGTCCACTATCATACTATATAGAATATTATTTGTTTTATTTATTTATTTAAAAGATAACGAGCTGAAGCCCAATTCACAAAAATCACATATTAACAAAAATACATCGTGATATACAATTCGAGTGTAATTAAATTATTAATAACAAAAAAAACGTTAGATATTAGCCTAAGATTCAGTTAGAAGTAAAGGTTAATTAGTAGGTAGTCTGACTATTGGATTACAAAATAATCGGACAAACCCGAAAAAGGATGACAAGGTAAAGTACATACGAAAATGTAAAAACAGAAATAATAAATTAACCTAAAGAAAGAATGACGGATCATCGTCAGCATGCACATTACATCCATAAAATATAAATATAAGTATAATGAAATATAATTCAGTGGCGGATATAAGCGTGGGACGTGGCGATCACCCCTCCTATGAATTTTTTGAAAATTGTAACTTGTATTATAAATACGAGGGGCAATCAAATATAAACTGAAATTATTGTCTAAAAACATAATGAAAAAATATACAAAAATGTTACTACAAAATTATAATGATTTTTCTAAAGTGGCTCCTAATTTGGAAATACATTTTTTTCCAGAGCTCTGTAAGTTCTTGATGTCTTTATCGTATAAAGAAAATTAAATCGTAAGCCATTCTCACACCAATATCTTGACAGCATAGTTATCCCTCAAAATGCTGCTCTCCAAGTGCCTCTTAAAGAGGCCCAAAGAAATGATAGTTACATGATGATAGGTCTAGACTATAGAAACTACTATGAAATACCCTTCAGTGTTTCAGAAGAGTCCACCTCATTTCATCCAGTTTTTATTGAGTTGGTGCTACTTTATAGTAGTTAAGCATTGTCGTACAAAAAAAAAACCACATTTCTGATGAGAAAGCCGTTTCTCTTCTGCCGATACGCAAGTAGTCAAAATAATACACAGAAGAAAATTACATTATGTGCAAATTTAAATGTACATAAAGAAACATATACGTAAATTTAAAATTTCGTAAATAAATTGTAATATTAAATTATTAGAAAAAAACGTATATTGACGTATATACGTATATAAAAATGTATATTTATCTGTTATTTATCTATTATTTAAATTTGATAAAGACGACTAATTTATTAAAGTAACTTATGGGTAAACATTACAGGTGTATACACCTGTCACAAATTTAAATTAATAATTAATTATTCGATTAAATTGTACAGACTAAAACAATTCCAATATTATGCTTTTTTTTAGTTGCCATAATATATCTACTTATATAAAGATTTTCCGCCGAGGTATATACTATTTAAATTTTAATAATATGTTTTGTTGAAAATATTAGGCATCCTGCAACTGTTGTATACATATTTGTGATGTTATTGATGCCAAGCTATGACAATAATAGCTGACCTTTATTTATTTTTATTTTTTACCATATAGTTTTCATTTCATCAAACCAGAATTATACAAAAATTATGTGTAAAATAATTCAAAACCTATTAAAAAAAAAATATTTCTCACTATTTAATATATTAAATGCATACAATTTATTATCATTTACTAATATTACATATAATGCAAGATTAATAAAATGAAAAAAAATATTCAAGAATCAATCATATCGAAGGAGGGGAATTGAGATATTGTACAGGTAATAATTTCAATGTATACCAAACTTTTAATAATTTTCGATCGGTACACGACATTTTTTATAAGTAGCTTATATGTGTGCTGCAGCATACCTAGATAGAAAAAAAAATACGTTTCCACATGAAATGTTTTAAAATTTAATGGATCGGGACACAGTATATACTATATATTATTATATATATATATATATATATAGCAAACAATAATTCTATAAAACCTTTTGGAAATTAAATCCTCAATTATGCGACCTCTCCGACCAATATATTTCATACACGAGCACTAAAAAAAACAAAAACGATGTGCAACAGATATATTGTAATAGTAATAGTTTTAAAAGATGAAATTGTACAAGCAAGATACCTAATAAAAATATAAGTAGTATTACTAGATGTAGTAATTACTATTTTTAATATCAATGATACCGACTATATAAATGTAGTATTAAATATGATAAATGTATTTATTTTTTTATGAAATTATATTTAACTAGTTGTATGTCCATCATATGTGGATTTTATATTTTTGGTTGAAATGATAAATCAAAAAAATGTGACCGACTCTTGGCTCTCTCGGATTTTAAATATAAGACAATTTACCGCAAGCGCAAAAACAAGTCCAAAAAGCATATTTATCGCTAAATGTTCTTACTGTAATAAGCAACAGTCCAATAAAATAAAATAATGTACATTTTGCCAACAAATGCCAATTGTTTAACTCAACCGTATCGTCGTGAATATCACTTTAAAATTGAAATAAATTACATGCAGAGGTACCTACTCACCGACTTCTACGAGTATAATATATACCTAGGTAGTTATTACATTTGTTTTTGTTCTTTGTTGTTTATGCGTTTATAATTTAACTTAATAGGTCATTTTTTTCCCTGGTAGTTTTCTTAATAAATAAAACGGCAATTTATTGTTGATTTCTGGGTTAACACGGCAACAAGGAAAAAAATACGGCTGAAAATACTCCGCTCAGAATTGTTTTCCATTAGCAATAACGTACAGATATAAACTAAATTACTCTATACATCCTCCATTCCAACTTTTTTCCAAAAACCGGAGCACACCCATCAACAATATCAGCATTTTTTATTTACAAGTAGAAGTTATTTTCTACGTTTAAAATGATTTAATATTTCATAATAATTTATGTATTAAAAACCAAAAAATATGAATTTATAATTAAAATATTCAATTATTTCTCAAAAAGATGACATTTTTATTTAATTTCAATAAACGATCAAATTCAAGAAATGTCAAATTACACTATAATATTCGTTACTAAAAGTTATAATTTATAACTAAGTTTGTAAAATTAAGTATGAACAGTATATTATGAATACCTACTATATCTGACGCATGTCGGATTCACCATTCAAAATAGAGACCTATTGTGATGATGTGAAAGTATATGCATATATTATGTACTTATATATTTATAGGCATATGTATCATAATTTAATAAAATGTTTATTCAATTTCAATAACGACGAATAATATTTCGTTTATTCTTTACTCCTAAAAACGGCGTTCCCGATTTTAATAAAGTTACTCCACGAATTCTGTATACTGCGCATCATGCGAAAATCCCATTCGAATATATTGGATTCTGTATTCGTAACAATAAATAAGTTACTATTGAAAAACGTGATGTACCAAAAATGGAAATTTCGTACTAGGGATACATGCATAAGGAAAATCTTGAATATATAATCAAAAGTAGCTTTGAATGGACTTGAGAAAAGAATGTATACAACGGTTATACTATTATATCGTCTAGCATATTAGGTATTATACAAAACACTGAGTAATTTTAAAGTAGTTTTATGTGAGAGCGCCTACACGTAATTTTTAATATTACCATGACTATAGACTATAGTGTGTTTACCCTATTACTATATTTTCACTGATCGGTTTATTATAAATGATAATAAGCTATTTTTGATTCTATGTTTTAGATGCTTTCGAATGCTTGTACACGATTTAATCAAGAATTGTAATATGTATTAATGCTAAATTTTTCCTCATAGTCTAATATTTGTATAACACTTACATAGGCCAAGGATATAAATAGTATATCTAGTTATCTAATTTTTGTAATATTAAGTCTAATTTTTAGACAAAAGTAACTAAATTAACTAATGGAGGTATCTAACTAATTTTAAATTTTTCAAGTCAACATGCATAACAAGATACAAATATATATACAGACTACATGTAGGTACTAAAACTAATAGTAAACTTCTTTTTACGAAATTACTACCCGTATTAGTTTTTTTTTTTTCCATATCGTTTATCAAATACGACTACGGTAAACGAGGTCCCATTTAAATGCAAATAATAATAATACATGATAGATATTACGCGGATATACCTATATAAACCGCAGATCACATCACGTCACGTCACGTTTAATTCGAAACGAATAATATAGATAAACATCTCTAGAGTATAATTTGATACGTCGTTTACGTCGACAGTACCACAACTAGATAAATAATAATATGCAAGTTAACGTTGATTTATCACAGTAGTGTCATTTGTAAGAGGAGATGGTAACTTGGGTACAGTAGTAGGTCCAGGGTTGAATTTTGGGGGAGCCTCCTATAAAAATTACTTCTAAGCCATATATGCATTATAATTAGGACTGTGAATTTGTAGGGAATTGCATTTTTATTTTTTTTTAGCTGATTGTGAAACGTAACTTTCTAAATACATAATTTGAAATATATCACAAAAAATTACTTTATGAAACTTTCATTTTGCATATTTTGACGTTTTTAATTTTTAAATTCATTGTATGGAATTTTTTAAGTCATCTTTTACTTTTTAGTTCATTTCAAAATTATTTCACATTCCCATTTCCCAATCGTTTCCAAAATAGATATTGTGTAATTAATTTTACTACGTTACATAATTTAAAATATTTTTGTAAGTAAAGAGACAGTTGAAAAGGACTAGGGGGGCAAAGGCCCCCTGGATCCACCACTGCTTGAGTATTTGCCCTAGTCTAACTATTAGCTTTGTCTTAAGTTAGCATTTCAGTTAAACTGTAGCTTTTAAATCTAGAAAAAAAAAATCTAAAAAGGTTTCATATAAATATATACCTTTTATTCGTATGCCCTCACCGACAAGTAATCCGTGGTAAAATATTCGATTTTCAGCTTGATGTAGAATTTAAACACTACGCAAATAATATGTAGGCTAGTACATATTTGTTTACATGTATATACAAATCTGATCTACCTATCAAACGATAGACAATATTTGAACGAAACCAGATACAACATAATCAACATCCCCACACTTTTGTAGAACTCAACTTAAAATCTCATTGGAATTTTCTCGTCACATAAAACATCTGACGCTTTTCTCCGCTAAATCCAACCACGCTTAATTCTATGTTTCACATCCTCATGAAAGCCACGGTTCTTTTGTACAAAAGATCCTAGGTACCTAAAACTATCAACCTAAAACTATCAACCTCACCTATAACCGCTTATTGCCGTGACCTAGCTGTCTTGTCCTAGTCCTCCGGACGCATTCTCTTTTTTTTACTTCAATTTATCCTTAGTCCCTTTCCTTCATGTTCTACTCCGTATTTATTAAGCCTATTGTTAACTTATTCTAAATTATCTCCTATCAAAACTATATCATCTGCACCATAATACATCTTATCACCTGTTGTCTCCGCGCACATCTGAGGTGAAACGATCCGCCAATATCTTATCTAGAACTCTTCATACCGTTTGTCAGAATTATACACTTGCTTCCAATCTGACGCAGTCCCATTTATCGCCTTAAGGTATACCACCATGAGGTACACTGAAAGTAATCTGATCCCTTCTCACAAAGAAATTTTCTTACATACTCGTATAAATTATATTTTATCTTTATATAATTAGTTAAACGAAAATCATTATATAAATAATAATAGTTTTTAAAAATTATCCTTATCTCCCATCAATATTATATATTTGATCACCACTGGGCAAATGTATAGTAATTTTATTGCCCCCGTCTACGAAATATTGAAATGACGCCTGAACTGTTCGGTGCGTTTCACTCACTTCGATTTCGTGGGCTTTTTCGAGATTTTCAAAGGCAAAGGCCCCGAGCAAACAGTACAGCACCACCATGGTGACGAGCAACACGTGCAGGAACAGGCACGTGAATATCTTCCACGCGTAGTAGACGAGCGTCGTGCATCGGTTTGGCGTGTCATCGTCGAAATCCATGTCCATCAACATTTTCGCGAAAAATCGACGGGCGACCACCTCGAAAACAAAAACAAAACAATCGGTTAGGCCAAACGAACCTGGTGCACTCGTATAATACGGTATCTCCGTGTTATAATCGCGCCGTATAACGTACTTATAGGTAAGTATGAAGGTAAGTAGGTAGATATAAGTAGGTATATTGTTTTTAAGCGTGTTGTTATTTGATGGCGTTTATGTTGGTGATGATGATAATGACGGTTACGGTTACAATAATAATAATAATACGATGGCGATGATTATTGTGGTCGGAGGAGTTAGGTGACTATATAGTGAACGGCCGGTCGTCGATCCAGAAATAAAATGTCCATATGTCTACGGTGCCTATAAACGAATGTGGAGTGTACGCGCCGACGCGCAGCCGGCCGTAGAGGCTTGCCAAAATTTCGAATTTAAATTTAGAAACGTTTCCCCTACTTGCACTGTATATATGTGTGTGTGTGTGTGTGTGTGTGTGTGTGTGTGTGTGTGTATGTATGTGTATGTTTGTATATGCGTGCGGTAAACTTATTTGTTTTTTTTTTCTCTATTCCCACACAAATCCTATGGAAATATGATTATTTCCCATCTCGGACTCTTACTGGTATAATAAGGCCGTATTCACGCGAACCTATACGCTTAAAAGAAACCGATTTTCGACAAACTAACCAATCACTAAAGGTACCCAGTATCCACCGAAGTATTAGAGCAAATTTGTGAGTGGCAAACATTTATACATGTATGGTTTAAATCCAAAAACGGTCTCTACCACGATGAAACCAATCAGTAACCACTACAAACTAAAAAAATAAAAGATTCAAATATATTTAATTCGTCGTTTTACTATAATCTTTTACTTTTATGCAATCAAATTAATTATTTTACAACAACAACGAAAACTAAATGCCTAAAAAGTTAAAATATCTATTTTGATCAATATTAAAGATATTAAGATAAACTTTAACTAATTTTATATTTTGAGTTTGTGATTTACCTGATGATGAATTTTTAATTGGAAACCGGTCTTACAATACACATATCTTAATACTCCAGGTGACGCATTCATTTATTTATTTATTTCTACATATGAATTATTTATTTATGTATTTAACTTATTGTTTTATATACATTTTATACATACGAGGGGTACTAAATACTTAATACATAGGTAAAGCGTACCCAATATTTGTCCCGGCAAGTCCACCTCATTATACCGCGACGCATACACCTCCTCACAGCTGTTGTTGATAAACACCACAAATAGTTATGAGAATTACAATTTTTTTTATAATGCTTTACGATGAACAAAACATTAAATTATAGTAAACAAATACCACGCGGATTTCAAAGAAGCGGTTGAATATAATACCAAACAACTAAAACAAAAGGCACTTATTACAATTTTAATTTATTAGTGATGGGATAAATGATATTCAAAAGTAAAATATGTAGGTATTTTATGTGATATTTCAGGACCAAGGATCCTGCAATATAGTATATTATATTATGCAGTTTTTAAATTAGTGTAACCAATTTAAGATACATAGATATTTAAAATGTCCCAGTTACGCCCCGAGTTCTGCACCGTGTTTCCCAGCATGAATGATTACTACCAGATTATTGAACAAACATAGCAAACGTGTTCTGGGCATGCGATAAATGCACGAAAATTGTGCGTCTAAAAAATTGCGTTCTCTGGCAGCAATGAATAATCGGCGCGACGGCGGTGGAAATTTTTTCCGGTGTATGCAAATGAACTCAAAACCGTCTTTCGCTTCTATCTTGAATCTATTGCTGTAATAACCGATGGTATTTCCATAGGGTATACTACATAAAATATATCATATACTCTAGCATTTTATTGAAAAATCACGGGTATACTGCGGGTATTAAAAAAAAAAAAAAAAATCTCCATAATAATATATTAAAATATATTACCATGCGTAGTATATGACAGACGTGTAGGTACTTTAACTTATCATGTTTTATTTTTGGAAAGTATGGATTTTTCACAACTCGATAATAAAATATCGTTATCGTAATTGATAGCATTTTTATATCATCACGATATATGGGCGCACGGCGGGGGGAGCAAGACAGGGCATCAGCCGGGACCCCCGGGACTTCAAAATTTCAAATATAATTTTATTCCAAATACTTTCTGGTGGTTGATTTTGTTATGAACCTCCCTCAATGATAAATTTCCTACGGGCGCCCATGTTACGATATTGTTGTTCACTATACTTATACAGTATATAGTAATCACTAGAATAATAGCGCAACGGCTATCAACAACCGATTCAGCTACCTACGGTAAAAGAGTAGTTTGCCAAGGACTCGCTATACTTTCTTAAACGTGCACGTTTTAAACAATAGTCACAGAATATCTCATGCATGAGTCACATGATTCCCTCAAAAAGTTGACGGAAACATCGCTGGTAATAGCTAAATGGTATAGATCATCATTAAAAGACTTCGTCGCTAACCTACAAAATCCATGGTGGTTTTGCGAAACGATGACAGTGAAAATTGTACCTCCGTGACCACACGCGATAAACTGTACGGATTTCGATAGCTTTTGAAAAGGCCCGAGTCACCGGTGACCGATCCAGTCACCGATGAATAATTTAAATCGTCCACCAGATCCGTTTCTTTTGAGTACCTATAACTCTATGTGAATACAACCTAACGTCAGTCTGTACACAACACCCGATTTGGTCAAACCATCTGTCAGCCCGACCTGATCATGTGTATAGGGGCCTTAATATCAATGTTCGGTCCCGGGGAGCAGATCTCGATCAGTTTTCAACTTTTTTTTCATATATATATATGTACTTATATAATTTTTTCATACGTATTTTGTTACCTTTATTGTTTTATTTTTTTCAGTCTAAATGCCAAATATAAAGGCGTTTATTTTCGAAATTTAATTCGCTCAATTATTGAAAACTGTGCGCGATTGATTTTTAAGCCCATCTTCCCTGCAGGGAACGAAGGTATATAGCATTATAATATTTTCCCTTTACATTTATACGGACAAATATCGACGGGACAACTACGTGGAAACGCTGTGCGTGTAGGTGGGTAGGTACCCGAGTGTACGGTTTTGTGCGGGCTGCTACCTATACCGGGGGATCAAGGCCGGACGCGATGTGCCAAGCTTTTCGACTTAGCGCCATACTTTCGCGGGTCCGTTTACGTAATAAAAACTTACAATATATAATATTTTATGCGTAATATTATACTATTATATATATATATATATATCCTTCGAGGACCGAGCCGCGAAATGACCCGCTCGCAAATCCGACCAAATGACTTTTTCCCGACTATTGACGTTCGCCGCTATAATAATATGTTATACCAACACGGCCTGTTGAAAAATCGCGTTCATTTTTCAAATAATTTTCGACCGCTCGCTGCCGTTAAGTTTTGAAATCACCCGTCATACCGCTGGACCGGTCGCCGTTGAATTCCATGTTTATTTTCTAATTTTTCGTTTTTTTTTTTTTTTTTTTTTTTTTTAATTAGGCGAAGTAAAGAATAATTAAATACAAAACAAATCAGGTTCGGCGCTTGACCCTCATAACTCATAAGTCATATTATTTATAACAATAGTCTAATAAAGATTTACGTTATAAAATATATATTATATGTGTCTATTTTTTTATGATAAGTGTAATTTATGAAAACCCATTGGAAAATACAAAAAAAATTCAAAGTCAAACGTTTTTTTATTTTATTTACGTTGCCAATACAGTTGAAAATAATGATTGTGAAAATCGACGTATACATTAGTTCACTATTCCAATAGTTCACTAATGATGCTTCGGACGTGATCAAATTTGTATGGAATAAATTTACTTCAGACATGATTAATGAATTTTCTGTTGGTCTATAATTTTATCTGATTTTAAAATTTAATTATTTGAACGTCATAATCAATAATTATTGCATCATTAGGTATCGCAAATTATTATTTCAAACGTTCTAAATAACATTATTGTTTTATATAGCATGTAAATATAATAACGGTATTTTAAAAGCCATGTCTAAAATTAGTTTTAAAACGATTTGGTATAGGCATTAAAAAAGGTTTAAATTCAATTAGTTTCCAGAAAAAAATCTTGAGATTAAAATTAAATTGCTAATCAATTAGTTAAAAGACTATACAATGTTTCCGGTAAATGAAACACGTTTTTAGCCTCTCTTTCCGCCGTTTTCACGATCGTATAAACTTCCGTAGTAAAAAGTTACAGACCCGTATTTAGGGGTGGATGCAAGTGTACCTTATTACCCACAGTGAAAATATGTTTATTCCATTAAAAGGGACGGACAATTTATAATGACACTCTACAGAAAAAAAAAATAATATACATAAGTTCTAAATTAATATAATTTTCTGCGGATTAACGTCGTTTATAACGGAATTGTTCTATCTTACTTTTTGGAAAAAAATTTTTTGGAGGTGGGTTGAGAGAAATATATTGCCCCGAGGTGTACATTTTCCAAATACGAGCCTGAATAGTTGTCATTATTTTAAAGTTGTGCGGTTGCAATGATTATCATAAAGTCGAATGACGGCCGAGGAAATGAAATTTGTTTGCAGTACCTATTGCAGGCGTTTAAAATTCATAATATGAATTGAAATAAAGTAAAAATTATTGAAACTTTTAGGTTCTGAGCAATGCTAAATAATACCATTCAAAATTCCTTATGTAAGTCGTAAGTACCTAAGGACTATAAGTATGAACTGACGATTCTAATAAATTTTGATTTAATTAATTAAAAGTCATTTTTTATGAATTAACAAATTAATTCCCCTAATTAATATTATCTATAACATACACGAGCTAACCACTTATGAGTAACAATTTTGTTACCATCTGATTTTTAGAAATTAATATTGAACCGGTATAATTGTACACTTTTTTCATGTTACTTATATAACGTTATATTAAACCTCCGTGTTTTATTAAAACGGTATCGATTTTCTTTTTCAAAACACAATAATTAATTTGAATTTTCAATCTTCCGATGCGGATAAATATATATAATATTATTATCTCTGAAAATTTTAATATTTTTTGTTGAACTAGTATCAAACCGAGTATAAAATAATTATTTAAAATTTAATACACCCCTGGAATAGGTACGCCACACTAGCACCAAAATTTAAATTATTTTCTTTTAAATTGGTTTCATAATTTAGTCACCGATTCGTAATCAGTCGTAACCACAAATTCGGAATTCGTAATTTAAACCAAGTACCAGAATCGGCGTAATGTTACACCAGCAGCCGCACATTGAAAACTTTGAAAAAACTTCCAGAAAA